CTACCATCGTTGGCGCTAAAGACGGTCTCGGTGTTGAATGCTTGCGTGGCTCCGGTCTGATTGCCGGTGCGACCTCCAAGGCTTACGAGGACATCTTCACGCTCACACTCGTCACCTGCCGATCGGTGGGTATTGGTGCTTACCTCGTCCGTCTGGGTCAGCGTGCCATCCAAATCGAGGGCCAGCCAATCATCCTCACTGGTGCTCCGGCGTTGAACAAGGTCTTGGGCAAGGAAGTCTACACATCCAATCTACAACTCGGTGGCACCCAGATCATGTACAAGAACGGTGTGTCCCACATGGTCGCGAGCGATGACTTCCAGGGAGTAGAAAAGATCGTCGAGTGGCTGTCCTTCGTTCCCGACAAGAAAGGCCAGCCAGTTCCGGTCAGCCCTCCTTCGGATCCTTGGGACCGGGATATCACTTTCTACCCACCAAAGGGACCTTACGATGTAAGACATCTCATTGGTGGTCAAGAGGACGAAGAGGGCTTCCTGTCTGGGTTGTTCGACAAGGACTCCTTCCAGGAAGCTCTCGGTGGCTGGGCCCGGACGGTCGTTGTTGGTCGTGCCCGTCTGGGCGGCATCCCTATGGGTGTCATCGCGGTCGAGACTCGTACGGTCGAGAACGTCAGCCCAGCTGATCCTGCCAACGCTGATTCTATGGAGACGGTTGTGCAAGAAGCTGGTGGCGTGTGGTTCCCCAACTCCGCCTTCAAGACCGCACAAGCCCTTCGAGATTTCAACTACGGTGAACAACTTCCCGTCATGATCCTTGCGAACTGGCGTGGTTTCTCCGGTGGTCAACGAGACATGTACAATGAGGTGCTCAAGTACGGTTCCTATATCGTCGACGCTCTCACCAAGTACGAGCAACCAGTCTTTGTCTACATTCCTCCATTCGGTGAGCTTCGTGGCGGATCATGGGTAAGTGCAGCTCCAACTTTGTCGTTTGGATTTGATACTAACATTTTATCTAGGTCGTCGTGGATCCTACCATCAACCCTGAACAGATGGAAATGTACGCTGATATCGAGTCTCGCGGTGGCGTCTTGGAGCCTGAGGGTATTGTGGGCATCAAGTACCGCAAGGAGAGACAGCTTGAGACCATGGCTCGCCTGGACCCCGAATATGCTCGGCTCAAGCAGCAATCGCTTGCGAAGAACGTGAGCGCTGATCAGCTCAACACCATCAAGGCCAAGATGACCGAGCGTGAGCAACTCCTCGGACCCATCTACCAGCAGATCGCGCTTCAGTTCGCCGATCTCCACGATCGCGCGGGCCGCATGGAGGCCAAGGGCACGATCCGCATGCCCCTACAATGGAAGAACGCTCGACGATTCTTCTACTGGCGCCTCCGAAGAAGATTGTCTGAGGAAGTCCTCCTCAAGAAGCTGAACAGCAGCTTAGCCGGCGGTGTCGTGTCTGCCACGACATCTCCCTCGACGCAGAGAGAGCAGAACCTCGCCATGCTCAAGAACTGGTCTGGCTTGTTGGACGTCGAGTTCGACAAGGACGATCGCAAGGTTGCCGAGTGGTACGAGAGCCACCGCAAGGAAGTGTACGCCAAGATCGACGCTGTCAAGACCGAGGCCGTCAGCAAGCGTGTCGCAGAGCTGTTGATGGGCAACAAAGAGGGCGGGCTGAAGGGTGTGCGCGAGGTGTTGAGCCTCGTGCCCACGAGCGAGAGGGAGCAATTGGTCAAGTACTTGACGGGTGCATGAGGCGTGGGTGTGTGTGCGTCCGTGTGTCAGAAATGTATAGATGTGACGATGGATCGGATCGACCTGGGTAGGTGGACAGCGAAACTGAAACTGAAACGCCAGAGAAATCCGAAGCGAATGGGTTTTTGAGTCTTGCGTCTTTTTTTGGCTTCAGTGGGTGTGGTTTGGTCAATCAGTCAGGCGTGTCTCGAGCAGTTCGTTTTTAGTGCCTTGCATTTATCCTTGCGCTGCAATGAAGAAAAGTTCAAAAGCCAGTCATTCCTCCTTACGACTTGAGTCTTGTGGTCGCCCCAAACCGGTGCCTGGATATGTGCTCCAACAGGGGTATTCCGAGAGTGATGCGTACAAGATGAGTGCTGGCCATTCCATCGGATCCAGTGGAATTACTGTAGTTCGCCGTCCTCTTTTTAAAGACAGCCCTTACACGACCTTGCCGCCGTGATGTGATGGTGCTCCGTACCGACTGGCAGCAATCTTGGAAGGACGTGTAACTGCACTGGAGACGTAGAAGTATTGCATTGCATTGCATTGCATTGCAGTACGTCCCTCCACATACAATCATCCGTGACTAAACATGGTCTAATTACTGTACTTTCAATTCGGGGTTGACTATGTAGCCGTGATAACTACTGTCAAAAGCTTGATGAGGAGAATTCGATCTCTGCCCGATGGAAAAGACCTCACCATCACTGTACGAACTACAGTACAGCACATACAGTATCTGATGCTCACCAAGTACATTATGTTTGCTGGTGCTACAGGACGGAGTACGTTATGTTTGCTGGTGCTACAGGACGGAGTATCAACCAGGGCCCACCCACCCAAAATGACGGGTGTGCACTCATGGATGCCTTTTGTTCGATTATGGCCATAGGTATGCATGGACAGGAGGTTGTGTGCAGTACATATGGTACACTATGGTACATACGTGATAGCCTGGGCGGGCTAATTCCCGGCCAGCGATGCGAGGACCGTGTGGTAGCTGCTGTATGCGTGCGTGCTTGGCTTTGCTTGCTGCGTTCGGCTCCATGGCCTCGGCCCACGACTAATTAAGGGCACGTCGTTGGGACGAGTCGTTTCCTTGAGCGGTCAGTGGGCTGTTGAGTAGTTGCATAGTTGAGCAGGCGAGCAGTTGAGCAGTTGAGCAGTTGAGCAGTTGAGCAGTTGAGCAGTTGAGCAGTTGAGCAGCTTGTAAACACTGCACTCCTTCGCTGAGTTTTTTCTTCCCGCAAGCTGTTGGATAGGACGCCATACCATGTCTAAGTACTTGATATCCTCCGTACTCTGTGCTATACAGCACTGCTGGCGCATGGTGCTGCTTGCACTGCCGGAGTGCTAGGAGGAGACTTCACGGTGCTGCCTACGATCTTTGCATGGTATGGCAAGCGACCCGCCAGTCCGGCGCGCTCTCCACCTGTAGTAAAGGTCAGTGACTGGAACTTGGGCTTGGACTTGATCTGCTCTGGAGCACTGCCCAGTCGCTGGCTGGGCAACAGGTGAAGTAGTAACAACTTAACAGGCAAAGACATATATAAACTCCAGGAAGACGCCCAACCACGCCACGTGCTCACAATCATGCCAAACGACCAGACCCCTTCGGCAAGGACCACGCCGGCTTCATGTGCCTGCCTGCGCAGTTCCCGTTGAGGCACAAAGTGATGGATTATCATGGTGATGACAGCGGTCTGGACGGCCAAGATCCCGACAGCGATATAGCCAGAGCACTTGACAGCGGCTGACAACCGCTTTTCCTGCATGATCGAGGTCCCCAGCAGGGACTTGGGGCTTGGTGGGCGTCAGGAACAACCAGACCAACATCACCACGATCATAGCCCAGGTCAAGATGAATTCTGCGACAAAGCACCTTCGTATTGCAGAGTGGGACGTTTGGTCAAACGCCAGGCAGTCTTCATTTAGATATTGACCCTTGAAGATCCGGATTCCGGTATACACCGTCACTGCGAAGCAGAGTGCGATGCTGATGAGGAGGAAGAAGAGCCGCCAAGTTCGCCAACGCATACATTACCGCCACGGCAATCGCCATGACGAATATGCCATCATGGCCACGGTCAAAGCGGCTTCGGCTGTCGGGACGTTTGAGCGCAGCTCATTCAAGGCTGCTGTTTGCCAGGCTACGGCGAGGAAGCTGGCCGTGTCAAATAGGACCGGAGATGCAGCCGTGCAGCTTTGATGCAAGCGGTCTGGTAGGTTGGGATACGCCTCGAGGAAGAGCTTCGCGACGTTAGGAATGAGCGCAAGACCGGCGCCAATGGCGTAGGAAGCTCCTGCGTTAGATGATTATGACAATGACGGGGTCTTGAGGTCAGAGTAGCGCCGTACACCGTTCCCTGTCACATCGGAGATCGTGAGATCTTGTATGTTGCGGCACGCTGTCTTTATGATTGAGGACATACTTTACTCTGCGTTGCTGGTGTGTGGTGTCACGGATCGAAAAGGCGGAAAGGGGGCGGGTGATAAGGGGTCGCAGAATGAAATCAAGTCTGACTGAGTTACCTGCTGTTCTGCATCTTCATCGTCTTGTACGGGTCTTCCAGCATTTATAGACACCGTGGACCATATCAAACTTGCAATGCTGCTTGCAGAGGCGCTCTGGCCTTGGATTTCAGATTCGAATGTACCCCTTGGTCCAGATAGCACTTTGACGCCTTGCATCGCACTGCCTTGCACCAAGGGGTCCCATGGACCACGTCTAGCTGAACCTGGACCTGGAGCAGCCATGCGAGGAGAGGACGAAGTACATGCATCCCGATGTCGGGTGAGGCTGTCACCAGGCACAAGGTGGTATGCGAACCACACCTGAAACACGTGCAGGGACTCGTGGAGACGAAATCGTTAAAGCATCAGTACTCAGCCACCGGCGCCATTGTGAACGGCGACCAGAAGACTAGGAGAATCCTTGGTTACGGAATACTGGGGGGCGGCGCCCAACTTTCAATTTCCCTGTTGTCAGTGGGTGCGACCGCAGAGGGCGATTTGGCAAGCTCATGGAGTGTGGTGACCGAATTCTGGTGCTAAAGAAAGAAAAAAAAGCTACGGCATCTTCCCAGCCCGGGTTGTGCCTGACTAGTCCCCTTGGAGCTTAGAGCAATTTCTGTCGGGTCCCACGAGGCGAGGCTGTGAGGCTGCGAGGCTGGCTTATCGATAACGGCCTGCGGAGTCAAAGTTCAGAACTTTTTCAAACTCCATTTTCTGCGGCCTCGAATGCGCCTGTCTGGAAGGTGCGCAATGTGAGCAGCCACGCCCGCTGGCCAGCATCATGTCCGCAACCACCACCGCCACCGCGACGCGGACCACGACCAAGTCCACGGCCAAGTGGTCGGTCGAGTACGACACAGTCCGCCGCCACAAGCTCTTCAGACACGCTCCAAAAGATCGCAGTGCTTATCCTGCGCTTCAAGCCGCCGTGCAACCGCATGTCGACTCATTCAATGCTTTATGGGATGAGGGTCTTATAGACTCCGGCTTGAAAGATATTGGAACCTATACTGTGGTCGATGGAGATACCCGCAACCCCAGCAAAAGCATCCACCATAACAAGCTCGACCTTCGTGTGACCGAGCTCATCCTCGAAAAACCGACATTACCCCCGTCCAACAAGTTCGCCATCGAAGACCGGAATATCTACCCCGCAGAATGTCGAGAGCGCCATGCGTCCTACCGAGGACGGTTAAAAGCCAGGCTTCAGTACAGGGTGAACAAGGGCGAATGGCAGGAGTCGGTGCGAGATCTCGGGCAGATGCCGATCATGCTGCGGTCCACCAAATGTCACCTCGAAAAGTTCTCCCCAGCACAGATGGTTCGGCACAAAGAAGAAGCCGAGGAGCTGGGCGGTTACTTCATCGTCAACGGCAACGAGAAGCTGATTCGCATGCTGATCGCCCCGAGGAGGAACTATCCCATGGCCATCTCGCGAAATGCGTTTCAAGCAAGAGGGCCGACCTTCTCAAAGCTTGCCATGCAAATTCGATCAGTGCGACCCGATCAGACCTCACAGACCAACGTCCTTCACTATCTGACCGATGGGAATGTCACTTTCAGATTTTCGTGGAGGAAGAATGAATACCTGGTCCCGGTGGTTATGATACTCAAAGCTCTAGTGGAGACGAACGACCGAGAAATCGCCGAAGGTATCATTGGCTCGAATTCGTCCAGAAAGGCGCCCAGTTCCTTCGTTGCCGACAGAACCGAGCTGCTCTTGCGGACTTACAAGGCGTACAATCTGAAAACAAGGCAACAGACGTTGGCGTATCTCGGAGAAAAATTCAGGCCGGTCCTGATGCAGCCCATCACCATGGCTGACGAGAAAGTTGGTGAGGAGTTCTTGAGGAAGGTTGTCCTCCCCCATCTAGGTAATGTCGACGTGAGCCCGGCTCAGAACAACGATAAGTTCCAGCTGCTTTTGTTCATGATCCGAAAGCTCTATGCTCTTGCAGCGGGCGACTGCGCCCTGGATAACCCTGACGCAGTCTCCAGTCAAGAGATCCTGCTCGGCGGTTTCCTCTATGGGATGATCTTGAAAGAGAACATATACGAGTGGTTGGCCGGTATCGGTGCTGCGGCTCGAGACTGGTCCAGGATGAAGAACGGCGCTCAGTTCTCAGAACCGTCATTCGAGGCAGATTTCCTTCCCAAAATCGTCAGAAGAACGAACGAAAATCTGGCTGGCAAGCTAGAATACTTCCTATCCACTGGCAACCTGGTCAGTCAGACTGGGCTCGATCTCTCCCAGACCTCGGGCTTCACAATCGTCGCCGAAAAGATCAACTTTTACCGTTTTATCAGCCACTTTCGGTGTATACACCGTGGTACTTTCTTTGCACAGTTGAAGACGACCACTGTGCGGAAATTGCTTCCTGAAAGCTGGGGTTTTTTGTGTCCAGTGCATACACCCGATGGATCTCCCTGCGGGTTATTGAACCATTTGGCCCATCAATGTCAAGTCCAGATTAAGAGAATCGATACCTCGGGAATTGAGAAAGCCGTTGTACAAATGGGACTTTCGCCGACCGCACCAATGGCCCTCAATGATGGCCTCTCTGTCCAACTTGACGGCAGGATATTGGGTTTCTGTCCCGCGAAAAGAGCAAGGGAGATTGCACAGTTGCTTCGGCACTGGAAGGTCAATGGTGCGCACAACATCCCGGACGAGCTGGAAATTGGCTACATTCCCACCTCGAATGGCGGGCTCTATCCCGGCTTGTATCTGTTTTCGGATCCCTCGAGGATGCTACGACCCGTCAAATACATACCCTCAGACAAGCTTGACTATGTCGGCCCCTTCGAACAACAATACATGAATATCGCTTGCGTCGAAGCCGACATCATCCCGAATCTCACAACTCATATCGAGTTCAAACCCACTAATATTCTTTCCATCCTCGCCAACATGACTCCCTTCTCCGACTTCAATCAGTCGCCGCGCAACATGTATCAGTGCCAGATGAGCAAGCAGGCTATGGGAACCCCGTCATCAAACCTAATGTGTCGGACAGATAACAAGGCGTACCTGCTGCAAACCGGACAGACACCTGTGGTCCGACCCCCATTGTACAACGAATACGGTCTCGATAATTTTCCTAACGGTATGAATGCGGTCGTCGCGGTCATTTCATACACCGGCTACGACATGGACGACGCTATGATAATCAACAAATCCTCCCACGAACGAGGCTTTGGCGACGGGGTCATCTACAAAACAAAGGTCTACAAGCTCAACGAGGACCAGCGCGCAGCACGGTCCAAGACCGAAATCAAGTCACTCTTCGGCTTTGCTGACGGTGATCCGAACATCTCGCCTGAGGCTGTCACATCTTTGGATAATGACGGTCTACCGGCAATCGGAACCAAGGTCGGGGAAGGCTCAATAGTACTGGCCTACCACACAGTCATGTTCGATCCCTCGGAAGGCAAGCTCAAGAATCTCGACGGTAATACCATGTACTTCAAGTACAAGGATGCTGAGGAAGCATATATTGACCAGATAAGGCTCATAGGCGCTGAAAGCGGAGATCAGCCGTGTCAAGCCATCAGCATCAAGTACCGGATACCCAGACGACCTATCATCGGAGACAAGTTCTCCTCTCGGCACGGCCAGAAGGGAGTCCTGTCCATGCTTTGGCCAAGTGCGGATATGCCTTTTAGCGAGTCTGGGATTCAGCCGGATGTCATCATCAATCCCCACGCCTTCCCGTCTCGAATGACCATTGGCATGTTCGTCGAATCTCTCGCCGGCAAGTCTGGGGCTCTCCACGGTCTCGCGCAAGACTGCACGCCTTTCTCCTTCGACGAAGATAATACTGCTGGCAACTTCTTCGGCGACCAACTCCGCGAGGCCGGGTACAACTTTTACGGCAATGAGCCCATGTACAGCGGTATCACTGGCAAGGAATTTGCAGCCGACATCTACATTGGTGTTGTGTACTACCAACGATTGAGACACATGGTCAGCGATAAGTTCCAAGTACGTACGACTGGTCCGGTCAACGCGCTGCACGGCCAGCCGATCAAGGGCAGAAGCAAGGGCGGTGGTATCCGTGTCGGTGAGATGGAGCGCGACTCTTTGATCGCCCACGGTTGTGCATACCTGCTTCAAGATCGCCTTATGGACTGCAGTGACAAGACTCGCGCTTGGGTGTGCCGGTCGTGCGGCAGTTTTCTGAGTACCATGATGGTGCCGAATCAGTTCACGGCCGGCAAGAAAGGAGGTCGAGTGGAGCCTAGCGGGATGGTGAGATGTCGGGCTTGTGCCAGACAGGCGACGTTCGACGACAGTAAGATGATAGTCTGGGAGGACGGCGCAGGCCAGAAGTTTGTGGGCGGCGACAACACGACTGTTGTCAACGTGCCGGGCGTGCTCCGGTATCTAGACGTGGAACTCGCGGCGATGGGCGTACGGACTAAGTTTGAGATTGAGAATTAGTGCATAGATGCTACGGGTGTGGCAAGATGAAAGCCAATTATTCTACATGGTCACCACCTCATTTCTTATCTTCTCGTGGTCTTTTCCCAGCTCGCTCACTTGCTCCGGATTGATCAACCCCAACCGCACCGCAAAATCACTCCTCCCAACCTCCCTGATCAGTTCCCGCGCCATGTCCAAACGGCGCACATACCTCTTCACCGCGCTGGGGCCCTTGGCCACGTTGACAACCCGCCCTTTCATGACCATCTGCGCTGCCCTCGCGTTCTCATACACGAGAATCAAGTGCCCCGCGACCACCGTCCCGACAAGCATCGCCTTCTCCAAATCACTCGCCCCTCCGAGCACGACGACTTCAACCCACACCATCATTGCCGCTGTCCACTCTAGACAGTCCATGAGCGTGGACGCAGACAGGGACACAACGCCCGCGGCCCCGTCCCGCCGGCGGCTCGCAAGCCACCGGCCCGAGGTCACGGCCTTGAGATCATCAACCAGGCCACTCATCCTGGCCCAGCGGTCCTCGGACAAGAGGATGAGCAGGTCCCCGTGCACGCCTGGTTCGGGGGCGCCGTGCCATCCGGATTGGGACCCCGCGCGGGTGCGGTCGAGGAAGGCGATCGTCGCGAGGAGGCGCGACAGGAGGAGGAGCGTGAGTGAGCATATGAAAGAGGGTGTGGCGCTCACCACGTCGAATGAGGACGCGCGAAGGGGGAAAAAAGTCCACGAGAGGAGGATCGTCGTGGGGAGACATGCCACGGACAGGTTGGGCAGGGAGGAGCGTCGGTGAGAAGTCGAGGTCGAGCTTGATGAGACATCCTCTCCACGGGCCTGAGAGTGAGAGTCCGCCCTCGCCTCCGACCCCGTCTCCACCTCGGCGGCTGGGGCGTCACCCACTTCAAACCGCATAAGACATCCCGTGCGCGTCATCTTCTGCAGAAACGCCACCGTCGCGGCATTCTCGACGCGGAAGACGTATCCCGTCGTGAGGGCCGCGCAGGCGGGATACTCGCCCCCATTGAGTGTCGTGGGGCCAAGGGGCGTTTGGAGGCCGAGACATAGCGTGAGGGTCGAAGTGAAAAGGGAGAGGAAGTAGGATTTCCCCACACTGCCTATACCAGTGCCTGGCCCCGTTAAAGCGAGGTGCGTGTGTAGTGGTGAGATGGGGGTCGGTATGGCGAGGAGGAGGATTGGGAGCAGGTGTAGTGAAGGCGAGAGAGAGTGGCAATGGCTGAGGTCCATGTTGTTGGTGGATGATCACCTTTGTATGTACAATCCGTATGGTACGGCATGTGTCTGCTATGGGTTATGCTATGTATGCAATATGTGCAGGACGTGCTAGGTAAGTAAGTGAGTATGTACCAGGAGGTTAGTCCTCTTGTGGGACGATCACCAGTACACCGGCCCTACTGGGTACGAACAGGACGAAGAGTACGTAGTACTCCGTTTTTGATGCTGATATTGCACGGGACTCGGCATGTCTGTGAGGAGGACACGCGATGAGGCTCGCGAGGCTGTCTGCTTAGCCGAATCAAGTTAGCCTGAGATAAGTATGTACTCGTACTCGTACCCAGGCCGTCGCCGACTGCTGGAATTACTTGCGCCAGTACTGCACTGTATTCGGCCTCAGTCGTCCATTTGATTGATGCCCTCCTTGTAGAGCCTGTTCTGAGCAACAATGTTTCCTGGAGGGGCCTCATCCGTCAACTTTAGGCTCTGGTTTTCCGTGCAGACCGCCTGGCTGCGGCGTCTAGTCCGACTCCCGTGGTACGTTGTGAACCAGGCCAGCTAACCTCGACGCTCACGCTATCCCTCATTCCCATGCTCATCTTTAACATCATCGACGTCGCTGTCCCCATCCTCGGCATCAACATTCACGTCCTTCTCCACCAGAGCGTCTCCCATTCTCTTCTCATCTTGACCCTTCTCGACCCCTCCAACCAGCGGCTTCATCGTCGTGGCCTCGACCCCACCACTAGTAACAAACAAGAAGGTCTCGCTAGGAAAGTTATCCACATGGTTGAAGAAATTCCCAAAGACGTTCTCCTTTTCCTCGTCACGATACATCCGCTCGTAGATCTGTTCTTGCTTGAACCGGTCCATCTCGGTTTTGTACCTGTCGAAATCGATTGGCTCTTTGCCCAGACTGTCCTTGGCGCGCTTGTTGTACGAGTCAAAGACCGGTCTCTCGAGAAGGAGACCCAGACTGGGGGCCTTGGGGATGGAGAGGCGAGCGGGACCCATACTCTCCCGCAGTCGGTTCGGATCGCATCCACATCGCACCACGAGCGCTACCATGCCGACCATCTTGCGGATCTGGTGCATCATGAAGCTTTGACCGTGGACTTTCATGCTCAACCACTCCGTGCCATTGATGAGAATCGGCGTCTCGTTGACGATGAAGGATTTGATCACGCGCTTGGCGCTCGGGTCTTTATACGTCTTTTGGACCGTGTAATTGTGGTAATTCCGGGTGCCGACAAAGAGGTCCAGTGTGTTTTGAATGCGGTCGAGCCGCTCGGGAGGGATTCGATAGGCGCGTTTGGCGGTGATGTAGGCTTGTCGGAGGCGTTTTACGGCTTCGTCGAGGATTTGGCGGCGCGAGGTCCTGGGTTTGTCGGAGGTGTCGGATGATGGTTTCGTTGGTTCGTCGGCCTGCATGATAATATCCGCCGATGTATTCTTTGCCAGCTCGGGGTCAAGCTCCTTCTTCACCATTTCAGCAGCAGAAGGGTAGGCGGCAGCTGCCTCTTCCCCAAGTTCCATTCCTTTCATCCACAAAGCCTTCTCTAGTATATCTCGGATTTCCGGGTCATACTCTGCAAGTATGGGCTTGATCATCTCTTCGTCTACCTTCTCCCAATACCCTGAGACCTCCTCTTGTCTCTTCCTGTATTCTTCTTGATCTCCCTTCTTCTCGGCCCACTCGTCGCAATTTCGGCCTAGGAAACTGGTCGGATGCGGTGGTAGGAAACTGTGCGTGGGGATCAGATACTCGTATATCCTCGAGTCCACCAGCTGGTAGGCACTGAAGGCGTTATTCGTCCGTTCAAACCCCCATACTCGTATCTGCGGAGCCAGGTTCGTATTGATCTTCTGCACCACATCTTCGTCTTCGACGATCAGCTTGAGAGAGATGACGTTGCCGGCGGCATGGACTCCCTTGTCCGTCCGCGCACATCTGACAAAGGACGATTTCTTGGGGTCGTCGGCGTTGGCCTTGGAAATGGCTCCTGCAGCGACGAAGGCTTGGAAGAGGTCGCCTTCTATGGTCTTCTGATCGTGTGTCCTGGATGCCCATTAGCTCGAAGCCACCAGCCCGTTTGTCCATGCCTACAGCTGCATTCCTTTATAGCCTGTGCCAGCATAGCCGATCAGTACGGCGACCTTCTTCTTCGGCCGTCTTTCCTCCGCGGCGAGCACGTCGTCGCTGAATTTGGTGGCATAGATGGGTAGTTCGGATTCGCCTCTGTCGAGCCGTTGGCGCTTCGCGGCCTGTTCATCCTCGTTCCGTTGCCGCTTGTCTACTTTATTCTTACTTAGCAAGTCAGTCCTGAAATACCACAGCACATGTGGAGCATCACCCACGCCCATTCCTTCCGCCCCATATCTCTCTTCTTGCCCGGACGACCTCCTCGACCACCTCGGCCTCCTCCCCGCGCAACATCATTCTGACCCGCACGTCCTGCATATGGACGATGTCGTCCTTGGTCACGAAGTTGGCTGGTCTCGCTGTCTCCTTCACGGTTGGTCGGGGGATTTGGTGCCGCGTCCCCATTAGAGGCCGGAGTGGCCGTGGACGCACCTGGCGCGGTGGCTTGCGGAACGGCAGTCTCCATACTGGGGACTTGTAGAGCATGAAATGAGCGTGTGCGAGAATGAGCGGACAGGTTCACAGCGCGAGTCGGTGCGCACCTTCAAGATTTCTGATTTCTCAAGCTTTCTCCAACATCTGCCATGCGCTCGATGCTGCCCGCAAACCGTAAAGCCAGTTTGCGGTTGAGCACAGAGGCTCAAGATGCAGTTGGCCGCTTCGAGTTCTCGTGGTTCCCTGTCACTCGCGTGTGACCAATGCGGCCACCACACCGGTCCAAGGCAGCTATCTGGTATACGTTTCGAGAATGAGATCGTTGCCCTAGATCCTCTTTATTTTCTTGCTGTGTTTTGTCGGGTGCTACTCTGCCAGATATCTCCATCATAACTCCTAGTATGCCGCCCCATTCGTCGTAGCTTCTCCCATAGGCTTCACCTCGACCTCCACGGGCTCTTCCCCAATGCCCCTCTTCTTTGCCTCCTCCAGCATGGCAACCGTGGCGGTGGCCCCAATCCTAGTAACCCCAATTGACATGACATACAGCAGATCATCCAACGTGCGCACTCCCCCGGCCGCCTTGATCTGCACCTCCGGCTTCGAGTGCTTCCTCATGAGCTTCAGCGCGGGCACCGTTGCGCCCTTGTACGTGTACATGCCGTTGGACTGCTTGACGAACCCGTAACCCGTTGAAGTCTTGACAAACGCGACATTCAGCGACGAGCAGATCTCGCACAACTTGATGATGTGCTGGTCCTGCAGAAAGTCGTTTTCGAAAATCACTTTGAGAATGGCTCCCTTGTTGGTTACCGCGGTATTGGTCGCCCGGATCTCCTCCGTCACATAGTCCCAGTCGCCGGAGAGGACTTTGCCAACATTGACCACCATGTCGATCTCGTCGCCGCCGGCTTCAACGGCCTTCTGTGCTTCGAGAACCTTGACTTCAATGGTGCTGTTGCCTGCTGGGAAGCCAATGACCGGACAGACCTTGACGCCTGAACCGGCCAGAGCCTTCTTCGCCTGAGGGATCGCATAGGCTTTGACACATGCCGTTGCCGTGTGGTACTTTTTCGCAATCTCCAGGCCCTCCTGGATTTCCTGGTCTGTCATGGTGGGGTGGAGTAGGGAGTGGTCTATCATCTTTGCGATCTGTGACAGCGTCACTGTGACTTTGGATGGTTCGGACATCTTTGTGTTGGAGTTTGACGTGTTGACTGTGACGGATAGCCTTGGTGCTGTTTCTCGCCGCTCGGGTTCTTCAATGGTCCAGCCTGCACGGAATGCTACCTGCTTCTGCTGGCGGGTGTTTGAGGTATAGGCTGATGCACACTTCCTTCGATGGACCGAATTCTACTTCGACGAAGTCACTGTGATTGTCATTGTCGTCGACTTCAAGCTGTATTTAACGACCGTGATGATAGAAGTGGAAGCGGCGAGGCTTCCTCTTCTGGAAGAGCCGCATTTACTCACCTCGAAACCGCGCACTTGGTGGCAGGTTGACAGCTAACTGCCCATGTAACGGTCGACAGTGACCCCGAAGCAATAACGCTGGCGGGCAATGGACTTCGAACAAGACTCTATGTCGTATTCGTGTATGCGGCGGACGCTTAAAGCTGAGACACGCTCACCGGTAGAGATACCGACTCTGGCAAGGAGCCGCCTATGTAGAACACACGGCGAACGCGCCGGACGTCGGCGGGTCGATTCGATCATCAATGATTCGTTATTGGGCACTGGTAAGTACATTGTCTCGAAGGCTGTGCGATTCTGCTCCTGCCATCTGGAACAACTTGGTCATTCAGCGGATAAAGTTAAGGCTGCAGTGGCAGACTAAATTCGCGCTGTCAATGAACAAAGGGTTAGCCAGCCTTACGTGCATGTGCACCTTCGATAGTGATAATTACCCACGGAGAAATGAATATTGTCCTTCGCTCGAAGTAGCCAAAAAGGGCGTTGAGGGGCGGATTACCTTGTCGGGCAATGCCTCGTTGCCGCTACAGCTCAATGACGTTTCCGTTCTCGCCCACAGAGAGAAAAGACTCAGACTGACCGGAGTAGACATTGCCTTTTGACTGAGCATTTCCATGAGACACATGTTTTTCGGGTCAAAAGACAACAGTCTTTGTGATTACATACCTACAGGTAAGGCGGACTCTCCTGCTCGTACATGAGCGTTTCTCAACTGGCCCGTGTGGCGTGCCTCATTCCCCCTCATTTTGCATCGTCTACATCACAAAGCAGGATTGAAAATTGCAAAGATAATTGGCGTCTACGATTGCCGAATAGGTACATCAAGCAGCGCTTTCCCCTTTCATTCTCTCGCATTTAAAAGATAAGAAACTGAAGCCACGCAGCCTCGAGAGTTGGCAACCACCGAAGAGCTACCTCATATCACGAGTCGTCTACTTCAACAAGATAGCACAATGACATACACTGTTTCTGAGATCACAGATCTGAGGATCTATCCCATCAAGTCATGCCGAGGCATACAGCTCCAGTCGGCGAAGTTGACCAGGCAGGGGCTCGACATGGACAGACGGTGGATGTTCATTGACAGCCAGAACAAATTCATCACCATCCGCACCAAGCCGCAAATGACCTTGATCAACACCGCCATTGATCACGATTCCGACTGTCTCGTCATAAGTATAGGCCATGATAAGGAGAAGGAAGTCAAGCTCCCCTGTCATCCTAGCCAGGAATGGCTCGAAGCAAACACGAAGGACGCTTCGGTCGACATTTGGGAGTACATCACAGACGCATACGCCTATACTGACCCGAAAATGCTGGCTTTGTTCAAAGAGTTCTTTGAAGAAGATGTCCGCCTAGTGATGAAGGGCCCAGAGCCCAGGATCTGTCGCGGAAACGGAGATCCCAACCACCTGGGCCGTAGAGAGAGCGTCAACTTCCCGGATGTCCTACCTATCCAGATCGCGTCAGAGACGTCGCTCGCCGAACTGAATTCGAGGCTAAAGGAGAAGGGCGAGAGAGAAATCACAATCGAACGTTTTCGGCCAAATGTCATTATCAAGGGCGGCGAGCCTTGGTCCGAGGATTCCTGGAAGACAGTGCGTATCAACGGAGATTCCTCCTACTGGACAACCCTTACCGGTGGCAACTTGCACGCCATCGACGTCGACGTCGTTGCGAGATGCGCTCGTTGCACGGTGCCCAACGTCAATCCAGACACAGCAGAGAAGCATCCTCACCAGCCTTGGGATCTGTTGGTTAGTTACCGAAGAGTCGACGAAGGTATCAAGTTCAAGCCTTGCTTTGGGATGCTGTGTTGTCCCAGGAACGAGGGTCATATCGAGGTCGGAATGCGATTTGAGGTCATGGAGACCACAGACCAGCATAGGTACATGAAGGGCTTCTGAGCACTGCCAGAGAAGTAGTCGGAAAATACCAACACTCGTCTCCTGGTCTTGTGTCTGCACAGGCGCATCGCAGGATGAGGGCTACTAAGAGCCTCCAGGGTCGGCGGTTATTCGTGATGTGTGGCAAAGAAGGTCTCGAGTATACAGACATATCAACGTCAACTCTGGTCGGGCACCGTTAGGCTCATATGTTTGGTGTAAGATTCAAATGTGGTGCGGAATAGACGCAGGCGAAGAGTTGCGCTTTGCGGCGGCGAGAAAAGACGGTCCTGGCCACCGCATGAGGCAGTTTGTTCGAACTCATCGTGGGTGATTATGTGATATTCAGCTTGCTTTACCTGTTCCAATGATGACCACTTCGTTTGGCGCTTTGCAGCTTACTGAAATCCAGGGTGAGCTGGGGTGTAGTAGCGCGTTGTATCAGCAATAAGTGCTCTGGCGTAGACGATGGAACAGCCGAATGTCACGACATGCAGAAGCCGCATGATTCAAAGGTTTGTTGCAGATTTGCTTTCACACTGTTAACGCGGCTGGTTTCAAGCTGGCCCGGGCTCAAGCTCTTGACGGCGGCAGCTCGCACCCAAGTAAACTTTGTGAAAATGAATTGTGGGGAGCTATCGAAGCTCTGGGTTCTGCAGATGTTGTCAATCCACATGTTAGCGGACCGGGTGTTCGGGCAAAGCAGTTTTCAGCCTACGAGGTACAACTGAGCAAACGATCATCGATCTCGGGCGTCCAAAGGGTGAAAGAAAAGCGTCATAAGGAAGCTACCTTGGATAAGGTGAGGATGGGGAACTCCAGCTGATAAAGGATGCCATGATTGGAAGAGTACCTGAATAGCAAGGAGAATCCAGCCAGTTAGAGAAGGAGTAATGCAGAAGGATTGTCATCGATCGGAAGCTTTGCTGGCAGCTCCCAGTGGTGTGAGTGAAATGTCAGATGGTTGGAGGTGAAATGTGGTTCCTGGTGGAAGCCATGCAAGAGCTTTTGAGTAGAAACTAATATCGTCAGACATGGGACAAGTTTCCTTTTGGTACTGGGCTCGCCTGAATCGCGGTTGTCTGGCCCGTGTAAGTGAAGCTGGGCGCCAAAAAGCTAACGGGCGTTGACGCTTGCACCCAGCTTGGGAAGCTGCATGTTGCTGAGCGTCGGAGAGGGGAAGGCACCGGCACCTAGAGAAGCTACCACTGCCAATTACAGCACCCCGTTCACCCAGAACCAACCAGGGCAAGCTCCCCAAGCGACTGAGCTTCAGGTGCTCACCCCTCTCTAAAGCTCAAGCTCATTTTTCATTCTTCAATTCATCCCACCAACACTCTGCCCTTACCTATCACTCTACCTCTCTTCACGACAACCTCCCTTTCTCCTCCGTTCACTTCTTTTCGAGCGGGTTAGCAGTTGACTCTGCTGTGTGTGCGTACACGCCCACCCTGTTTTACCCGAACGGCTAGTCATGTGAAGGCGGACCCATTATTACGTCGGTTCCCTTCAAGCTCGAAATCAGCCAAGCTTGTTGTGGACTGTCCGATCAATGCCGCCGACTTTCGTCCTTTCCTCCTAACACACCCCTCCCGCGGTTAGGGCCAGCGCAGAAAGGTCATGCCGCCCAAACCTGCGCTCACCGGCTCTTTTCTCGTGTCAACAGATGCAGAAAATGAGGTTGTCTGTCCGCTCTTCAACCAAGATGGCTCGCAGTGCCGGAAAAGATGCATTGGAGTGCGCCTCTCCCCCAATCAATAGCGCGTGTCGCAGTTTCGCTGACTCGGAGTCCGCAGGAAAAACGCTACAGGTCGATGCAAGAACACATCCGACGCGCCCATCCAGACCACTATATTCCAAAACTGCCCGCAACCGAGGAGAGTTTCCAATTGATGATCAACACTCCCCCGTCACAACGTCCGCAAGTGCAGACTGGTGCCGCTCCGCTTCCTGGTCAAAGAGGCCCTTGTATGTTGGCCCAATGACCCCCTCCTTATCCTCAAACTAAGAAAAACAGTCGATACGAGTGATAGCGCCTCTCTACTGGAACATGCAGGAGCAGGAACAGGGCCTCTGGCCGTGCAGCCTCCGGCCGCAGCCAATGCTGCTGTTGCCCTGACGCAAATGCACAACTGGGACTCGGATTTTGTAAGTATACACAAAGTGAGGCCATCGGTCACGGTCAGGGCGGTGCTCATTTCCACCTCAGGATGTGTTCCCAGACTCAGACTACAAGCGCGACGTATCGACGGGGCTCGAGTTACCATCATTACGTGCTGCCTTCCACGAAGATACGCTTCCACCATTTCAACCTTCCCGTACGCGCGAGCTGTTGCCCTCGATTCTGCAGTCGCCGGGAAGCCGATATTCTTCTTTACCACCCATCCAACGACGCGGCGAGCGACTCCCAAGACCGCGAAAGCCATCTATGGGGCAAAACGCGCGCAAAGGCAAACACGAACGCGGAAAATCGAGGGACTTTTCGTCCAAGGAGTTTTCCCGACGATTGAGTGTCGAAGGCCGCAAGGCAATGTCTGCCGAACCACCTACGGCGGCGTGGGTTCAAGGCAAGAGATGGGAAGATCTGATCGAGGCTGCCACGAGTGCCACAGACGCTGATGATGATCGTGATCTCACTCCCGTAAGTCAGACGACATTTTTCGATTGTCCTCTGTTTACCTGCTGCTGCCAAGAGATCGAAATTCTGTAGATGTACCCCCGGAGGAAAAGGCCCCAGAAGGGATTATTGTGTTATACTATCTTGTTGTCACTATTATTGCCGACCCAACAAACGAACGAACGACGGTCATGTCCTATTCTACCCGCACGACAGGCCAATAGCCGTACGCGAGCGAAGTTCACTCTGTCGGGCAAGAGGAAATCCTGCATGGGTCGGTCTCTGGTTATGAGCCGTGGGGACCCCGGAAGATCTTGACTGATGCTTCTGAAGAACCACGGCTTCATGGACGGACAGATCCAATATGCGGATGACGAATGTCCGATAAGCGAATTCTTGCAATCGGGAGAGAAGCAAAAGCAAATTGCTTTTGTTATCCTCCTGGGTCAGTCAGGCCACATGCGGGCGATGAAACGAATTTCTGGGGCGATCGGGCCAGGCGCCTTGAAAAAAAGCCATGTGCCGGGGGTCTGTCACCAAAAAGTTTATGCACCCTCAGTTAATCTACTCTAATGTGTACACCAACCTCCTCATTTTCCGCTTTCTTTTTTGCGTTAGACTATCGATAATCAACCTTGCTAACATGCCCTTGGCACTCAATCACAGATGCCGCAGTCGCCAAACTTTCCGCCCTCCACGACTGCTGCCGCCACCGCCGGCACCGCGGCCACCACCCATCCCACCACGTCGGCCGATCGTAGGCTATCCGCCGCGGACAGCATCTCGAGTGGTGCAAACAAGCGTTCGTCCCTACCACCCGGATTCCGGCCCTTTAGCCATCACCTGCACGGCCAGCACGGGCAGTACAATGCCTCTCCGCTGCAGCGCACACTAACTCCACCGCCACCTGATGCTCTAGGTCCAAACGACCCCGAGCCCTTCCCTTCCGTCGAGTCACTGGAAAGTGCGGGGTCCGGTCAAAACTTCCACATTTCAGGATCCGGCCTGCCTACGTCGGCCTCGTCTAATGAGAACACTAGCCCGTTGCAGTACCATTCACACCCATATCAGCACTCGCAGTCATCTTCGTTCGGCAGCAAATCAGATGTTCTGGAAATTTACTGCGCGTCCTGTGGACGGCCGTGGCTACTCAAAAATGCATTCGCCTGCACCGAGTGTGTCTGTGGCGTCTGCAGCGACTGCGTCGGACAGATCATCAGCAGTCCTGTAGTCGCTGTCCAACCAGGATTCGCACCGATGCGCCGCGGCTGCCCCCGCTGCGGAGTCATGGGCGGGAAGTGGAAGGTAAGTCTGTGCTTGTAGTTAGGCCGAAACCGGTTTGACGAGTTTGCAGCGATTTCAGCTCGATTTTCGATAACGCTCAGCAAGAGGTCTCAAACTAGAACATCCCCTAGGGCGCTTTTGCGCATGGGAGGGGAGCGGAGGATCGTAAGATAGTCCCCCTACCCATCTCCCGATCCAGAAACTAGGGAAGGCGCGCCCAGGAGCGCCCAAGCGAGCATGACTGAGACAAATAATGATCCTGTCAGCCGTGAAATCACCGCAGACTCCGCTGAGCGCCGAGCCAACCGGAGGCTACAGGAGAGCATAAATTGTCCCTTCTCCTCTCGCGGAGCAGGTCGGCAAAATGGAGCCAGCAGACCCGAAACAGTAAATATAGGAGCCTCTCCCAGAGAAAATGGGAGCGCCGGCACCTGGAAGAAAGTATAAGCGACGGCTTCCGAGTCACGCAGCATGACTACCTAGGTAGTTAGTTGTCGCAAATTTGGAGCGGTCGACCCGGTGGGATAGCGACAGAGTAAAGTTATCCTTAAGCAGAGGTGAGAAGGGTGGAAAGGTCACGCGTTGTGTCCAATCGCTTAGACACGCTCTTCTTGCGCAATGGGGGAACGGTGCAAGCTGCCGAGGAGGTCAAGAACTTGAGACCCAGATTGGACAGGAGAGGGTCGACCAGCCAAGGGTAGCCATAGCAGCGCTGCAAGCCTGTCCCGTAGCAGGCCCCCTGACCGCCCACTGGCGGAGTGGACGCTGTCTGCAGACGCGGCTTGCACAAGCCAAAACTTGGAAAGTGGCACTCCACTCGAGCGCCACAAATTGTGTGTCGCTGACCTCATGCAGCGAACACGTCGGCGATCGACGACCCATTTGCGCGACTCGTACTCGTATGATTCAAGACGAGCACCAGAGGTCACTATCGTGTACACTGGACATCTGGACAAACGGATATCAAAGTTAGCTGCAGTTTGGCCTCTCCATGGTGGCCTTGCCAAGGCCCGAGGCAGTGTGACTACGAGGTACTTACGTTATGTCTCCTCAGCAGCTGGTGCGGGATAACGGGATGGGATGGGAAGTTGGAGTTTTGGGACAGACATGCAGAGTACGATAGCCTCGCATGGGCATGACACCCTCTTGTGTGCGAGGACCGAGGGAAAAGTGCCTGTGAGTGCTCGCAGAAGGTACCCGGGCAAGCGGACGGTGGCTGAATGCAGAGTGGGTTGGATGCGTGGTGGTGGACTCTGCCCGGCTCCAATATCCGCTCTCCTGATCAGGTACTTTCTATTGGCCTACCTATTTTTCTTGGTCTGTGAATACGCATCGTGCGTGCATGAGAGTTGCCATCCGCTGACTCTTGTATGCAGACCAGCTGTGTCGTAATTATTCGCTCATCATGTGAGAGGCATTGAATGCAAGAACTGGGGTCCTCAGAACAGTCCTGCAGGGCATCCACCCACAGAGAATACTACGAGGGGTATGGATCTTCGGCCAAGTCTGCTTATTGCATCCCAGCAGGTCGATGGAGACAGACTATCAGAGAGCAAGTGATATACACAGTATGGTGCGCGTCTTGGAAAAGCAGTTGTTCAGTCGGGACAAGAAAATCCTTCTTGACTACCTGGATTGGACACCCTAACCAGACCGGTCTGTCTGCTTCGCTGGCGCAATCTTAACAGCAAATGCGCGTCTAGTAGTATGGAACTTTCTGAATATCAATATCTGTTCTTCTACACCGCAAGGGTTGTCGATGTCTGGAGATCTGTGCTGTGGTGAAAGCCCCAACTCTCGCAATCTTAGGTCTCCATCTGCGTTTGTGTGTTCGCCGATGTAAGCCTGAGAACCTCCCAAGCCACTTCAAGGCTCTGAATCGATGTACCTGTGTAGGCTTGGATCACGAGTCGAGCCGATGTCCAATGTCCACGATGTGTAGTATGTGTAGTATGTGCTGGTCGTGCGCACGCAAAGCGACGGGACATCTGTCTCGTGTGCTTTGATAGTCAGAGAATGGTAGCTATCTTGTACTTGCGCCTGCGACGATTAGCCAATACAAAGGATCATGAAAGTGGCTCACCGAGTGGAATGTCCACGGGAGCATCTGCGACAGCTGTCCTCACGCTCACGATATCGCGCGAGGCTCTGTGCAGTCACCTGTGTCATTGATAGACCATGTTCTAGATCGACACGTCAATATTGTCCCATTGTTTCGGTGAAAAGTGCAGCCGTTCCTGTGAACAATCGGTTCTCCAGCCTTGACGGCAACTAGGATGCCACGCGAGTCGGCAGCAGCCAGCTCTAGAGTAGCTTTCCCCAGATCTTCGTGCCCCTTCAGGGCATACCCAGTGAGGCAAGCGAGCCGAATGGGCAGTCACTTCGGGCTGAAAGTGCGCCCGGGGTTTAGCCGACTGCCTTTCGCGTCTTAACCCGAGCTGCGACAATCGTAACTCACTCTCACCACCATCATCTTTCGGATCGACGGCATCATCTCTTTCTTCATCCACTGCACTCACAAAAATCATGGCGGGGCCAGGAAGTGGTCGCGACCAAGGCTCCAACGATCCGACAGGCAATTTCGGGGGCTCAGGCCTTCCCCAGTTCGGTTCATCCTACTATCCGATCGACACTGAGCTGACCAACCCGTCGGCTAGCTACAACCTCCCTACCTATGCACGACAATTGGAAGATGCGACGACATCTGAAGACAAAATCGAACATGGGAACATGAACAACATGCCTATGGACGCGAATGGCGCCGCGCCTTCATCTGTGCTTGACCCAGCAATGGCCCCTCCCCAGACACCAAGTCAACCTGCATTCATGCCCACTGGAGGTCGGTCAAGCCTTGATGCATCTGCTGAGACACCACAAGAGCCTCAGACTGGAGACAAGCGAAAGCGCTCAAAGGCATCTCGTGCATGCGATGAGTGTCGTAGAAAGAAGGTACCGTGCCGTCTTAGAAAATCAGACAAGAGTGCTTTGATACTGACTTACCTTTTCCAGGTCAAATGTGATGCGCCCACTGAAGCTGACGGCACCCCAAAGACTTGCACCAACTGTCAGAAGGCTGGCGTCAACTGCGAGTTTGAGCGCAAGCCTATGAAGCGTGGCCCAAGTAAAGGGTGAGTGAACCAAGACAAAGTTGTCTCTCAACACTGTTGTCGCAAGAAGACTGACACACGACTTAGATACATTAGCCAGTTGGCCGAGAGAGTCCAAGGACTAGAGCAGAAGCAGCGACAGTCTCTCGACGCTGGTCAAGGCGGGTTTGCCGAGAGCTTCTCACCTGACGACCAGACTGGCGCTGGTTTTCAAAACCGCACCCCGTCTTTCTCTGCACCTTCAAACTTCAATCCATTCTCGAGAGTCGAGTATCAGCGCGATAGAATTCCAAGCGTTGGCTGGACTGCTCAATCTCCTGGTTCCCTTCTTCGATCTCGAGCCATTGGAAGTCTTGCTATCGCACCGCACGAGTCCTTCCCTATCTCATTTCTTGAAGAGGCGCCAAACCTGAAATTTCAGATTCGCGACCCTTCTCAATCTTTCTTCGGCGAAATTTTCGGCTCTCGTCCCTCCAAACGTCAACGCACTCAAGCACCCGACGACGACATGCCGCCTGTACAGTCTCTGGCCCTGGACGATGCCTTCCTGAGCAACTACTACCAGCAATACCATCCACTGGTCGGGCTGCTTCCTGAATCTCGCAAGGTCATCGCCATCGTTTCCGAAGCAGATCCCGTGACGCAACATGCCTTCACCACCGCCATTGAACTCTTGCCAGACCTTCGAGCCGCACCCACAGTCAACGGCAACCACGACGCGAACATGACCCTCGACCCAGCCATCGATCTTCCGAGGAAGCACCTCAAGTCTGATCGCTTCTCGACCTATGACTCTCTGCAACAATATCTTTTCGTTCAGGCTACCGGAACCGCGTTGCAGCGCACCGAAGAGGAGAACCTCACAATGGTTTGGACTATGGCCTTGCTTGCGATGGGCGCGGAAAATCACGTCAAGCTTTTGAGGAACAGTACTCCTCTGTCCATGTCTGTCACCCTCCCACTGGCTCGATTTGTTCTCGAACAAGTTCGCACCGACAATGCTGGAATCCCGACCTCTGTCATCCCTCGACCACGACAAACCACATATCCTGATGAAGTGATTCAGGCCCACAACTGTCTCGGCGTCATGATCCAATACCACGCACTAGGTGTCGGTCTGCCTGCGTCTGGTCTAGTCCCAGCGAATTACCCCGTCAATGTTCGAGAGTCCGACGCGAACAAAACAACACCCGAGGCAGCCTACATTGCCAGCAGCTCGAACCTCATCGAACTGCTCACTCAAGTTGTTCTTGAACGTGAAAGCACTCGTGAGATGCGTGCTCTCGGGGGCTTCCTTCTTCAACGACACTTCGAGACCCATCACGGTCTGTACGGCGGCTCTCTGCGAGATACCAGCATCGCGAACCAACTTCACTGCTTTCTCGAGTGTTTCATTGCGCCGTTCCCATACCTGCCACCCGGTGCTTCTGCGCCTCTCTTCCCGGTGGTCAGCGCCCTTACATGGGCTGACAAGTTGGCGACGGTGCTCATCACCGCCGCTCAGGCAAACTCGGCTGCTGGGCGTTACAGCCCTCTCGACATGCACGCTTGGTCGCTTGCAACGACCTCTCTTTGTCTCTTCGCCACCGATGCCAGCACGAGGGCAGTGGCCGAGTTCGCTGTGAAGCGTCTCGGTGACTTGCGTGCGGAACTTCAGAAGAAGTCCGACGCATTTCATCGGACCTTCGGTCTGGAGTGGTTCTTCGGGGGGGAGATGGAGACGTGGGCGGACGTGCTCCTGGTGATGATCGACCAGGCGAAGGGTCGTGCCGCCGCCGCTGCTGCCGCGGTGGGTGACGGTGGCCACGATGTGGTCGCCGTCCCCAACATGGAGCAGGCCATGATGAATGGCCTGTTGAACGGCGTGTTGTTCTTTGCGAAGAACAACATGTAAGCAGCGGCGGTGGTGGCGGCGGTGTTCGTGGTGGTGGTGGTGGTGTTCGGTGGCCTCGGCCAGGAGGCGGTGCATGCGGGCGGAACGGCGGAGGGAGGGTGGTGGCGACCCTGTACATAGATGTACAGGCGCCGGCGTTCTGCGAGGACGCCTGAAGCGTCAATGACGCCGCCGTTGGCAGTCAACGGCTGCCTAAATGGCATTTACGTTCAAAAAGGCGCGAGTCTCTTATGTATTCTTCATCCCCGTCGTGCCCAATGTAGACATGCGTGATACTCGACATCTCTTGACGTTGTATCTAACCGGAGCAGCCTCCCTTTCAGCCTCTCATCGTCGCCGTCGCCGCCGCCGCCGACAACCAGGACCATACTTCCCAACGTCCCAGCTCAGCGTGATGAGACTAGAGGACGCCTCTCTGAGCGCCCGGCACACCCAATAGCGACGGCGATGGTCTGCTACCCACCCTTTCAAGGTGATTAATGAAGGCGTCACCAAGTAGTCTGTCTGAGATAACTAGGTACATTCAGCGTTTCTCCCTCGACACCACGAGACGACAACAGTTGATATGTATCATCATCGACACCCGACGCCCTGTCTAGACCTCATACGCACCAGTCATGATGCATTGCAGGCTGCTGATGGCAACGTCTATCAGCGATATCTACCATTAACGACCGCGCATTCGTTCGTCAGCGACGGTTGTGACAAAGAGATGGACGGAGCACCCGGATCGTGTTGGATAATTGCAGCGAGGTCGAACGTCCGGGCACGGCGTACAAGCTGGCAGTCTGGGTTACTGTTGCCATTGCTACTGCTAAATGCTGCTGTGGAATACTCATTCGTTGATGCCTGAGGTATCCCTGGTGAGGTTGCGCTCTTTTATCCGCGAGACTCCTGACAAAGATATAATTACCTGATTGTGTGTTGACCATTGCAGAGAGCCCGTATGGGCGCGGAATATAAACCGCGAGTCTGTGCTGCTACTGCTTTGCTGCTATCGCTGCTCGGGAAGTCTCATTCGTACAAACATGATACGTATAATACATGCTTACATTCGATGTGGAAGTGGACAGTCCGTGGCAGACAAATCAACATCCAACCTCGAACCTCCACCATGGCCCTCCACCATCCAACATAGAACCTTCCCGACTTGCCTTACTATGGAAAACATAGCACAACATGGCTAGCCATACCACGTTCTTAACCGTCATCTCATGCCTAGAACTCCTCATCCTAGCATACATCTTCACCAAGGCCATTCGCATCCTGCAATTCTACGCCCTCTACTCGTCTGAGCTGTCGCGATACAAGCCCCGTCCGGCTCCGGCTCCACTGTTGGCCAACCATGGGCCCTGGTCAGCGGCGCGAGCGACGGCATTGGCAACGCATTCGCGCAGGACCCCTGCCGGCGTGGTTTCAACGTGATCATCCACGGGCGCGACGAGCAGAAACTCCACCGCGTGGCGGGTGAGCTTGAAAAAGCCTACCCCGACAGAAAAATCAGGCTACTGGTCATCGACGCCATAAAGGCATCTTGGACGGACGAGGAGACCGATAAGAAGGTGCTCAACGCGGTAACCGGTGTTCAGCTCACGATGCTGATCAATAACGTTCGTGGCGCGGGTGCTGCGCGGGGTGCGTGGGCGCCCATCATGCAAAGGTCAGCCGGGGAGCTGGACGCGCTGATCAATCTGAACGCCGCCTTCATGACGCAGATGACGAGGGTGTTGATCCCTGTGCTGGCGCAGAGGCAGCGGGCCGCGATCGTCAACATCAGCAGTGCCGCCGAGCTGGTCCCTGCGCCGTACTTGGTCGCATACTCGGCCGCGAAGGCGTACGTCTCGCGGTGCAGTGTCTCGTTGGACGCGGAACTACGGGTTGAAAGTCAAGGCCACATCGACGTCCACTCCCTGATTGTGGGAGCCGTGGCCACGCCGAATGCGAGCCATGATTGAGGATCTACAGCGGGGTTGTTCTGTCCTGATGCGGACACTTTCGCGAGAAAAGCGTTGAATAGGGTAGGCTCTGGGCTTGTGGTCATTACGCCGTACTGGCCGCGTGGGTTGCAGGTTGGGGTTATGGGGTTGTTGCCTGAGTGGGTTGGGGCCAAATTCATGCGCGATACGGCGAGGCGGGGGATGAAGAGGATGGAGAAGGCGCGGTAAGAATGGCCGAGATATGGACAAGGAGAGAGAGAATGAATTGAAGCCATATTTGGAGCTGGAGCTATAGAGGCCGTGATGGAATTGTGCTCGGGGTTGGGGAGGGCAGAGAACAAACGCGCCCGGTTATATGCAGAACCTAGGTGTTCTATTCCATCGAGACCAAGGAGTATGAGTATCAGCGTGGCAATCAAGTGCCATGGGAGATTTGTGTCTTTCCCGCCTTCATCCAGCCTGGACGCTACGGCTCGTCCAGCCTGCTGTCCCAAGCTTTGAGCCAGACCTGATCTTCTGCCAGGGCTTCCGGACCTCTCGACCGCAGCGAAGCTCTATCGTTACAGCTTGCCACCAGCTTTCCAACCTCATCCGCCGCACTTTCGGCACCCTCAAACTCGACTCTCGAAGCCTCCTCCTTCCAGCCTTCACGGCGTCTTTGTCCCCAGCTTCGTGACTTCAGGGATGCGAAAGGACCGCCGTGACCACCTCGATGATTATCGCAGAACAATGAGCGAAGTGTCGAGATGCGATCGATCGAACTCCATTAGCACCTAGGTTGACTGGAATGAAAGGATGCCCGGGTTTAGGGAAATGAGATGTCAGTATCTGCTCGCCGCGTAAACTGAGATGTACCAGGACCTGTGCCGCGGTATGGGGACACGCACCACGTAAGGAGTTGCAGATCTCGACCTTCAGCACCGGCGAACTTATATCTTGCACGTACAACGCGCCGATTGCGAAGCATGCCGATACCATACATGTTGAGGGCTTTTGCACGTTGAGATGAATAGAGGTCCGGATCTCAGGAGCTGGACATCGTATTTCCAAGTGATACAGAGGCGGACACTATCGAGACTGGTTTTCAAAAGGAGGATACCTACCACATTTCTGAATCTCTTGGAGGAGCATCAGGACAGATACTGGTGCGTCGGAACATTGGAGGTGTTTGACGGACCGGGTGTCTGGTATTCGATAGATAGCCCTCCTTGCGGTGGTGGAATCTACGGCCAGTAGGTAGCACCTTGTGCGAAGATCATGAGCTGTAGGCTTGTTAACAAGGCTCAGCTCGGCGACCATCGTATATCCGCTGGCATTGACTCTAGAACTCCGCGGGCGAAACAACATAGCCAGGCTGCAACGTGCGACTGATCGGAGCTTTGATTCTTGAGACTTGAGCTGGGTTGGAGATCCTCAGAAGTCAAGAAAGGAGCATTTCCTCCGATCCATATCTAGACCAGCGCCTAGACAGTCTGAGCACGTCCGAGATAAGCTTTCATTTCCAGAATGCCGAGAATATGACAGCTTCCCTTCTCGGAGTAGTCCGACCAACATTGGCTCCATATCAATGGATCTCTTGCATCTCCCAGCATGACGATAGGCCAAAACCTCATCTACGTGGGACTTGTTCGGCCTTCGCCAGTAGCCGACAGGCGGGAGCGGGAGCGTGAGCGTGAAGCGTTGGCATTACAATTGCGCACTACACGGTATGTGAATTAGGCGTGGTGGGACAGGGACCAGCCGAAAACCTGCTGCCTGGGGTATCTTGTCAGCAAGGAGGAGACCCGCTGTGGCTACATGAAAGTACATCAGACCCCAAAGAAAAGGCGGCATGCTTCTCAGGCCAGCACGGAACGTGTCTGCATAGCCCGTACGAGGGCAAGACTGCAGACCATAAATAACCATGTCGACGACCACCGAACTCCAGCAACCCGAGTTCACCAAGCTCGAGCTCCGCACGGCCTACGGCCCCGTCTATCGCAATGTGTCGACCAAGCCTGCGCGTGACGCGCGGACGGACGAGATCCCCTTGATCGACCTCAGCCCGATCTACGGAGACGAGGACGCCCGCAGAGGGCTCGCCCGACAGATCAAACTCGCCGCCGAGAATACAGGGTTCTTCTACATCCAGAACCACGGCATCCCGGACTCTGCCATCGAGGGAGCCCTGAACGCGTCCAAGGCCTTCTTCGCACAATCTGAGGACGAGAAGCTGCTCGTGTCCAAGCACAAGGGGAAATGGTACAACGGGTACGCAGGCAACAAATCCGGAATGGCTAGTCCATCAGAAGGACGTTCGTTGCATCCCGAGTGATTTGAACCCCACTGCAACTACTGACGCCCGTCGCAGTGGACTATCGGGAATCATTCTCCTGGCGGTACGAACCACAATACGACCCCGAACCCAAAGATCCTAATGCTGTACCAGCGGAAGTGCAGCCCTACATCCGCGGCGAGAACTACGTGTGGGAAGGCACGGCGCATCTCCCGGGCTTCAAGGACGGCTGCATCACCTACTGGCAGGAGTGCCTCAAACTGGCGCGACGTCTGGTCAGGATCTTCGCGCTCAGTCTCGATCTGCCGGAGGACTACTTCGACTCCGTGACGACGTACCCGGGAAGTGATGGCGTGTTTAACTTTTACCCGGCCATGTCGGCAGAGCAAGCGGCCGCGAGTCAAGATATCGGCATTGGCTCGCATACCGATCTGCAATGCTTCACACTGCTTTGGCAGGATATGAATGGTGGGTTGCAGGTGCTGAGCCACGAGGGCGAGTGGATCAAGGCGACGCCGCTCGAAGGCACGTTTGTCGTCAACATTGGCGACTACCTGATGCGGTTGACGAATGATCGGATGAAGTCGACGGTTCACAGGGTGTATAATCGGTCTACTGTTGACAGGTATGCCATGCCAGACCTTGCAGGTTCTGCTCGACTGGCTGACTTTCACGAGGTATTCCATGCCGTTCTTCTTCGGGTTCAATTTCAACGAGAAATGCGGAGTCCTGCCGAGTTGCATTGATCAAGACCATCCGGCCAAGTACGAGCCGATCTCGTGTGGAGATTGGTGTCAGCTCAGGTTCCAGCAGACCGATGTGGATACAAAGGTGTCTCCGTACTGAAGCAAGGGGGACAGCTGGACGCGGACTGGCTTAAGAGCTATGCCTGCAAGGGCTGCTTTTGAAGGTATCAAATTGCCGCTATCAGCCGGATGTAAACCTCCTTCATGGCCGCAGCTGTAGTATATACCGGTACCAGCACCCAACTATAGTTTCGAGGCCCAGTCTGGAGCTTTATCGTTCTGTTCGCCAACGTCCAATGCGACCAGAAACCGACTGACCAGGTTATAACTCGCAACAGTGGCCGTAAGCTCCACAATCTCCTGCTCATTAAAGCCCTGTGCCTTGACCTCCTCAAACAGACTCTGGGGAACTGAGACGTCCCGAGTCATGGCGTCAGCATATCGCAGCACAGCCCACTGGCGGTCGTCCAATGCGCCTTTTTCTGTTGGATGCAGCTGCTTCACGACCGCCAGTTTCTCTTCTGTGAACCCGGCGGATTTGAGGAGAATAGGTGCATGCGCGTTCCACTCGAACCAGGCTTTGTTAATCAGAGCAGGTCGACAGATGGCAATCTCGCGGATGTCGTCTGATAGAGAGTTCTTTGTCCGCACGGCTCCAAGGAGAGCGTTCCAGCCTGGATCTCATTTAGCACCTGTTCGTGAACCGTAACATTTCAAGGACACACCATCTGCGATCTTGGGCGCATGCAACAAGGTCAAGTCCAATGGTATGAGGCCCATGGCTCCCCGACGTGCCTTGACGCGCTCAAGCACCTCCTGGTCCTCTGCGGACAGGTTTGTGGGCGGGTTCGGCACGTAATCGAGACGCATGGTGTCAGGCTGGGATCGTGTTTCTTCGGATCTGGCTTGTCAATATATAATGTTCGTTGCTGGACCGCGCAGAGGTTATGCTTCGATATTTATTCTTCAATCCCCGAGGTGGAATACCCCGCTGTCGAGCGCATCAGATACCGATCCTCGCCGTGTGCGGGGGAGAGGTGTGTTTCTTGCTCCTCTTCCCCAACAGCGGAAACCAATTCCACAGCTTGGAGGCAGCGCCGTCGAGGATGGTGCTGGGTCCCAGACGCCCCAACACCCTGCTGGCCTTGTCACTAAGAGTGATACTGTCTCTCTGCTGTCAGTCCGGTTCCGGGGTCCCGGAAAGCAGTTGAGGTGAACTCGAACGGCGTCTGAGTGAAGACAGTACTCAGCATTCACCGAGATGATAAGGCCAGCAGAGACCCCAAGGAGCATGTCGGCTGCACAAATGTACTCCGTAAGCACACCCGGTATCTTGCCGCGCATCTTCGGCCCAGGGCTTGCCGTCCCTGTGAGGAAGAGCTCTTCGCACGCGGTTAGCCAGTTTGATTTTCGATTTCATGTTGTTCGCATTTCCTTCGTCGTCGTCGCTTCAGACCCCAATTCTCGAACGACGCGCGGGTTGTGAACAAGTTCATGGCCCGACGTCGGGAATTTGAGCTGCCACAGGGGAGCGCCATCGTTCTGTGGAAAACAATCCCATTATTCCCAAGACGAGGGAGCTGGAAAGGACAGCCTATCTTGTTGGCGCCAGTAACATTGTGGCCGCGTGATTCGTGCCGGAGACAGCGGAAGTCCTCACTTTGCCTTGGCTAGAGGCAGCGAGCATCACGGGGCTCATGGTCCTGCTTATCCCATTAGTCAAGGACAGCCGTTGAAACATGCGCAAGTGACTCGAGGATCGCATACAGCTGCCCATTCTGCCCTATGAGCATCGGCCTCCCAACAAGGTTTCTCCAAACTCCGACGGTGGTTTTAAGGCCCTCACCTATACCAATCTCACTGGCGCGCACACCTCAAGTTCAGAGCGACGACCAAGTCCGTGTGCATCAGGCTACATTTCTCGCTTCCGGCGGATGCCTGGGCGAGCTTGCTAACCACAAGATTTGATCACTTACCCAGTCAGGTTGACATCTCTCAGCGACGCGAGTCCGGATTCGAGGGCAATTCTCATCCAAGCCTCCACCCTCACCTCATCCTCCGCCTTTTGCGCCGTCACGAGAAGAGGGAAACAGACATACCATCTTGCCTTGTTGAGCCATCTTACTGTCCAAGCCATCGGTCTTGCGTCACGGCGATCTGTCCAGTGACCGTCCATTCTTCATTGGCTAGCACCAAACACGCGGGAAGTCGTTATCGTCTGCATCCCGCCAGCTTCCTGTCGAAGCCAACAGAACTTCGTTCCTGCCGCACCCAGCAGACTCGCAGCTACTTAATCCCGATCTCCCCCAGACCCATTTCACTTCAGTCCACATGCCTGGAATTCGTACGTTTCTTCTCTAACTTTTCTTCCGCACTGCTTCCGCTTGCCCGAATTAGTTCTCAAACACACTCAGCACCAATACTCTTCTGACAGCAATCTCTTAATCGCAGCCCTCGACGCTATGGATAAAATCAAGGCCCTCTTCAAGCGCAAGAAGGACAAGGAGAGCAGCACTGCTGGAACCAAGACTGACACCAGTGCAACTCCTACCGCTGTGCCCAAGCCAACCGCGACAGACACCGCAGCTGCTCCGTCTACCAGCGACCCGGCTGCACCTGCTGCTGGTGGGTAGACACGCGTTCCGTTCTCTTCCACGCAGATCGAGCTGACAGGTTATGGTTTCACAGGTGCTGCGCCTGTCGACACTTCCGCACCTGCCGACCCTGCGCCGGCCAACACCCCAGCTGCCAAGTAGATCGCGGCGTATCGGAACGGTTACGGTGCTTGATGGAAGGTTCAAGAGCTCAAGCCATACGGCATAAAACTGATCATCGAGGAAGAGGACAATTTCCCACTTGAAAGCTTCATGACGCCAGCCCAACCTCGACCCAGTCGACAACGCAGATCCATCCCATACCATCTCGCGCAAACTCAGCATTGTCCTTGAGCTAGTCGACCAGCGTCTAATCAACCATTATACCCCTTTGGCGCTGACACGAACCATGCAAAAACAAACGATACCCCTTCTTCAGTTCGAATCACATTCCTTTCAGCAGAGCGAGCGACTGACACAAACCACACCACAACAATGAGGCCAACGGATCGGACCGGGCGGACAGAATATTGCTTTCCCTGAGCTAATACTTGACATTGAGATACCCCCAACCGCTTCGATTTCCCAGCGAGCGAACAGCGAGGCAGCTTCATCCAGCTTCCAAGATACCCCCAAAGTCCTTGAGATAGTCAGCCTTTTGCTTAGGCTAGTAACAGGAAATGCAAATGGTTCTTGCTTTCATGGAATGTTTGATTGAATTATAATACATAAAGTGGCCTCCGCTGCCTTCCAAATCAACGTCATATCGCAACCGGCGAGGAACTCGTGTGTTTCCGCATGAGAGTCCCTCTACATGGCTCCCCATTCGGGGTCTCATTAGACTTGGCGATTCTGCAAGCCCATGCTTCCTGATTGCTCGCTACTGATTTGCTTTGTCACTTGCGGTCTCTTGCCCATATCAAGGTGTCGACAGCGGCGAGTCCGTATTTTCGAGGTCGCTCTCCAGCAAGTCCACGTTCCATCATCCGTGCGTATATGAAGCCTTCACATCCGGGATTGCCTCGCTCTGAGGAGGCGTTCCCAGGCTTTGTCCGGTGTGAGAGACGCCGCATTCGACACTCGACATTCGACGCTGGACAGAGTATATTCCCATCAGTAAGTGGGAGAGTTTTTGAAGAGCCAACTTGGATAGATCGCTCTGACTCTCGAACACACCCATTTCCGTCGCCCTCTTCTCTCGCGAGTGCTGCTACAGCAATCAGGGCAAATTCACGTCCAGCGTGACCAGGACCGAAGAATCTTCCCTTTTCCTGCCATTTGTCCCATTCATCCCGCCAGTGATGGAACTCTTACTCCTCAACGACTGACCACTTTTCGACGTCGGTCGCGAGGCAGGGTATATCCGTATCGAGCGCTTCGACTTGTCGCCCGGGATGAGTGACAGCAAGATATCGTGATGCTGCGAAGATACATGCGCCGTGCTGCCGTTCTGATCGCTGCTGATGGTATGGCTGGCCCCATTGCCGTTCACAAGCTGCGAGCCAGACACGCCGAGAGGTCGGCCGCCCAGGTTGTGAGGGAATATCTCGACAATGTGATCACTCAGCCCGCGCGAGATGTTGTCCAAGGCGCTTTGTTCGAGCTGGATCTCTTCAGGGGACATGAGGTTCTCGGGCGGGATGGTGTGCCCGGCGCCCCATGTTCCGTAATGTTGGGCCGAGGGATAGTCATCGTAGAGGAGGCGTTGGCGGTCAGCCTATATATATGATGAATGAGTCTTTGGTCCCACTGATGTGAGTGAGACGGAGCTTTACATACATCAGCCTGGTTGTGACCGCGCAGGCCCAGACAGGAGAGGCAGACTCCCATGATGGCGCGAGGCCTTTGTCATGAGACTGCGACCGTTGAAGCGAAGCGCCCTTGTCATACATCCGGTGGCCACATATTGGAGGAGCGTAGCGTTACGATTTCATTAGTAGGCAAGATCAAATTCAGGCTCTCCAGAGCCGACAGCTGAGCAGCAAAACCCTTTGCGAAGGTGATACGAGTTCTGACGCGAGACACATCATCGGGTTCGCCGAGGGTTCGCTTGATTCGCGTCCCCAAAGTTTTTCCGACCCGATGATTTTGGCGACCTCGTCGGCGACCTCTTACGCTCTCCTCGCCTCTCACGCTCTCCTCAGGCTCAATCCACCTTCTGCTCACATCTGCCTAGACTATTCGAGGACGAAAAACCTAAATGCCATAAATGTTTCAATCCTAGAGGGTGAGCGAAGGCTGCTCTAGCCTGAGCTTTAACTGAGCCTGTCGCTGGGCATCACCGAGCACGCATGCAACATCTACGCTCTGGTCGCAACCAAATAAAGCTGGTGAAGCGCCTTGCTGCTCAGGGCTCAAGACGTTCCAAGCCTGGATGCAGACGCAGTTTTGTCCTGCACCTGTCGAATATCGCTCCATGTGCCGGTGCTACCATCGATAACTGTCATTCAAGTCGGCATGCCAGGATCCGACTGCTTTTCATGTCACTGCCCATCAGTCTCGCTCTGCTGGCTCCAGCCTCTCATACCATCGAGTGAGTTGCCTCTACGTTTTGCCATTCTTGCACGCGCGTGTCCGGTCGACTTACCAGAAACCTACGGTTGGAACTGTACATGTGACCTGGGCCGCATTGACATCCAAGCATTGTGCCTACAGGTAGGTGCCGAGGCTTGACTTGTTTGAGGACATCATGCAGATCGAGTACAACTAGGTGTGGTCGCTAGCTACTTGATGGAGGATGGAAAGCAACGCAGCCTGCTCATGAGGAGATATTCGACAGACCGTGTAGCTACGAGCTTCATAGATCTATACCTAGGTATACGGAGTACAATGCCCCTTTCCCGCTTTGCCCGGTCTCCGCCTCCACCTCCACCTCCGCAAGTCGAGCCATGCAGTATCACTATACTGATAGGGCATATATGGATCCATCTCCCTTTACCACTCTGTTCGAACCAAGAAACGCCACACTCCAACGCTTAGGCTGCTCTTGAACTACAGCACGAACGATACCGCTTCCACCGCTTGTTCAGAACAATGGGTGCCCCTGCAATCACCGACGGTGCCAGCTACCAATCCATTCCCGAGACAACTGTGGAACTGGACTGGACAGACCTTGTGGCGCTAGATCTATCCGACTTTGATCGACGTGGTGGAAAGCAACGACTTGCAGCTCAGCTTCACGACGCCATCCAAAAGATCGGCTTTTTCTACCTTGTGAACTTCGGTCTGTCCCAAGAAGAGGTCAACGACCAGTTCTCGCTTGCCGCCCAGATATTCCAACTCTCTGAACAGGAGAAATAAGAATATGAACGGAACCACAGCCCGCCTGGCGGACCGCTGGGTTTCCAGCTCAGAGGCAACAAGCCTGGTCAGCGAGAGAACGTCGAGCTCTACGAAGATCCCAAGTGGAACAGTTACTTCGAAGACAGACCCCGTCCACCGCCGTGCCTGGAGTACAAGGAGAAAACCGAGAAGTTCTGCCGTCACCTGCACTACCACATTCTCTACCGTCTGCTGGTCCTGACAGCCATCATCCTCAAACTTGACGACGAGGAGACGCTCTGGAAGCTACATGACTATGGAGCCATGTCCAACTGCCACATGCGATACATGCTGCAACACCCTAGCGCATCCAAAGGAGAAAAAGGACTCGTGCCAGAGTCCATTAGAGGGCATTCAGACTTTGGAACTTTCACCCTTCTTTTCCGCCAGCCGATTGCTGGACTTCAGATACGGACGGCAGACAACTCCTGGAAATGGGTCAAAGCGTACCCTGCCTCCATCACCGTAAACGTTGCGGTATATCATGTCGATGTGCAGAGCTCCCAAGGCCGGCCATGGAATACTGTTACTCTCGTGCATGATTGTCCCTGGCGAGTAGATGTGCAAGGAAGGCGGGGAAGATCATGTGGTTTGAAAGATAGGATGCAAGCATCGAGAGCGGCAGGATCATCTGATTCCCGTTTCAGGTCGTGGACGCCTCTAAGATCCAAGGAATCAAACATAAAGTAATTAGTTGTCCGTGGTGGTGGCTCTCGACAGATCCCAGCCGAACAAATCGAGATCAGTGTCTCCTAGGACTGCATCCCATGTCTCCCCCACGGCGTCTATCGCGTCCGCGCTGGGTGCCGTGGGAGGATTCCCCCCAGTCCATGCAGGACTGCATGGCGATTCAAGGCATCCCGTCGAATTCCTCGTCAAGCCATCAAAGATGGTGGCGAGCTGCTGACTCCGCTCCAACGAACCTTCAATGATACTGTTGACCACTCGCTTCTAGATCCACAGCTGGTTCACAGGGACCGTCTTGATCCGATCGACCAGAAACTGGACGGTATGCTCGAGTTGATTGGAGTGAACCGCCTTTCAAGACCATGTCCATGCTTTCCGCCTCCTTCCCGTTGACCAAATCACCCGTAAAGAGCATTCTCTTTGACTTTTCGGGGCCGAGGCGATACGTCCACATTGCCGTCCTCGGGCAACCCCAGACTCTCGTCGGCGTATATCCGATGCGGGCGTCTTCTGCCATGATCACCAGATCGCAGGAAAGAGCAATGCCACTGCCCCCAGCAACCGCGGCCCCGTGCACCTGCGCAATGGTGGGCTTGTGGCTGCGCAAGAGCTCGGCGTAGGACTCGGTGTATTCTTTCATCATCTGATAGTCTATGAACGGGTCGAAACCTTTGCTCACATCCTAGCTGCCCTCTTTCGTCCCTCGCACGCCCTGTTCGGCAGTGAGGTTTAGATCGCAACCACCACAGAATCCCGGTCCGTTTCCCTTGATGATAATGCAGTGGACTTTGGCATCGCCATTCCCGAGCCTCACAGCGGCACGAATCTCGCCAGGGAGTTTCGGGTCGATCGCATTGAAATGTCGGGGTCGTTTGAATGCGATGGTGGCTACTTTTTGATCTTCGGCGACCCCGTAAAGGATTGATGAGAATGAGTGCGACGACATGTTGGTGAGCGAAGAATAAAGTACCACAGAACTCGCGAAAGCCTTGAGTCGAGGTGAAAGATTGATCTATATAGTCAGGATATATTCGGATTGGAAAGTTACAGGTACCTTAACATCCCAGCGCGTCCCCCTCCCGACCCCAGGAGCCTAGGCCCCATGGTCAACTCGATAAAAACCCGCACCCTCCTATTATGTAAACTGTCCTGTGCGTGACAGTCTGTGCAACGGCACTGAAAGGGCGAAAAGGATCAACATCTGGCATCCGTCGAAGGCAGGGCACCCAGAAATAATGACTTCTAGCGGTGGTCAACTTCAAAGCATACCTGATCAAAACTTGCTCTCCCTCCTATTTTCAAATAAGGACCGAGACGACGACTCAGTGGCCTGGAGAGATGGCAAAAATCGCAATCAAACCATTACCAAGGGCCAAACACGAAAATTGGTCTGCCAACTCACTCACAGGTACAGACAATCGGGATTGATAGAAAGCGGGAAATGGGATCCCGACAAAGTCATCAACTTGACGGAGAATCAGGTGATGGGATTCCCGAATGTGCTGGCTCTCATAGCCTTGGGCGCAGTGGTTGCGACCTGTCCATAGCAAGCCACCGCTCACAAACTGCTTTTTCAGATTCAAACCTTGCGACCTAAAGCTGTTGTCTGCTCAAAAACGACAGTTCCATTAGCGATGGCGACGCGCAAGTCGAGCGATCACTGGTTCTCCATCGTGGTACAGGACTCGGAGACGATGACGGGAAAGGACGAACGAGGCAGGTCTTTCATCTCAGGCCAGAAAACTCCATGGGATACGGCTTGGGATGAAGAAATTGCCAATCGCACAGCCGTCATGGTTTTTTCAAGTGGCACCACAGGAAGTCCCAAAGGTTGGTAGTGTTGCACTTACTTGTTGATGCGATTAGACTGACAAATGCCTTCGAGGCGTCTGTACTTCCTCAGAGAAATATCATATCCATGATCCTGCAACTTAGACACCTCTTCCGTCCAATCCAAAGTGGCGGAAAATCTTGAAAATCGCCGGAATCCTCGACAGTGTCCATGTCGCGGGTTTGTTCATCCATTCCTTCTGCCCTTTGGGCGTCGGAGTCGAGGACATCCTGGGCCCCCGCCACAGACATCGACCTGCTATTACATACGTACAACCGATATCCCATCGAACTCATGTTCTGTGTTCCTACGGTGCTGATTCGCCTCCTTGCCCACGACGATTTCAAACGGACAAACTTCAAGAACCTCAAGTATATCACGACAGGAGCCGCAAAGACGACCGTAGACGTCCAGCAGGACATCACCAGAGCTTTGGCCCCGGGCGTATATTGTCAAGTCGTGGGGGATGACGGAATTGACGTTCCTGGCTACCATGCCCGCCCCAGGTGTCCTTGGCCCTGGAACAGCGTTGGTAAACCACTTTGTGGGAATGTTATCCAGATTCGGGACGACCAGGGGAAGGTGCTGCCAGTTGGTGAGACGGGCGAAATCTGGGTCTCAGGTAGGCGACTGGCAGTTTGCCATTAAAACCACGAAACTAACCATTTTGACTGACCCTAGGTCCGACGGTCACACCTGAGTATTACCTGGCTCGAATGAACGACCATGCGTGAGGTGATGGAATCGAGGTTCTTAAGAGTCTCTGCAAGCATCAAATTCTCTCCCATCTGACTAGAGGGGGAAGTGGACAATGAGCTCGGGAGGACCAGCAAGCCGACATCTCGGTCGCAGTGACCAAGGAGGGCGTCGACGCTCTTCGGCGGCAGTGACATTGGTCGGAACAGACGAGGGATCAGCGGCTCAACCTCTGGGGACCTCGACGAAAGCCATGTCGCGCTTCATACGCCCCTAGCGCTCCCATGGCACTCTGCGATCTCGCAGGTGCAAGCATTGGGTAACTGCGCTGACGCTGTGATATTCTATCATACTGTCGGCGGACTCAGCTTGTGCTACTCATGCACACATATTCGAGATAGTGGCTGCTTCTTCGCAGTAGCAATTCTGGCATCTCAAATGGGTTCTGTTATGTAAAGTTGAGTGTATGATGAAGAAGGGAGAGGAGCAAGTGCTTAGGCAGACTTACGGAGCGTGGAGAAAGCAAGTGAGCCGAGTGCGAGCAAAAGCGGCGAGTGGCTAATCTACAAGAGAAGAGGGACGATGTGTTTTTCTCTCACTCTTTACGGAGTACTACCTGCTCCTGTACTCCTACTTGTCCTTCTAGGCTACGTGTTCCTGTAAACAGCTCACATGGCTGCGCTGCATCTGACTAGGCTTGGAGACACATATCTCACCCCAGACATGGCTCTCTCTGAAAATCGAGACGGAGTCTCAAAGCACACCCACCACACTCCCGATTGTCAGCTTTACTGCAACATGGCGAGCCATATCAGTGGACAGAGTGAGACAGCCTCCTCTTTGCCTCATCCAAGTCAAGCATACTTTGTTTGCTGCGTCCACCGTTGTTCCTCCTCCTTGTCGCTCATATACCTTGCTCCTCGATTTCACCAAGCACGGAAAGAATTCAAATTGTACACTTCATTGGAGCAAGGCACCGATGCCGCAGGCTTTGTTATCACTCAACATTTCGCAAGTGAGACATGCCCTTACATTTCACTTCGTCTTGGAATTCATTGTCTTGGACTTAAGAATAGCATTGTTGGATACATGCGGCGGATCGTGACCCTTGCGTCGGACATGGCTTGCCAAGAAAGGCATATTCCCCCTTCCTATCTGCCAGAAGGACCTGTTGACGTTTCTATCGGCCTCATCTCCGCCCAGGATCTGCAAGGCATTCCTGCATGGGATTCTATACTGCGGTTTCTCTGAGACAATCATTCTTTCGAAGACGGGTATTCGTGATGTTGTGATGACTGTGCAAGATATATAGCCGCTCCCAGCGATGCTCAGTAGGTTTCGATGTTCATCAACCAGTTCACTCTTTCGATTCCAAAGTCGCTCGCTACTAACCAACAGGTTTCTTGTCACTCGTTTGAAATCAACTTACAGTCCCTCGTTCAAGATGCGATCTACCCTTATTGCACCCGCCTTGTGGCTGGGTGTGGCTACAGTCCTTCCTGGTGCTTTTGCCCAGGAGGAAGCTTCGACCACCGATACAGTCGCGAGCGCAGGTACGACAGATTGGCCGTGGCCAGCTGAGCCCTACCCAGGTGCTAGTATCTGGCTTGACTGGATCAACTCTGCCAATAGCCTGAGTACCACGACCTCTGGCTCCGGCACCACTTCCGCAACTGCGACTTCCTCGGTGGACGGTGTCGTCAGCACCACCTTGTCGACAACTGCTGTCTTGACTACCAACACAACGGATATTGATTCAACTTCTTCCGATGTATCTACTTCGTCCACTGAAACCGTTTCCGACACTGTAACAACATCTACCGGTATTTTGCCCTCAACTTCCAAAAGAGCAGCTGATTCGACCGCAACCTCGTCTAGCTCTACTGAGGACTCCGCAACATCATCCACCTGGTCGTGGGCCTGGACAACCACCACGGGCAGCTCGGAAACCACAGCCACAACCTCAGCAGGAGAAAGCCCTGACACCACCTCCTTCTCATCCACGACAGTGACGACGTCCGAAACCGCCACTACCACAACATCAAGCGATGATTCAGGCCCCACCACTTGCCAGTACGCCGGCCTGTCCCTTCTCAGTGGCACAGATTCATGTGTCAGGTACAACTTCATCTGTGACAAGACCTATGACGAGAGCAGCTTCCGTGGTGCCTGGATCACGAGGGACACTCCGGAGCTATGCGCTCGCCGTTGTGACACTGTCAACGCTAATCAAGGTGCTGGGACATGTGTGGGTGTTGTCTTCGACACTACGACCGATACAGATAATTGCAGAGTCCTCAAAAACCTCAACAATCCCATCACCAGCCCCGACACGATTGCTCTACTCGTTCAGCGAGATCCGAACTGTGCCAAAGTGGTCAGCTCCACGACTGTCTCGGCTGAGGCGTCTACGACGTCGGTTTCGTCTCTCACAAGGTCGACTGGATCTGTCACTACGGAGACGTCAAGGTCCATGTCTTCATCTAGTGCTTCCACTTCCTACTCGGAGAGTCCTATCTCGACCACTGAAACCTCGAGCTCAATCTCCGATCTGGCTACTGCTACAACCACTTCCGACTCCACAATCACGGGTGTTCCGACCTCAGCTACTTGGACCACACGAACACGCAGTGACTGGAGCGATTGGACTAGCGGCTCATGGAGCAGTCACAGCCGAGGCAGCAGCCACTCCGGCTGGTGGTCAGCTACTTCTAGCGGAAATTTCACATCCACCACTGCACGCCCCACCGTGAGCAGCTCGGGCGCTATCCCGACCTTCACGACTACATCGGTTCCCTTCCGAGTGAACGACACCTTGATGGCCTCTGCCACGATCTCTACTTCTGTTTCTGGTGCCTCAACCTATACCTGGGCCAACACTACAACCAGTGCAACTCGCGTGTCAAACGCCACCGTGACGTCCAGCACCTTGGGATCTCCCATCTCGGCTACTACGTCTTGGTCCTGGCCTAATTCTACCAGCTCCATCAATGCTCCCATCACCACCTCGGGCTCCAACTCTTCTTCCACCGTTGCCCCTGTTACAACGTCGTACACCAACGCCACAAGCTCTGCAGCCACAACATCCACCACAAGCAACACTTGCCCGGCATCGACCACCACTTTGACCATCACAGTTTCTGGAGCCCCCGCAAGTGTCACTGGCCCAATCGTTACTGTCACCGGAACTGTCACAGAAACCACCATGAGAACCAGAACAACAAGGACCACGACTGTCGAGACAATCACTTCGACATCCACTGTGTCGGCGACTTCCAGCGTCACTGTCTTTGTGACTACGACTCAAAGCCTTGGTCAGCGTTGGGGACGGTGGCACTGGTAGACTGCGACTCAGATTACGAGGGGCATATGGATGGTAGAGCTACACGTCAAGTCAAGCACTCGCAGGAGCTGCGGGCTTGCGATGATCATGGGCTTGAGGCGGTATGAGAGCCAAGGGCGGTCTTGCTCAAGTCCTTCATGTCATTGACTTCTAGATTTCCGGTTCTGCGTCTCGGCAAGATTCTTGTCTTAGTCTAATAGAATCCATCTTTCCTCAATGCAGAGTTTCTCTGTAAAAGCCCGCAAAGGTCATAACTTGGCTGTTCGGAGAACTGACTTGTTGCTCCAGACTTGCACTTCTCGATCTTCCTGATAATTCTGAGGGAAGTACTGTGGGCCCAGGGTCTTCTTGACCACTTTGCCTGTGCCACTCTTGGGCAACTCACCCTTGACGAGCCTCAAGAGTGTTGGCAGCTTATATCCAGCAAGCCGATCTCGTACGTCGGCGCGTAAGTCACCCAGGCTCAAGTTCTTGGGATTTCGATTGTTCTCCTTGTAGAACTGCTGAGCGACTTCGTCATCCCGGAGTGATACGACCGCACCGACTCGTTGGCCGAATTCTATATCGGGCACACCCACCACCATGGCTTCTCCGATGTACGGCAGGGCCAGCAGCTCTCGCTCTATATCCAGAGCCGATATCTTGTACCCGCCCGACTTTATGATGTCCACCGACGCGCGACCCACGATGTAGTAGTATTTTCCTACACGTCTGGCCACGTCCCCGGACTTGAAATAGCCATCCAGGTCATGGGCATTTGCTGTCGCTTCGGGATCATGGAGGTATTTGGAGAACATGTTGCAGGACTTGGCGAGCACTTCGCCTTCGTCGCCATCTGAGAGCCTGACGTCGACACCGTATGACAATTCGCCGACAGAGCCGTCAGGGATGTCTTCGCTCGAGTGGGGGGACATGCCGAAGACAACGCCCAGCTCCGTCGACCCATACCGTTGGACGATCCTGCGGCCCAACAGTCTGGTCCAGAAATCGTTGATGGGCTTTGGCAAGGCCGAGGTGCCACACAAACAGACCTTGAAGGCTGCGGCAGCGTCGCTGTAACTTCTCGCCTCTGCGGGCGGAAGCTTCGTGGCGCGCTCGAGGTAATACCGCATCATTCGCATGTATATTGTCGGCACGCCAGTGTAGTGCGTCAAACCACCTTGGCGCCACCGATTCCACGTCCATTCGGGGTCGAAACTGCCGGATTTGAACTCGATGCAAGCGCCGGCTTGAATGAAGGGGAAAAACGAGACCCAGATGCCCGTGGCGTGGTGGACGGGGAGCTGATGCAGAAGGGTGTCTGTCTCCTGTAGCCCGATCTGCTGCGCGAAGGAGAAGGCTCCTTCAATCATGGCCGCGCGCTTGAGCACGGCGCCCTTCGGCGGCCCCGTCGTCCCAGAAGTAAAGATGACCACACCCGGCGCGTTTGGATCGTTGTAGCGATTCGACGAGATCTTGATCTTGTCCAACGCAACCGGCGGTACCCTCTCGATTGCATTGATGGGCACAAATCCAAAGCCTGTGTCTGTGGTGCCCTGGATTTCGCGGGCCACGGCTTTACCGAGCTCGAGAGCCGGAGTCGCCGTAACGAGCGCCACCGAACGCGCCTTGTTGACGTAGTAGCAAGCCTCCTTGACGGGCTGTGCGCTGCTAAACGGACTCGCAGCGGCCCCTAAGGCCATGATGGCCAACACGCCCACGACGAACTCATACCCGCCAGGGGCGAGGAGACTGACGAAAACTTCCCTCCCATCCCGCAGATCATCCACCACTCGGGGTGTGAGAGAGTCTCTCAAAACCCCTCGCAGGATGAGGACATCGCTCAGCAGCTGGGCAGCTGTCCGTTCAATCCCTGCATTGACGTCGCGTATCGCCGGCCTTGGGTTGCGACGGTGTGCAAGGGTTAGCAGGCGAGTGAAAAGGGGGTCGGCGGGCAGAATGTCGTCGCCGGTGTGACTCGGCACGAAATCGGTTCTGTCGAAAGGCGGCTGCGGCTGTGGTTGCGGCTGCTCTTTCATCTTGACTTGTGTCTTGCCGCCATCAACACCACAAGTCGCCGCGGAGCCCTTCTTGTATCTGGGACGTGCTGGGACCAGTAGCCGCTGCGGCTCTCCTAACGCAGGGCGAGATCTCCAAGAGGTGAAATGCCGCTTCCGCCAATCACGGCGATTTCTGGGAGCCAGAGGACCTCCGTCGTGCCCCCCGTCCAGCAGCCTCGGCACTTATGCTGGTGGTGGAGGGGGAGCTGGTTCGCCTAGGCATCCCCAACGTCGTCAAAATGTCGCCGTCGAGGATCCCGAGTGTATTCCCGAGATGTCGCGTGTGGCCGATCATATAGTTGCTACCGGTCAGACACCGCGTACGGCGGACTGTATCTTTGACATAGCCCAGACGTGTCCTCGAGTCTGATCGTCGAACCTGACTTGTCGCCTCTTGACGTGGCCCTCAACGAGATGGCTGACTTCACGGACAAACTGCGACCTGCCGAGCCCCAAGGGCCGAGTATCCTGGCCCAGGAACGAGCGGGATCAAACGTCAATGTCGACGCCTTGTCACAGCACTTACTTTCCCGCAATGACTTTCTCAATCGACAGAAGAGGATCCTGTCCATACTGGAGCCGCTCCCCATCTTTTGTAAGAGGAACCAGCTCAACATGGCCAGGCCAGACCGGTACCACCTTGGCCTCGCACGGGCAAAGGCACTGAGGAGATTGTCGTTGAAGCACGGTTGGGACCGAGACGACTACGTGATGGCCGACTACCTGATGGACGAGATGGGCCCGTATGCTCTGCAAGCTACCATGTTCCTCACGTCGCTCCGGGAGCAATGCAACGATGAGCAGAAAGCGTACTGGCTCCCCAAGGCCGAGAACTGGGAGATCATCGGCTGTTACGGGCAGACCGAGCTTGGCCACGGAAGTAACGTCAAGGGCATCGAATGTCAAGCAAAGTGGGATCCTCGGACGAAGGAATTCATGATACACAGCCCTACCATCACGGCCAGCAAGTGGTGGAATGGCGCCCTCGGCCGAACTGCCAACCATGCCATTGTGGTGGCTCAATTGTTGCTGCCGGACCCGAAGACCGGGAAGTACAAGTCCTATGGCCCACACCAGTTCATTGTCCAGATCCGGGACATGAAAACCAACAGGCCCCTGGACGGCATTGTCATTGGCGACATCGGCCCCAAGTACGGCTATCCCGGCATGGACAATGGCTACATGCTCTTCGACCACTTCCGGGTGCCTCACTCGGCACTCCTCTCCAAGTACTCCGGCGTCGACCCTGACAACAGCACGTACAACAAGCCCGAGAACCCGGCCGTCGTGTACGGATCCTTGACCTTTGTGCGGGCCCAGATCATCATGCACGCGCGCCTCGTGCTGGCGAGAGCTGTGACTGTTGCGGTCCGCTACCTGTCGATCCGGCGCCAGTTCGCGGATCGCGACGCGAAGGACCCCGGCGCGCCCGAGCAAGCCGTGCTCAACTACCCGACGGTGCAGATCCGCATCCTACCTCTCCTGGCCACGACCTTCGCGCTGCATTACACCGGGGAAGCCATGTACAAGCTCTACTGGGGCACGCGCGAACAGATCGAGAAGACGGGCGACTTCTCGCGGCTGGCCGAAATGCACGCCGCCTCCTCCGGCCTAAAGTCGCTCTGCACGACCCTCGCGGCCGACGGCATCGAGACCTGCCGCCGCGCGATGGGCGGGCATGGCTTCGGCGGGGGAAGCGGCATGATCGCGCTGAACAACGAGTATCTCTCCAAGCCGACCGTCGAGGGCGACAACTGGATGATCACGCAGCAGACGGCCGCGTACCTGATCAAGCGGATGCAGGCCGTGGTCGACAAACCCAGCCTGAAGCCGACCGACTCCGTGGACGAGCAGTTCCAGGAATATATGCGCAACACGCGCTCGTACAACACGCGGACCAGTAACTTCGACGTCATCGGCTATCCGGTCGAGCTGGTGCGGGCGTTCAAGCAGCGTGCTTCGTACTTCTCGTACCAGGCCTACACGGCGCGAGTGGTCGAGAAAAAACCGTGGACCAGCATGATGCTGCAGCTGCACAAGCTGAGCCGCGCGCACTCCGAGTCCCTGCTCGTGTCCAACTTTTACGACGCCGTCTTCACGGACACACCCACCCCGGCGCTCGACGAGGCCACGCTAGAGGTGCTCAGGGTGCTCTTCCGCCTGTTTGCGCTATTCACGCTCGACGCCTCGGCGTCGGAATTTCTTCTAGCTAAAGCCATGACGGTCGACATGCTGCAGCATGTGGCCCCCGCGATCCAGGACCTGATGGCGCAGGTTCGTCCCCATGCCGTGGCGCTGGTGGACGCGTGGGCCATCCCGGACTACGTGCTCGAGAGTGCGCTGGGTGCGTACGATGGCGATGTGTATACTCGGTTGTTTCACAAGGCGCACAAGGAAAATCCGCTGAACCTGGTGACGTTCAACCCGGATTGGCGGAGCGAAGAGATTGTCATGGGCGAAGGGGAGGAGAGTGCGAGGACGAGGCTCGAGGCGTTGGCTTTGGGGGTCACGGCGAAAGATCACGAGCGCGTGCAGGCTGGCGCGGTCAAGGCGAGGCTATAATACTCTAGAGTCAATTCAGTTAATCCATCACTTAACTGGTATACTCCATATGGTCGGTGGTCTGATCTGAATCTTCTCCTTGGCTAGCGTGGACAAGGCAAGGGTACAATAGAGTTCAATTCAGTGAATCCTTTGGTCCCTTGTATACTCCCTACGGTCGCTAGTCTAAATCTTCGCCTTGGCTGCCGTCCCAACCCTCTTCCTGTGCACGTAACTGATTGCCTTGAACTTGTCAAGCGCCTCACCCCACAGTTCGGATCTCAACAACCCATAAACACCCATCGTCGCCCGCGGCGCGATCGTCTTGGCGAACTCCACGGCCCGCTCCCTCATCGTGTCGGGCTCACACACCTCATCCACGATGCCGTCCTTCAACGCTTCCGTTCCTGTCCACCTATGCGCCTCGAGGAGCATCTTCCTCGCGATCCGCGGGCCCAGCTTCAGGCGCGGCAGGGCGCCGATCCCGTCAAAGTGCAATCCCAAGTTCACGGGCGGCATGCTGATGAAGCCGCGCTTGCTGTTCATGATCCGGTAGTCGCACGACAGGGCGAACGGGCAGGCCCCGCCAAAGGTGTGGCCCGTGATCAGCGCGATGGTCGGGTACGGGTAGTCGACCAGCGTGGCCAGCAAGGGGTAGAACCCGTCCGCGTTGGCGTAGATGTTGGAGTCCGACTCATCCAGCTCGAGGCCCGTGCACCAGAACTTGTCGGAGAAGGAGGAAATGATCACGGCGCCCGGCGCGTCGGGTTTCATCAGGTCGCGCTCGATGTAGCGGAGGGCGCTGATGACGGTCTGCGCGAAGGCCACGTTCAGGCGGTTCTCCGGTGGCTTTTGCATCGTGAGCACGTGCACGCCTGGGGCTGAGGCGGGAGAGTCAATGGTGAGATGCGGGAACGTTGGCGCCATGGTGACGCTGTGCTCGTACGGCTCGTATGGGCTCAGTGGCTCAAAGTCCTCGTACGCGCTCAATGTACTGTGTGGCGGACGATTAACCGGCGTGATTGATCAGACTCCTGGCAAAGGTCGTCATGCACCTGGCAGCCCTCAAATATCCTCTGGACCGGCAATGATATTTTCTGGACAATCAAGCGGCGTCAACGTGTTCTTCCAGCTTGAAAGATTCTTGCTCTGCTCCTCGGCCGAGGGAGAGTCCAAGCGACTCCTGCGCCCTTTTGCGCGCCTGTTCGGAGTATCGCCTCGGCGATAGCTGTACGTAGCACACAAGGACGATATTGGGGAAAGCGTCAACCTCGGCTCGAGGAGCGGGGTCACGTGGGTTTTGACCAGCTTGGCAGTTACGGTGGACCATAAGCTGCCTCGGCGTGCTCGGCTCACTCGGCTGCCTTTCCCAACCATTTCCTCCGCTGCACCTGCCGCCCACGCTAGGAACAGATCTAATCCATATCTGGCTTAGCGTTAGATTAGCTCGCTCACTTTGGTCGCGTCCTCTCATCACGCATGTCCACCGCTTGATGCTCAACGTCGTCCTCAGGATTGTATGGCAGAGAGCTACGTTGTGCTCGGAGCTGCGAGCGTGAACTCAGATCCATGGGCACTACCGATATTACTTCGACATTTCTCTATCATGTCATGGGAAACAGAGCTTCAAAGCTCATTTTGCGACCAACTTTGACCTAAGCTTCACGCCTATGCAACCACGGCGCCTACAAAGGGCAGTGTCACCCCTCCTGCAGGGAGGCCATGTTCGTGCCGGCACGAAAAGGAAAACATCATGAATGATCTGCTCGTCAATGCTGCTTCTATCTGCCGGCCTTCCTGTTCTCCAGCACCAACTTTGGCGCCAACCTTACTTGCGGCCTTACCCCGTTTGGTTGTCCTACGATGTTGCTCAGTCACCAGCAGCATGACTACAGTTTCACACGCACTCCTGGTTGTCGGTGTCAGTGCATAACACCAGGAGCGCCATCCAGGAATTCCACTTTTGGTAATGACGGACTGAGGGTCGGACCCTTCCATACGCACTAATCAGCCTGACATATGCCAACGGCGTGCTCCCCCCTCGATTAACCCATGGCCTCTTCAAGCGTCGAACTGACATTCAGTTAGCCGCCAGGAGCGTCACCATACAACAGGGTTCCATTCACCTTAACGGCTTCTGCTGGGCAGGTGCGCAGATGCTGTCGCCGTTGGGCGCCCATTGGGCTCGCGCCAGGCGTCTGACTTTCTGAAATTGACAGAAACACGCTTGCTCTCCAACTCGCGGATGATTTCCTCAAGTTGACGCGCTTCTCGGCTCACTTTCTCGATGCTGGCCTGGAACCTGTTGCCCTCGGCCTTCCAGCGCCCCAAGTTTTCTCGGCAGTTTCGAAGTCGTCTGTTCTTGGTGGCTATATCCTGGCATGTCTTACACACGTCGTCTGAATGTGTCACGTTGTGCTCGTCGACTAGCCTGGCCGGACAAGTCTCGCCTATTCGAGGCTGGCGAGGACAACGTTGTTTCATGTTGCCCCATCTCCAGTCTCCGCAGCTGAAATCCGTCCTCTCGTAAAAGCACATGTTGGGTATCAGATTACGATGTACGGTTCAGATGCACAGATGACGACCGCCAGTCAATTGTTCGAAACTCTGTCTGCTCCACACACACACAAGTCAGTCAAGCCTTCCTGCTTCATCAAATCTTGTTGGCATGGACCTTACTGGCGAGCTGGGCTTCTTTCCCGGGGAACGACTTCGGTCTTGCCAGGTCTCTCAGCCAACAACGTTACCGCCGAACCTTCTTTTGTTCCTTGGGCCACCCGCGTCTTCCTCTGATGACTTGAGGTTTTGGCAATTGGCGCCTGAGGGGAATGTCTGCAAGGTTGTTTCGAGACTTGTAAAGGTTTCCGGGCTGAAACACAAATTCCTCAACCAACGAACGCGGGACCACCATCGATTGATATCTTTCCGCCTCCCCCTCGCCTAATCACCCTGGCAAATCGACCACTTTACAACACATAATCCTTGCGACGTACGACGTGTCATTGACCATGGCCAATCGCCAATTCACAGGCAGCAGAAAAACAATTTCAATTCGGCCCAGCCTCAGCGTGAGGTCACTTGAGGCCCGGCATCTGCAGGTCTCTACCACTTCCTCGACTCCTGCCGTGCTGGTGGCGAACGAAATACGACACAAGAACACATTTTCCGACTGCACGAGACCTTTTGGCAATGTGAGCTTGTCTTGACTCATCATAGCGGTGGGCCCATGGGCTTCATGACTTCAACCGACACAGCTCCTACTGGATGGCTCGTCATTGTCTGCTTCGTGTCGTGTGCTTTCTGTTGAAATCGGTGCGGCGTGGCAGGATCTGAGTCGTGGACCAGGGGCCCGCCGAGGGGCGAGATGGCCAGCAGTTGATGTATGTATCAGGAATCAATATGGAGCGCACGCAGTTCTCGGTAAGAAATCAGTCTAGTCGTGCAGATCCAATAGTGCCGGATCATGGCTTCCAGAATCGGTGCCGCGAGTACCCGGGGATGTCTGGAGATCGCAGCGAAGCAAGGGCTCCAGCTGTCAACAAGCTGAGACTCATTGACTCCAGGAACAGGGCTCATATCCCGGTTTGTTTCCACACACGGCGCGCCGTATGTGCAAGGTCCGCAAACAGACCTTTTACGACCAGCAAAGGAGTCGTCTTCTCCGGATCCAAACGCTCGAGTCAAGACCTGGCTTCACCTGTCCGAAGGGCTTGCTGCGACGGTCAACCTAGAGCAGGGGTTTCGAGAGGGTGGACTGGGTAACCACGCGGTTGGCTGCCTGAGCCTTGTTGCCCCAGAGCCTGCGATAGACCGGATCCATGCACACCCAGCCGTTTGCAGAATGTGAGAGCCATAGCTGGAGTGGACATAGCTAATCGGCATTTGACACGAGAGAGTCCAGGGGAGGGCGTGTCGTCAGCCTTCCGTCGCGAGCATGGCAAGGGCTGACCATCCTCCTGACGACAACTGCTCACCTCGAGAAGGGAAGGTGGTGGCTGGGAAACCCTCGTCTGCCCGTCGGCTGCCATCACCACAAGAGCTCCTTCCCTCTGTTCCACCTCAACCAGCGCATCAACATTGCTGCGCGATACTTTGTGCCCGGGTCGTCCAGCGTCGAAGTATAAATCTCGCTTCTCCGCTACCGCGTCGCCGTCGGTCCGCTAGCGCACAAACCCGATCACTTGTTGAGCTGGCTCGACCACATTGGTGGAAAAAAGCTATCATTGACACTCTTTCTGCCTACGTCTGGGGTCCTCCTCAGCAGCTAACCGTCTTCAGAGGATCCCAAGACTTCGGCCAATACCACCAGCATGAACTCAGAGCTCTGGAAGGCCCTGAGACATGTTCGCGGACCATCATGTATGACGCCTGCCATGCACATATGGCCGCTGGAAACCTTCATCGCCTGTGCTAACACTCCTTTGGGTCTGGTAACGATCCTTTGTTCGCAGCTTGCAGGTTGAGTGGGTATGGTCCGTGTCGATATGGGTGCTGCTCTGCTGGCGACACCCATGAAGTCTCTCTTAAGTGATCCCTGTCGGGTTTAACCGGCGTAAACACTTTGAGGACCTCTGGATCCGAACCATCCCTCAACTCGTAATGCATAGGCGACACCATCGACTCAGCACGGCGGGATTTCTCCATAATGCCCGCTGCTTCCTTGCTTGCGGAAGGGATTTTCGTGGCCATGACTGTCTGGGAAGTCTCTTCTCCCGATTCGCGTTGCGTAACGCAGAATCACGCCTCGTCTCCGCTTCCCTCTTCTCTAAGTCTTGGGAGCTGATGCTCTTGTCAAGCTCGCTTCGGGCCAGTGGGCCTCCCGTCTAGCTCTTGCAGGATACAGACAGGATACAGACAGGGTACAGGCAGGAGCTGCTGAGATCCGTGCCACTAGAGGTGCCGTACCCGCCTCACCTCATTTTCAGCAGGACGAACGCTCGATCGCGTCGCTGACCCGCAGAGCTAACACAAACTTTTTACTAGTATTCGTCTCTAGCTCATTTTCCTGCAGCAAGACGAACCCGCACCAACCTAGCTTGATCCTTGTTCAAGCCTACCGATCGATGCCACATTGCAAACGAGCGATATCTGCGGCCCGATCCATGTTGTCCTCGAGCAAGACCTTCCAGGCTTCCATAGCCGAGCAGACTCGACACGACCTGTCCGAGGGGGGTGAGCTCGGTCGCTGCAACTCTCTCTAATGATGCGGCTCTGTGGCAAAGATTTGACCCCGTCCGCGTCATACCTAGGCTTGCTGCCCGACAGAGGTGGCTCCAGAATGACTGGAAGACGTCTGTCGCGAGCTTCGGCTTCACCACGTTGAAGCGGTTCTGCTGCTCTCCGGTATAGACGTCCTGTCTGTGAACTATCTACTCAGTCTGTGGGAGTGTACGCTGAAAAGGCAGGTCATGAAAAGTATCTGACGATAGAGATCCGGAAGGCCCCTCAATGTGCAACCGGAAAATCTCCACTATACCACTAACGTGCTGTAGAATTAACCTCCTCGATACCAACAGCGACAGACAGCACACAGGGCTACGACATCAGCCTTGCATATACATATCAACAAGGAATGCTTTGTTCTTGTCCTTTGTTACCCGAAGACGCAGGTACCGTGGTGCTGTGGACAATGCCCAACACTCCTGGGGCTGCAATGACCCGAGATCAAGATGCAGGCGGTCGTGGAGGGAATCATCTCCCCGAGAGGTGATGATACGGGGGCTGGTGCAGTGGCACGCAATCGGACACCCACCTTGTCACACCCCTTTCCAGGCTCGATGACGATGCTCCCATGATGGTGGTGGTGCTGGTCTGAGACTCATTGGCGGGATGCGTTAGTCTGGATCGGACTCGATTGAACTGAAGAGTAGGGGACATTCTGGCTCAGGGTCATCACGTTCCGGAGCGGGAAGATATAGACCACTTGAGCACTGGCGGTTTGCAATCTGGTGCAACGACTAAACGAACAAGAATGGCCACACGGGCGGACCCTGTCGAGGCCTGAGCTGTTCTGTCACGAGAGATTGTGATTTCAAGCCCACTACTGTGTCCTCTGATCGTCTCTCTCTTTGTTCTTGAGGGTTCCATGCCCCCACTTATATATACAGAGTAACAGCTTCCTGCACATGTCCGACACCTATACCCACCAGCCTGTGGTCATTTGTGATATACTATTTCCTCGCCAGGTTTTTGTGCAAGATATGCTCCTTCATGCCCAACCCAGCGAGCGCAGCCAACACAGCCAGACCCAAGCCCGAGATAAACGCACCCCTCAGAGCATCCATATATATACCCAGAACGACATCCTTGTCCCACCCCTGGGGAAGATGCTTCATCCCGTCCAGACTGTCCTTGAGCCGGCGGATGACGCGCTCACTTCCTTCCACGCCACCATACTCTGCACGCAGCTCCTTTGTCAGAATATTTTGAAACACAGCGCCCGCAATGGTGATGCCGATGGTCGAGCCGGTCGAGCGGAACGCATACGACGCGGCGGTGATGACGGCCTGGTGCTCATGTGCGACACTGGAAATCATACCCACTAGCGTGATGGTCAGCATGCCGCCGTACGCGAACCCCAGAGGCACTGGGAACACAAAGGTCTCCCAAGCGGGCGTGGCGAGGCCAAACGTGCAGATCAACCCCGAGCCCGCGACGAAGACGACCATGACGCCCACCATCTGCAGGTAGTACCGGCCCGTGGCGCGCATGATCAGCCCGCTGAGCAAGCTCCCCGCCGAGGTGGCGGCCGCGAGGGGCACGACGCGCAACCCGGCCGCCGTGGCCGACAGGCCCCGGATCTGCAGGTATAGTGGGACGTAGTAGATGGCTAGAAAGGCGGCCATGGTGCCGAACCAGTTGGCCAGGCAGGCGGCGAGGACGGTGCGCGTGCGCCCGATCAGCGCGACGGGGAGGATCGGCTCGGGCACCCAGCGCGGGAGGGACGATTCGACGTAGATAAACACGCCGAGCGTGACGGCCGAGAGTACGAGCGAGGCGATCACGACCGGGTGGCTCCAGGGGAATTGGTTGCCGCCCGTGTTGAGGCCGAGGAGGAGCAGGACGAGGCTGCCGACCAGGAAGGCGCTGCCTAGGAAGTCGATCCGGGAGAGGCGCGACTTTGTATTGGTACTGGCAGTGGCACTGCCGTTCCCGTCCACGTTCCCGTTGCCATCCGCACCATCTTGCCTCTGCTGCGGATGCGCATCCCCATTCTCATTTGCATTGGCACGCTCCTGAACATTGATATCCACCAGGAAAAACACCAACACCGTGCTCACGACGATAAACGGCACCTGGAGCAAAAACGCCCAGCGCCACGAAAGGTTGTCCGAGAGAACACCCCCAATGGGACCCCCAAGCCCCATGCCGAGCCCGTACACCAGGTTACCGTACCCCTGCCACAGCCCCCTCCGGCGCAAGGGGATCAGATCCGACGTAATGTACGTGGTGATGCAGGTGAGGCCGCCGCCTCCCACGCCGGCGATGACTCGCCCAGCGATAATGGCCCCCGCGTTAGGCGCCAGGCCGCACACCAGCGTGCCGGCGCCAAAGAAGACGTTGCTGAACAGCAGTCCCCACCGGCGTGAGAAGATGTCTGTCAGTTTACCGCTTAGTGGCTGGCACGCCGCGTTGGCGATCAGGTAGCCTGTCGCCAGCCAGGAGAGGAGAGACAAGGAGTCGAACGAGCTGGAGATGGGCGCCGTCAGGGTCGCCACGATGGTCGTGTCCAGGGCGGCGAAGAAGACGCCGATCCACGTTGAGGCCATGATGGCGAAGAGTTTCGGCGTGGACGGCGTGGCTGCATTGTCGTCGTCATTGCCTTCTGCGGCGGTGTCGTCGCCATGTTGAGCGTTTCCCACACGCACGACTGTGCCGGTGTGGTTGTTTTGCGCGCTGAGCAGGGGGTCGGTTTCGCTGGGCGAGGTGTCCTCGGGGGGAATGCCTATCGTGTAGGGCATTTTGGGTAGAAATGATGGTCGCGGGGTGGTGGGCTCGGATATGTGCACAGTATTTTGTTACTGCAGTCACGAACAGTCGGTCAGTCACAGCCACCGTCACGGTGATAGGACCTGCAATGGGTAGTATTGTAGGCCTCGGCGGATTGGACTTGTCGACGTTCACAGAGACTGTATGTCGTGTGGATGTATTATCTGTGATATTTTCAGTGATGTATGTGTGGGAGGGCTATTGAGTTCTCTTCGATCAAGCTGCAAGTAGGTGGAATATCAAGTGAAGCTCGGGTGTGCGTCTTTGCGCCAGTGAGCTACGATGCGGAGTTTCTCCCCCATAATCTGTACGCGCACTCTCAAAATTCTATGTACGAGTACTCCGTACAGCATGTATCTACATGCCAGAGGGCCGCTCATTGGTTGAAAACCATTGAGTTTTCGAGCAAAGGACTCCAGTCGGGTTTGTCCGACACAAAAATTAAAAGGGAAAACGATGAGAGAGTGACGTAGAAGTTGAATGTGCGAGACTACCTACGAGGTAGAGTCCTCGAGTACCCCATACTCGTACGGAAAGTCATCGTTATGGTGCAGCGTTGAAGCCGCTTAGAGCTGTTGTATAGACACGAAGAACGATTGCGTCCATAAGGTCGTACCCGTATCAATCAATCCCTCAAGGCCTCAATATCTACAATTTCCTTTACAGCCTCGGTCGTCAAAACATACGGGCTGTCCTCCTGGACACTGACACTGTCCTCGATACGAACGCCCATATTCCTGAAATGCTTGGGCCAGCGCTCGTCATCTGGGACGTAAATGCCGGGCTCAATGGTGATACAGTGGCCTTCTTGCAGGGTGACCTTCCTGCTGTATCCGACGGTGTCGTGGACGTCCATGCCGATATAGTGGCCCAGATGGTGCGGGAAGAGCTTCTCAATGGCCTTGGAGGACATGTCGAAGCCGATCTGTTTCAGCTCCTTGGAGAGATATTCCTCGGCGACGGTGTGGAGTCTATCCAGGGACATGTTTGCGCTGCCACGACAGAGCGAGACCAAGGTCCTTTGCACAGTGAGGACGGCCTGGTAAAGATCTTTCTGCGCGGCGCTGAATTTCCCTCCAACGGGCCACGTCCTGGTGATGTCGGCGATGTAGCCACCGTATTTGCCGCCTCCGTCTACCAGAACCAGCTCGTCGTCGTGGAGAACGTCGTCGTTGCGCACGTAGTGGATGCTCAATGCGTTTTTCCCGCCCGCCACCACGGGCTCGAATGCATGGGTGTCACAGCCGTTCGCGACGAAGCGGTATCTGAGATAAGCATCGAGCTGCTTCTCCCGCGTCCATGCCTTTCTCATCGCCTCGGTATGTGCTCGCCCGGATGCCCTGCCGGCGTGTCGCATCAGCTCTATCTCGGCCTGGCTCTTGAAAGCTCGTAGATCGTTCATGAGGGGCCTCAGCCGATGCAGCTTTTTCGGCTCGATGACGTCGGCGAATTCTGTTGTCCTGCGAGCTGCGCCGAACAGAAACCGCCTCAGAACCGACTGGTTGGGATCCGGCGTCGTGATGTCGGTATAGACCTGGGACGCCTCGCCCACCAGCTCCGGCAGGATCCTCTTCAGCTTGGAAACATCCCCTGTCTCGTCGGCATTGAAAACATCTCTCGCCGCATCTATGCCTGATCTCGCGCCATCCCAGATCTCCGCCTTCGGGTCCTTCTCCCGCACGAAGAGGTGAAATGTATGGTCCGTGCCTGTCGCGTCTTTGCCAATCACCGCGAGCGCCTCGGGCTCGTTGAATCCGGTCAGGTAGAGGAAGTCGGGATCTTGGTGGAACTCGTAGAAGACGCTGCCGGAGCGGAACTGGATGTCTGAGGCTGCCACAATTGCGATGGCCTTGTCCGGCAGTTTGGCTGCCAGTTTCGTCCGGCGATCCGCATATTCCTGGGCGTTGATGCCGGGCGTCAGCTCCCCAGGGCGAAGAAGGTGCGGGTGAGTCTCATGGACAGGTTGTCCGAAGGATAGCTCGGCGGCATCTACCGTGACAGTGTTGTAGTGACGGAGCCATGATCGCGTGCAGCTGGTCGAGGGAGGCGCAAATGGTGATCTGAGAACATTATCAGTACACTTGAGCGTCTGCCATAAGGTCCGCCGCATCGACATGCTCTAGAGCGATGTCTGCGACAGCGAAGAGGTGACACGAATCTTCGCCGAGTGATCAATTCATCCTTGAACTCTCTGTTGCAAGGTTGGAAGCAATGCCAACTGACGCACTTCTCCACGGCTCGCGTGGACTTTCCTGGTTCGAGGCTTGACCACTTGCGCCCTATGTATTTGATATATGCTTGTTGCCAGTAAGTGACTCATTTAGACGTTCATATGCTGTGACTATCCTCTGCGAGTGGCTTGTAATATACTTCTAAAGCTCAATCTCTACAATTCGGTCGAGGAACAAGCGCTGCAATCATGGTTCGCAACCTGGAGTATCCCAAGAAACCACAGAATACTGTAAAGCGCTACGATGGTCGAGGTAAGAAGACGCACCGTCAACAAAGGACTCTTGTCACTAAACTGTCCAGGGACTTATGACCTGGGAGCCATTCATTCAATCATCAACACCACCTCAGTCCTTCATGTCTCATTTGCCCCGAGCCCTGACCAGCCATTTCCCGCCATCCTACCCATGATCGGCGTCATGGGCTCATTCGAGTATCCGTCCTCGGGCATTGACGAGCCACTGGACTGCTACCTCCACGGTTATGTCAGTTCCAGGATCATGCGCCTGGCACGAGCCTCGGACAAAGGGCTGCCGCTTTGCGTCGCCGCCACCAAAGTCGATGGCTTGGTCCTGTCGTTGACTCCAAACTCACATAGTTACAACTACCGCTCGGCCGTCCTGCAAGGGTATGCCAAGCCTGTAGAAACCGACGAGGAGAAATTGTACGCCATGCGCCTGATCACCAACAAGGTCGTTGATGGGCGTTGGGAGAACACTCGCATTCCGCCTGATAACGTGGAAATGACTTCCACCACTATTCTGAGGGTCAAGGTCGAGACCGGCAGTGGAAAGATCCGCCAAGGCGGTCCTCATGATGAGGCCAAGGATGAGAAAAGAGACGACGTCACTGAAAAGGTCTGGACGGGCGTCGTGCCGGTGTATGAGGCCTTTGACACGCCAATACCGAGTACAACGAACAAGGTGAAGCAGGTGCCATCGTACCTGGATGCATATGTATCACAGACGAACAAAGAGAATCGGCAAGCTGCTCTCGATGCCGTGAATGAGCCATGAGAAGGATTTTGATAGGCGGCCTTCCGAGGTCCCATAGCCGGTACCAAGTCATGAGGCTGGATCTGCCAGCGCGCTATTGGCGGTTGTGGTGACTCAATGCATTTCATGTCGAGAAGGTCAGAGGTGTATCGGTGTGCAGCAGACTTGGGAAGATGAACATCTCGTGACTCGGTTTCAGCACAATACACACCAATCTGCCCCTTTCTCGATAGTTCGCGCGAAAAATGAATTGATCCTGCATGATTATTGTAAGAGCCACACACATTGGCCCTCTTTCAGGGACTGCTTTGTGGTAGCGTTCATCTCGTCGATGTTCACCGTCAATTTCGACAAGAGAATGTCCGTGGCCGCGAAAAGGCGACTTGACCCTCTATCAGCTGCACTCAGCACCGAGCAACGTAGACTGAGCTGCTTAGCGAGCTCGGTGTTGAAAGGTTTTCCTCGCGTTTAGAGATATTTCGGGCATCCCTCATAGTGCCATTTGAGAAAGATATTGCACAACACGCCGCAAGATAGAGTCCTTCCTGACGATCTAGGGGTATGGTTGAACCAACCTATCACTAGTATTGTGTGTTCTGTCCAGACGTATCCGGCGGATGTGCCACGCGACAGATTAAACTAAGGTACGAAGTACTCCGTAGGCCACGCGAACCCACTGTCCTTCATCAGGTCGTGGCGGTTGCTATGCCAACCTACCGTAAACAGCCTTTACCAATCTCTGTAATGCGTCACCGCCAGGACTTCCCTAACAGATCATCACAGACGATAGTATCCACATCTTTTCTTCGAATACAGATTCTTGAAGGCTGATATGAAGGTTCTGCACCACCAACGTCGATTGCATGCCGAAGCCCCGTCGTGAGTCCGCGGCAAGGGCCGACACACGTCCCGCATTCAACAGGCCGCCGAACGCGCGTGCAGCACCAGCACCAGCACGAGCACCAGCCGCGCACCCTTTCCTCAGCGACGATGACGATGAACCTCCCCGTACGCCGAAAAGAGCCCCGAGGCCGAGGGAAAAGGCAAAAGCGTCACCTGTGCCCTCGCCATCGCCGGAGAAAAGACCTCGTAGAGCCAGCGATCGACACCGGAGCGCAAGCGACGCGCGCGGGGATCCCAGACGGCACAGGGAAAGAGAGCGAGATAGAGCAAAGTACAGCTCAGGGACGTCGACAAACAGCGGCACTCAGCTTCTGAGTAGTGCGGCGTTGGCAAAGCTGAATGCGCACAACGAGCGGACGGAGTTTGAGGAGAAGTACGAGGAACGCAAACGCAGAGAGAAGAGACAGAAGGAGTACAAGAAGCTCAAGGCGGCCGACGCATCTCCCAGACGGAAGACGAAACACAAGAATCGCAATGTCAGCGGTGCGATCTTGGAGGAAGGAAGGGGTGGTGGTCGAAAGCACGGACGGGCGCATGGACGTGGTGGTGGCTACGAAAAAGAGTATGAGTATGAGGCGCATAGACGATCAGACGGCGACGCTGGACGGCGCAAGAAGAAGATCTGGTTGCTGTTAGGTCTGATAGCGTTGTTGCTGATAATCTTCATCCCTATCGGCGTGGTGGTGAGCAACAACAGCAAGAAGTCAGGTGGTGGATCGTCCCCGTCTTCCGCCTCCTCAGGGGACACCTCATCCGACCCGAAGAATGACTGTGACGCAAGTTCGGTTCCAGCAAGCGCAAAAGGCACCTACACCGATATCTCAACCTGGATGGACACGGCCGACTTCAATTGTACGTACACGGCGGAGACAGTGGGAGGGCTGTCGGTCATGGGTCTCAACTCGGACTGGGATGACTCGACAAAGGCCAACGACAACGTCCCGGCATTGAATGAGAAGTGGGACTATGGTAACATGCCCATAAGAGGCGTGAACGTTGGTGGGTGGCTGTCCTTGGAACCATTCATCACACCGTCCATGTTCGACTATCCCGCCTCTGCCGGTGTTGTTGATGAATGGACCTTGACCCAGAAGCTCGGACCAGCTGCACAGCGTGTGCTGGAAACACATTATTCCACCTTCATCACGAAGCAGAGCTTTGTCGATATCAAGAATGCCGGCTTGGACCATGTGAGGATCCCATACCCCTACTGGGCCGTCACCACATATCCCGGTGATCCATATGTACCACAAGTTGCGTGGCGGTACCTTCTGAGAGCAATCGAGTACTGTCGTCAAAATGGCCTGAGAGTCAATCTCGATTTGCATTCTGTCCCTGGCAGTCAGAATGGCTGGGCTCATAGCGGTCACCAAGGCGACATAGGTTGGATTTTGGGCCCTGATGGCGCCACGAACGCTCAGAGGTCGTTGGACATACATAAGCAGCTCTCTTCCTTCTTCGCGCAGGATCGATACAAGAACGTGGTCACCATCTATGGCCTTGTCAACGAGCCAAAAATGTTGGTCATTCCCCCCCAATCTGTCTTGGACTGGAACCAGCAAGCCATCAAGATCGTCCGAGGCAACGGCATTGATCAACACATCGTCTTCGGAGACGGCTTCCTCAGCCTTGACAGCTGGGACGACATGTTCCATGGTGTTGACGACAAATTGGTCATGGACACTCATCAGTACCAGATCTTCAACACTGGTCAGCTCAAACTAAAGCATCAAGACAAGATCAACCTTGCATGCTCGGGCTGGACAGGGCTAATGGTTGCGGCCAACAATCCCTCGACCGGATGGGGTCCGATCGTGGACGGCGAGTGGTCCCAGGCGGATACTGACTGCACGCCGAATCTGAACAACGTCGGCGTTGGCTCTAGATGGGCGGGCACTCTTGATACAGGTGACCCCGACACCTCAGTCTTGACACCGACCTGTGCTGAGCCTCCGTGTTCTTGTGCCCAAGCAAACGCAGACCCGAGCACGTACTCCGCCTCGTACAAGCAATTCTTGCAGATGTACGCCGAAGCCCAGATGCACAGCTTCGAGCAAGCCTGGGGCTGGTTCTATTGGACTTGGCGGACTGAGAACGCAGTACAATGGAGCTACATGCTGGGTTTGAAGGCTGGAATACTACCTGAAAAGGCATACTCGCCGTCTTTCAAATGTGACTCGAATGTGCCTGACTTTAGCGACTTGCCAGAAAGCTATTGATCTTACTGATCTGGACATTGATGCATTGCGAGGGAGTTTAAATAGGGGAATACAGCTGGGCCGGCATAATGGGAGTTGTGGACAGTACAAAGGTTACGAGCATAATGTCGAGCAATGAATGAACATACCCACGGTAGACTTACCTGCTCTGAAGACCTTACACTCCTTCCCTTTACAAGGTTAAAAACCTGGAGGACTACTTCCAGATAAAGCTCGTTCCTGATAAGCACCAGCTATAGAAAGAGTAAAGCTGATGGAGAGTCAGCTCCTGCCTTACTCGTAAGAGAGTCCTTGCCCTCCTCACTTTCCCTTCATAACAACCTCAGTTCGTCCTCAGTATGCTCTCCAACCAGCTTCATGTGGCTTCCACTGCCTTTTATTCACTTGTATCGCTTTGCCCAGGCCATTAGTGCTCTGCTTCAGGGGTCACATTCTGCTTCACTGCCTCAGCTATCAATCACCAAGGCATCACCTGTATGTCACCTCTGTATTGTCACTGGCTTAGCATAAAGGTGCTATAAAATCTCTCGCCATTGATGATCGTTTCCTCTCTGCTATCGCCATAGTAACGACGTCACCTTCATAGCACACCATACAACCAGTTCAGGCGATATCGAGTGACACCTGCTTCACTACCACGCCGGCTTTGAAGCCCATGGAGGATCAGCGTCCCTTTGATCCAGGGGCCCCTGGTGCTTATATCGACCTGACGGCGGAAGATGATGAGTCAGATGTGCCCCTTCTCCAGCCCATGAACAATGGATCCCGCAACGGTGACGAATTCAGAGTACCGGATGCCACTCGGTCTCGTGCGTCGACGTTTCCCTACCCAGGCAACCAAGGATTCGCATACCGTCAGGACGCCCAACCTTTGTGGGGCTCTCCAGTGCAGGTCATTAGCACTCCCTCGCTATTGCCGTATAGCCTTCAGGCGGGACCATACTATCAGCAACCATACAACCTTACCACCGAACCGCCGTACAGTGGTCAGGTCCCTCGGTGGGTCGTAAGTCCACATCATCTCGTGACAACAGGCAATCAAAACATTATTTCTGCAGCTGCTCATCCGTACTGGAACCCAGGTCTCGGCCATGGTCCTTTCGACTTGCAAGCTAGGTGGCAAGGACGGCCACCAATTCGCAAAGACTTCAGTCCTCGGCGTCCAGCATTGTGCAAGACAACTCTGCAAGGACAGACTCGCATTTCACCAATCAAGAAGAGGCAGGAGAACTTACCGCCAACTCCAACCAAGAGCGTTGCACCGTCAAAAGCACCCACCAACGCGCCACTGCAGCAGAATGGGTTGTTATCATCTACGCCTCAAGCGCTTGAGGTCCGCTCTGCTGGAAACAGCTTGCCGCAACCTCTGTCGCGGCCTCGAACTTTATCTGAAGGACAGACAACGTCGTCGAACGTGGTATGCATGCAGTCGCCGCGAAATGATCAGGGCGGAACTTCGCAAGGAAAGCTGATTGTGAATTTGACCAACTCGAATATCGTGATCAACGTCTCTGCCCGTCAAGTGTTCGATGAAGAGCAGTGCGACAAGATACTGTGGCTGGCCCTCCATGGTGTTCCAAGCCGAGCCATTAGCTGGCTGATTGATATCCGAACACCTGCACATACGAGCAGGCCGACGCTTGTGGCTGGCATTGATAAGTTGATAAAGCACTTCATCCCCGAGCTCGCGACGGGTCAGGGTCACGTTGAGGAGCCGGACGCGCTGGTTGATCGTCTTCTGCGACGAGGAGATGAATTAGACTGGAGCGGGCCATACCTGCTTCGGCGAGTCATCGACTTCACATCCATTCCTGAGGAGGATATTGATCGCGCAAGGAAGGAGCGTCAAAAGAACGCCAGAGAGCGCCGGGCGCACCAGAAATGGCGAATCCAGCATGACGAGGATCCAGCAGAGGGCGCAGTCCAGCAGAGGAATCAAAAGGTAGCGTTGGCGTTGCGAGGTCTGGCCCGGTATGCAGATGAGACGGAGGCGGCCATGGAGAAATTCGGATATCGCGAAGGTAGCCATGAAGCTGAGAGGCCACTTATGAAAAAATGGCTGCTCAAGATCCGTGAACTTGGCAAGCTGCCCGATTACCTGGTTGAGCATGGGATCGTGGCGAATGATGACCAGTTGGCTGCTGAAAATGTTCTAAGCGCTCCAGGAACGATGACAGCCTGATCTTTGCGTGGGTGGGAAGTGGCCAGTTCATCGGCACGGAGACTGAATGTGCGGCATCAGCTGTTGACGGACTTGGAACATCATTGTGGGATGTTTGGATACTGGAGTGGTCCTTCACAGTTGGATTGTAAGGGAGCTGTATCATAGTTGGGGAATCTCACGGAAGCGTAGCACTCAGAATGCTGTTAGCGACTTGGAGTGAATGACATGACGACAGACACGTCTTGAAGCTCGCTCCCGGGCAGAATGAATGGAGGTGAAATGAAAATGAATTGACGTGACGTGCGGGAGTGTGCACCAAGATGTCCTTAGATTTAAGTACTGTAGTAGCTTCTAGCCCTGCGGCTGTCGAGGGCTTCTAACAATCTGATTGGACGACTTCAGCAGTCTGGCGTCGATACTTGTTGTGCTCCGTACATACTCCGTAGGCATCCTCGCATCCCACCTTTCCAATCGCTTCGGATCAATCCACCATCGAGGCACGAGTAGAGGAAACAAGCGACAAGTAACGGCCAACGGACCATCTCATCATGTTATGATTCCGAATTAGCTCGCTGCAAACAAAGTTTCTCCACCAAGCACGGACTGTACCAATGTCTTCTCCTCCCCCATCTTCGTCACGGGTAGTCCCTCAGCCTAGCCCGCGACAACTCTCCTCTCAAAGTACTCGTAACTCCCAACATGCAGGTCCCCGCGCCATTCCTTCCGAACAGCCAGCCCATAAAGACGACGAATCGAGCGACGATAACGGCAACGACGACCATGCGGAGGGGCAGGGGGATCTGCCTATGAGCATGACCGCCAGCGTCATGTTGACCAACTTGCCCAAGGACGCAAGCCAGGCGCTCAGGGAGATTGAAGCGATTGATGACCGAAAGGGTATGTATATGTATGTGTGATACATGTATTGCCCATCTACAGTACTCCGTACCATCACCTCAGTTCAACTTTACCTCGAGACACGCACCCGTGGCTTATTCATTGCTTGTTCGTCCGGTGAAGTCACCCTCTAACAACAACAGTCTCGGTTCGGTTCCAGGCAATAGGCAGCGCGCCGATCCTCAAACAAAAGGTCTTCAAGATCAGTGCGTCGTCCCGGTTTAGCGTGGTGTTGAATTTCCTGCGCAAGAAAGTGGGCGTCCGGGAGGGGGATGGCCTGTTTTGTTATGTGAATAGCGTGTTTGCGCCGGGGTTGGATGAGGGGGTCGGGAATCTATATCGGGTATGTACTCATTCTCGGTGTTGGTTGTGAATATCGGTATCACGTGGTCGGGTTCTAGTCTCTGGAAGACAGATGGAGCAAGAGAGCAAGGAAGATTTGCAAACGGTTGGAGCGCTAACGCCTCGATGATCTAGTGCTTCAAAGTAGACGACCAGCTGATCGTCAGCTATTCCACCACGCCCGCTTTCGGATGATGACCCCCTCAATGACTAGCTAATTACACAAGTATGCAGAACCTGCAGTCTGACTGAGTGTGTGCGCACTCCGTGCGAAACGGAACCGACCGACCCAGGTAGCGGATCTGGGGAATATGACCTCCGACGTATCAGCAAGAAGATCAAGCCTTTGGCGCGTCAATAGGCTGGCTGGCGGGTGCTGCTGAGGAACTGATAGCTGCCTTGAATGCCTCCGTCACCTTCGCATCGCTCTTGTACACATGGGCAGGACCGGGGTAGCTTCGATCGCTGACCTCGTCCTTGAACTGCTTGATGGCAGTTAACCCAGCATCCCAGATTGAACCGTACTGCTTGACGAACTTCGGCATGAAACTATCAGGCGGTCGAACGCCAAGCATGTCAATCTGCACCAGGACCTGGCCACTTGTCTTGTTACCTGCGCCGATGCCGATTGTTGGGATTCTGAGGGCTTTGGTAACCTCCTCGGCGATGTCCGGTGGGACGCATTCCAGCACGACGGCGAATGCACCTGCTTCTTCCACAGCTTTGGCATCTTTGAACAAGGACATTGCTTTGTCGAGGGTGTTGCCTTGAACGCGGAACCCACCGAGGGCATGTTGACGTTGAGGGGTCAGCCCGATGTGCGCGCACAGCGGGATACCAGCAGTTGTGATTTTCTTGATGGCTGGCGCCATCTCTGCTCCTCCTTCTAACTTGACACTGTGCATGCGACCTTGTTTGATCATTCGGATTGCGCTGGAGAGTGCTTGCTCGGGGCTGAGTTCGTACGACCCCATGGGGAGATCACCAACTGTGAATGATCGGTTGGCTGCGCGGCTGACGGCACGAGCGGAGATGATCATCTCGTCGAGAGTCACCTCGGAGGTGTCGTCCATGCCCAGGGAGACCATGGCGAGCGAATCACCGACAAGAATCATGTCCATTCCAGCTTCTTGCGCCATTAAGGCAGATGGGAAGTTGTGTGCCGTCAACATGGTGATGGGCTTGTTCTCAGCGTACATTTTCTGGAGCGTTTGGATTGTCACAGGCTTCTGGCCTCGAGCTGCGAGCGCGGCAGATGCGGGAGCATGTGAGCTCAAGCGGATCTGTTGCCATTGTCGGGTTTGTGGTGAGGTTGCTGCGCGGCGTAGATCTCGAAGGAGTGGTCGTGTGAGGCTGGACATCATGTTGACTGATCGCATTGAAGCCATGGGCGTTCAGCCAGCGTCCAGACTAATTCTGAAAGGAAGTGAGGAAATACAGAAGATGAACACGAGTGGTGCCCTCGTCAGTAACATTGTGCAGATGTGTAGCGTTGGCGGTGAGTGAAGCTGTTTTATTATTCACCGCGTGCTGAATTCTTTATGCGTAAATCTGAGAAAACGCGTGAAAGTGAGGGTCCCGTGAAGTAAAGGTGAGCCTCGGCGTTGACGATCCTGGGCCGGCGTTCAGGGACCGGAGGTCTTCACCCTGTTGGCTACAATACCACGTCTAGGCTGCATCGAGCCTAGCGGACGATGCTTCTCCGGGGTCGAACGTGGGTGCTACAGTACCTCGTAGGGTGCTTGCCGATGCCCTGGACGTCACTGCTGGGCTCGGCTGCCGACCGTTTGTTGCCTCTCAAATGGCCACCATGGGCTCACACAATTGCCGATTGTCCATGCCTCGGGATCATGGGTGTCCTTTCTGCAGCGTTCGTGTTCATCCAAACCCAGATGCAGCTCGTCAGCCTGATAATCATGAGGACGAGGCTAGACTTCCCTATCCGCGACATTCCTTGTCATCCTCACTGATGGTGCCAGAACCCTAGCTGATGAACTTTGCACCGCGCTCTACAAAACACGACCCCTATGGGACATGGGCGAATCCCTGAGCTGGTTGAGTGGCGGTAGCCACGGTGAGCACCTGACCTCGTGTAACGCAGCAGCCATGCCTGGCAGCTACGAGTACGGAAGCATTGCCTGGTTTATCAATCACGGGCGCGGGCTCAGAGGCCCGGAACCTCTAGCCTACGCAGTAAGTGAGAACCTGAGACCACCTGAACAAGCCTGGTGCCCCACCACATGCTTTCATGCTGTCTCCAACCCAAGAATGATGCTCCTCACCAGACCGATGCCCGCTTTCACTTCAAGTGACATTTGAGACGTACACCGCAGCTTCTTCTTCATTCCTCTTCTATTACCAGCTCTCATACATCTGGCGCTTCCCAACAGGATTCGGTCTCTAGCGACACACTTCAATCCATCTAACACTTCTTCCTTGTTGGATCTCACCCCGCCCATTTCTCCGACTATTCCTCTCGCGAACAAAGAAGCCGAGATCAGCCCACCCCTTCACCACTCGATCCTATCCTCGTGATCCTTACCGTGCTCCTTTCCTCTTCCGACCTCACAGCTGCCCCTCGCCACCAGACCACGACGACTGCCTGAGCCATCGAGCTGCCGTCTGCTTCACACAATTTCAGAACAAACCTCTATTACAGTTAATTTTACACCTGAAACTTCTGCGGACCGGACGAACGGGCGGTTGGCGAGCCACGATGAGTAGCCCCAAGCGGAGGATAGAGACCGATGTCATGAAGCTCATGATGAGCGACTATGAAGTTACACTGGTCAACGACAATATGCAGGAATTCTACGTTATCTTCAAAGGACCGTCAGAGAGTAAGAGCATGACATCTGCCTGAACTTCCTGGAAGAGTCGATCAACGTACGCAGGGACATGTTTGGCTGACGGTTCGCTTTTGTTTCTAGCACCTTTTGCGGATGGCAAATGGAAAGTCCACGTCGAGCTACCCGATCAGTACCCCTACAAGTCTCCCTCGATCGGTTTCGTCAACAAGATATTCCATCCAAACATCGATGAAGGGTTAGTCAAGCGTGGCCTAGTAACAAAAAGACAGAAGGATTGAGGCTGATGCGGGGTTATAGGTCAGGTTCAGTGTGCTTGGACGTCATCAACCAGACCTGGTCACCAATGTTCGACATGATTAACATCTTCGAAGTATTCCTGCCACAGCTCTTGAGGTATCCCAACCCTACCGACCCTCTCAATGGAGAAGCAGCTGCAATGTTGATGCGAGAACCTCGGGGCTACGATGCCAAAGTCAAAGGTAAGATCCCTTTCGCCAACTCCAGGACATCAATAACTTTTGACCAGAATACATTACTCAATATGCAACGAACATCCATGACGAGCATGATGAGGACGAACACGAAACCGACGGCGAGTTGAGCGAAGTTGAAGACTTCAACAGCGACGGCGAAGATGAACCTGCTGGTGCAATGGAAGATGTCTAAGCCTGGAGTTCTCGAGCACAGGAGTTCGGTCAGTTGGAGTATGTGGGCGCTTCGGGACGCGATGGGCGACGGGAAGGTTATGGCCAATGATGAATCTGCTTTTTTCCAAGTCGCTGCAGTGCTTTTGCCGCAGAATCCGCTCCAGCGCCAGAGTTACGAGGGCCTGACCCATTTTGACCTAAGGGCAAGAGGTACACTGGGGAGGAAGGGAATACTCATGTGAAATACAAAATCCTGGTGCCCCGCTACCTGCTGGGTGGACGGCCTCATTAACACGGACTCAGGCTATCTCTAGAGCGTGACCAGATCTCCTCTCAATCCACACCATCGTACCACATGTCGAGCCGGACTAGTCCGCTCACTCACGCTCTCGCATCTGCAATTCGTGCGTCATCGGGATGCCAGTGACGTGTTTCACCGATATTGATGCACGCGACCCGGATTGGGACAAGAGCTATTCTTGTCACTTGAGCCTGTGACAGTTCGACTGTCGCAGGCTACACTCAAGTCTCACCCAGCAGTCGCGAAGCTTCGTTCACCCCTAAGAACGTTATCGAACTCTGCATTGCGCGTCCACCTTGTCCAAAGACACTTACAACTTCTTTGGGTCTTCCAGCGATGGTATTGTGTCTAGAATTTCTACCGCCAGAGGTGCTTCTGCGCGTGCTTTCCTTCTTGGAAGTGCCTGACCTGCTCCAAGTGAGTCGCACAAGTCATGTACTGCGCGACATAGCTTGCGATCCTTTGCTGCACCTCGAGCGACTACATCATGCCTCACATACGCTGTCTACACTTCTCGCGCGACGGCCACCAAAGGCCGCGATCAGTCCACCCAACTCTTGGATTTGGTTGAGCAAAACCAATGTTCTATCGCGCCAGATCAGCAAGAGCTTAATCCGCATACGACTCAGTCACAATCTGGAACACAGGCCAAGTCCGTATGATCTCGTCCAAAGGGCCATATTACCCTCTGCCTGCACGAGCTACTCATCGCACGTGTCGCCGGTACTGATACAATCACAACAAGCGGTGCAAAGGCGCAAACTAAAAGATGGGCTCGGAAAAAAGCTGGAACGACGACCAAGCGTGAGCAGCCTGGTGTCGATGAATATCATACCGGAGGAATGTGCTCGACACAAGATATCGCCTGCGATCGTGGCTACCCGTAGAAAAGTGATCCGAGAGAGCTTGAAGGACGGACTACGTGGTTGGATCGAGGGTCGAGGAATTCAAGCACAGAAGAGAAAGGCAGACGAGATGGAGGCCGTAGAGAAGATCACAGTCAAGAACCTGGTGCGACGGTTTGCAGCCAGGAAGCTGGCGCACGATTTGGCTGAACAACGCACCGTCCATCAACTCGATCCTCTTCTGCTCGAGAAGAGGAGAGCTCAGGCGAGATGGGGTCGTGAAGTAGAGCTTGCAAAACAGGACGAAGAAAGACGCACTGCAATCCACGGGACTTGCGCCCAGCCTACAAGAGCGCATGTTCTGGGACTCAAGAAGTTCTGGGAAGGAGTAATCAAAGCCGCGGGTGGTTGATCAATTTCTAGAGCTTGAGTGAGCGGATCACAGTACAATTGAAGCCAGGTTATTTTACCCCCAGCTGCCTGGCACCGATGCTCTCTTATCTTTCACCCATCCCGTAGCCCCTCCGGCCCTCAACGATGCGGGTGCGATACTCATGCAAGGCTCGCGCTTAAGTAAGAACTACCCCAGCAACCAAAACTGGTCCCTTCATGCCACCAATGATGTCAACAGCTCAAACAATATAGACTCCGACGCTTTGGATAGACTGAAATGTTCACACATATACGCATACTCGTACTTAGGAAGGATAACGGCTCCCCGAGTAAGCATCACGTCGCGTCTTGTAGATCATCGTGTCAAATGCTGACCAGATGCCACACAGGCCAGAAACAGAGGCAGGTTATCTGCGTGGCCTGAGTTTCGAGGAATTTCGTCGCCGCAGTACGAGCAACTCGTCGCCAGGAGAAATTGCCCGTGACAGGGTGCTCGAATATCACCCGACGTCGCCAGCGGGCGGAATCGAGGTTTCGAGACCCTCTCATGCGCTTGTGAAAAACCACTTTGTTGCCCCGGACAACGGCATCTGTTGCGCGCAAAGCAGCCTGCCTCTGCCTATCTTGCCGCCACCACCTCCCCACGATCGCGGACCTGGATCTGGAGTATATCACCCGACCTTTTCCTTCTTTGGCAGCGCTTTTCAGCCTCAGATAACACCGGAGTCGTCACTGAGCGTGTCTCTACCCGTTTCTGACTTCACCTTTGCGTTGCCGCCGGAGATGGTGCGAGAACACCAACCGGCGCGAAATCCATTGGGACCAGCCATGGGTAACTCCAAGCCTCCTCTAGAGTCCCAGGACAATGACAAGAAAGCCGTTCCTACCGAAATAGCTGCATCACAGCCACTTTATCCGAGCCTACAGAATGCCTTTGCAGATCAGCCTCAATTCGGGAGACCGTCAATGCCAGGCGCCTCTCCACAGCCGTATTCAAGAACACAGCCTCTTGTCAGACCGAACAGCTCTGCTCCGCGACAAGTCAGCGGCAGTCAACCACGAGACAAGTATTCCAACCTGTTCGTGTCTGCGAAGAATCCATCGCAGCGCCCAGCGCTACACAAACCGAGGGCTATTGCCGACCCTCTACAGGCCTTTAAGAGCGGCCAGACTGCGACGCAGCCCGCCACTTCGACTTCCTCACGACCAGATTCTCGTGATAGCGACTTGTACGAGATCTCCAAGCCTGCGAACGTTCCCAGCTGGCAGCCTAAACCTTTCGTCGCGCCCACGTTTTCATCTCATCAGCCTCCAAATCAATTCTTCAGACCTCAAAATGTCGTGGACCTCACAAGAGACCTTCCCGTTCCACAAAGAACTACGTACCCTTCGAATAACCCCTCCTACCAGTTCGACCGGTTTGAAGCCACAGATCCCTACACATATATGGATTCGGCCAAGGCTAACGAAGAGATCAAGGCTTTGCTGGAAGGCGCTCTCGAAGACGAGGAAGATATCCCGCGCACGAGACGGAGAAAGAAACAAGTGGACGAGAAGCTCGAAGATCTTGCCAACAAGGTGAAGGCCCTCGAGGTGACCAGTGAAGACAAGACAGACGACCCCAGTCACGAGAAGATTGAGGAAGAGGACGATGGTGTCGTTGAAGGTCTCAAGGTCAAACTGCTTCCTCATCAGATCGATGGTAGGGACTGGATGGTGAACAAGGAGACCGGGAAAAGCCCAACCAAAGGTGGCATTTTGGCCGACGACATGGGTCTCGGGAAGACTATCCAGTCGATTGCTCTAATTCTCACGAACCCTAAGCCCAGCGGAGAGGAAGCCTCAGGGGCCAAGCGCAAATTCCCAGAAGGAGTTGGCAAAGGCACACTTGTTGTCGCGCCCTTAGCTTTGATCAAGCAATGGGAAGGCGAAATCAAAGATCGCGTTGAAGAGGATCATGCCCTCAGAATATGCGTTCATCATGGCCCGCAGAGAGCGAAAAGTTGCAAGGAATTGAAAAAGTACGACGTCGTTATCACGACATACCAAACTCTGTCCTCCGAGCATGGCGGATGCTCAGAAACCCTCCGCGTTGGCTGCTTCGGTGTCCACTGGTACAGAGTCATCCTCGACGAGGCCCACTCAATCAAGAATCGCAACGCAAAAGCCACAAAAGCAGCCTGCGCGCTGGATGCCGTCTATCGCTGGTGTCTAACCGGGACGCCCATGCAGAACAACCTCGATGAGCTGCAAAGCTTGGTCCACTTCCTTCGCATCAAACCCTATTCTGAATTGGACCATTGGCGCGAGAACATTACTCGGCCCATGAACAACGGCAAGGCTGGTCTCGCATTTAGAAGACTCAAGCTCATCCTGAAGAGTTTCATGAAGCGCCGAACCAAGGATATTCTCAAGCAAGACAATCAGCCCAAAGATGGTAAAACTCGCGCCAAAAATGAAGGGAAAGACCCAGGGTTCAAGATAGTAGCTCGAATCGTGGAGACTGTCGAGGCTGAATTCAGTCAATCAGAGCAGGAGTTCTACAATCGACTGGAATCAAGAACGGATCGAAGTCTCGAAATGATGATGGCGGGGAATAAGATGAGCTATGCTTCGGCATTGGTTTTACTCATGCGCTTACGACAAGCATGCAATCACCCGAAGCTCACGGGCAGCGATCTGAGCACGGAGACTGATGCAACAAGTGGTAGTCAGACTCCGAGTCGTAGAAAGGCCAGCGCGGAGGACGATATGGACAATATTGCGAACATGCTTGGTGGACTGAGTGTCGAAACCAAGAAGTGTGATATGTGTCTAACCGAATTGACGCCTGGAGAGGCCGCTAAGGGTGCAATTCGATGTTGGGAGTGTCAAGAGGATCTGGACAAGCAGAACGATCGAGTCAAGGCGGTTGTGAAGAAGAAGAAAGAGAAGAGACGCAAATCAGAGGTCAAGACAATCAAAGCGCAACGAAAAGTAGCACGACACGTTGTTCTGGACAGCGACGATGAAGATGATGCTGAAACCCCCGAAGACGACGAGGAGATTTCCTCCCCTTCAGGCGAGGACGAAGACGAAGATGACGACTACACCTCCTCTGACGAAGCGGACGCCTCCCCACCCACAGTCATGCAATCCACAAAGATCCGCCACCTTCTGCACGTCCTCAAAGAAGACAGCCACAGGCACAAATACATTGTCTTCTCTTTCTTCACATCGATGCTCGACCTCATCGAGCCGTTTCTGAAGACAAGCCGGATCCGCTACGTCCGTTACGATGGAAAGATGCGCAACGACGCGCGTGAAGCGTCTCTCCACGCCCTCCGTACTGACCCCTCGACAAGAGTTCTGCTCTGCTCGCTTCGGGCTGGCAGCCTTGGCCTCAATCTGACGGCGGCAAGTCGGGTCGTGATCCTTGAGCCGTTCTGGAATCCCTTTGTCGAGGAACAAGCGATTGATCGCGTCCATCGATTGAATCAGACCGAAGATGTCAAAGTCTATAAGATGACCATTAAGGGCACTGTCGAGGAGAGAATACTGGAACTCCAAGAGAAGAAGCGCGAGTTGGCGAGGCAGACCATTGAAGGCCAGGCGGGCAAGAAGAAGGCCCTGGGTCTGAGTCTGCAGGATATGATGCGGTTGTTTCGCCGGGACGCGGAGGACGAGACGCCCATTGATGTTGAGCAAGTGGGCAAGGGACGGAGTAAGGGATTGTTGGAGCGACGAGCGGATGTGCCGACAACGATCCCGGGTTCAGAGGCAGCCTCTTCTTCTTCCATCACTACTGGTGCGAACGGAGACGGTCGCAACCATGCTCATGCTCAAGCTCCGCGGAGGGGCGCCAGTGGTGGTGGATGGTCCAGCAACAAGCCGCGCGTGAGTGGTGATGGCAGCAAGAGGAATGAGAATCCTGTCTTTGGTAGACGATGGGATTGAGCTTCTCAAGCCATGTGTACACCTTGACGTGGGCGTGTGGCCCATTTTTGGCTGGCAATATGGTTAGTGGAATGGATGCTTGGGTATGGGCTCGGCATGACGATGGCATGGGGCGTCAGCATGGGCATGAGCATGTTTGCTAGATTAATGCATGAGCCTCCTTAGAGAGGCGAGCGAATGCCAGTCAAGCAAGTTAATGACTTGAATTCATCTGACGGATCGACAGCGTGCATCCATGTACTCACCTCTCCGGTCATGCTCTTGTCGATGCTTGACCAGAGCCTGCAGGTCGGACCTTGGTGCGTTCCATGCCTAGGGTTTTTGCACAAGGTGTCGTCGCGAGATTGACTATTTCACACCGTCACTGGAAGTGATCGATGAAGATGGAGCTTACGTTATCCGAGTACCTCGTACTCCGTAAAATCTGAAGAACAGACGGTGGCAATTCGATCAGCAGCCCGAGGCTCGTTGTTGTATAAAGAAGCCTGTTGATATGGAACCGAGGAATCGCCACGGCTTTCCAATAGAAGCCATGTCTTCTGGGTCTCCAACATTCTGAACGATTTCTTCTCGCCCACAAACGCTGTTGCTCCTTGTCAAAGAGGCAACGTTTGCCTGATTGGACTTTTGCCCGAGCCAATGCACAGATGTTTCAAGACCGGGGTCAGCTGCAGCAACAACGTGGCAGCCACCTTCCAAGATCCGTGTGCCAGGGCCAACGGGCGCCATGTCACAGTGGTGGCTGCTACCGCGTTCGGCGACATGAAGCCATTGCTTCCTCTTGGGGACGCAGGGTGCCTCGACTCTCGAGAATACAAAGGTGGCAACGACCGTGTGGGAGCTCTTGACGACTCGGATACGGACAGTATTCCGGGAGTTGCCATTGCCACTGCCCCAATGCGCACCCTGCGGATTCCGTACACCGTACGGTCCCGGGGATCCCCTTAAACCTCCAGGAAATCATGTCGCTATCACAAGCCAAACCGCACCTTGGCGATCCTGCAAAAGCACAAATCAGGAGAGCAGACGTTCATCGGCAGCGACGCAAGTGGAGAGCTCTCGAAACACTAGCGACATGGACTGAAGCGGGATCGTCATCGAAAGACAGAGACAACGTCAGAAAAGAGAGACCACGAATGGGACTAGGTACTGTAGCCTGCAGATTCCCCGAGAAAGGGGTATCTCGTAAGGCTTGGGGTGGTGAAACGTGGGTCAGCCAGGCTTTCAGAAGGTTGGCTGCATGAAGCCTAACTGCTTGAAGATCCTGCGTCCGCCCCGTGGAAGCAGTAACGTCTCAAGCCACGCCGACGGCACAGTTGAGATCGCATCACTAATCTGACTTCAGTCGCCCAGTATGAGGTACTGTTCTCTGGAAATATGGAGTAGGGTTTGAGCATTCATGGTTCGCAAGGCGAAGGGCATGAGAGCCAAGGCCACGATTGCCCCCTCAGAAGTGGCGCCTACCAGTAAGAGAGGCCTGAAGCTTCTAGGCTTTCTAACTGTGTGGGTTGCGCCTCTAGGCGTCCAATCGGCGCTGCATCTCCACGACAGCCTCTGCTCTTGCCATGTGCTGGGGGCAATGCATCACACCTCGTGGAACACGTTGGGCGCCCGTCTTGAGTCTTGGAACCTTCCAATACGGCTTCGAGAAAAGTCTGCCGACTGGGGGCGCTTCACTCTCAGTACTGTCCACTACAGGCATACAATGTTCATATCGCGGACAGTGAACTGGAGAGTGATAGTGCAAGCACCCCAAACTCTCGTCGTGACCCTGCGCGCGGTACCGTGGCTGTTCAGTTTCAGCTCGTGGGGATTCTCGGATTCTCGTTCCTTCCTCCACGTGCTTGATCTTCACGTAACTACCAGATACCAACAGGCTCACTTCGTGCCCCAGGCGACGTTGTGCTGTTCCCTTTGCCATTGACGGCCGGTGGACTAACTGCGTTGGAAGGAGTAGCGGCATCCCTGCAAGACCTGCAAGGTTCGCCTCCGCCTTACCAGACTAGACGGCTAGAGCGAGCATCATGCTTTGGCTACTGCATCCTGGGTCCTAGTACTAGACCCTGACCACATCCTCCACGACGGGTTTCGGTCCAGCACTTTCAACTCTGAGTCTGCTCCCTATCTGGCCTCTAGGCACACCTAAGCTATTATTCTCCAGAACGTTCAACACCAGGATTTTTATAGAATTAACAGCTGTCAAAGAGTCTCTGTCGAAGTCCTTCTGCCCGCTTGGTTCCCGCTGGCGCTGCCCTTTCATTCCTGCCTGAGAATCCCCGGGATCTTCCCACCAACTCAACGTTCCTTCTCGAACCTGTGCTTCCGCCGTCTGTCCCCCGACTCCTCTTTCGATTGCCGATTTGGACTCTCCCTGGATTCCAACCTCGGTTATGTCTAGCTAGGCAGGCTCCGGTATATGCTGAACGAAGGTCATGTGGATTGGATAAATCTCATCTTCGCTTCAAAGCCTGATCGTCAGGCGCTCAACTCCATCGCAAAGCTTCACCGCTCTCCAGCGCATATCCGCCCACACCCGTCGTCACCACCTCCCCCACGTTCGCCATTTGCACGACCACTGTACTTCCCCTCCAGACTTTCGATCAATTGTGTGATAACCAGTCATCTTATGTTACTTTCGGTGCTATCGAGGCTGTAACAGTGGAGGGTTCGTGGCTGGCTCGCCTGCCGTACTTGGTCAATGGGGAACTCTCAAGGCAAACCTGTCGTCTTGACCGATGAAGGTGAGTTTTCCGCCCTTGGCGTCAACATGTGCTCACTACATTAGCAGTCAACCTCAATCATTTTCGGCTCTTAAGGGTGGTGGGCAAAGGCGCCTTCGGGAAAGTTCGGATTGTCGAGCGGAAAGACTCAGGCCTGACCTTTGCCCTCAAATACATCCGCAAGGATGAAGGTAGGCGCAAGTGATTTGACATGTGGCAAGTCTGTCCCTGACCGCGAGCAGTGGTCCGGTCCGAAAGCGTGCGCAACATCATTCGAGAGCGGCGAATGCTTGAACATCTCAACCACCCATTCTTATGCAATCTCCGCTACAGTTTTCAGGATGTCGAATATCTCTACCTCGTCGTCGATCTGATGAATGGTGGTGATCTTCGCTTCCACATCCAACGCAAGGCTTTCACGGAGGATACCATCCGCTTCTGGATGGGAGAGCTGGCCTGCGCATTGCGATACATTCACAGCCAGGGCATCGTCCACCGAGACGTGAAACCGGACAACGTTCTGCTCGACTCGGAAGGCCATGTGCACCTAGCAGACTTTAACGTGGCCTCCGATTTCAAGCCCGGCAGACCGCTTACGAGCAAGTCCGGTACCTTGGCCTACCTGGCGCCTGAGGTGTTTCGGGGACACGGATACTACAGCGAGGTGGACTGGTGGTCCTTGGGCGTGACGATGTATGAGTGCGTATATGGGAAACGGCCCTTTGAAGGCAGGACCCACGAAGAATTGGTCGACCAGATATGTGCCGCCAACCCTCGATATTTCATTACCAAACCCCCGGTATCAATGCCGTGCCTACATGCTATGACATCGCTAATTGAGAGGGACCGCCGCAAACGAATTGGTGCGACGGGCTTCGACACCTTCACCTCACATCCCTTCTTCAGCTCGCTTAGCTTCGAGGCACTGGAACGAAAGCAAATAGCTCCCATCTTCATTCCGTCCAGTGAGAAGACAAACTTTGACGCCACATACGATCTTGAGGAGTTGTTGCTAGAAGAGGCACCCTTGGAAGCCAGGGCGAGGAAACAAAAACCGCGAGCGGAGCTGCGTGACGACGCTACGAGCAAAGAGATCCGAGAAGACGAGCTGCACCGCATGATAGAGACCATGTTTGAACCCTTTGACTACACCCTGGCGAACTATGAAGTGTATGAACAGACTTCTCCGCGGACACCAGACCAATGCTAACAGTGTCTAGGAATGCTGCGGCTGCGGTGGCTGGCACTGTGCCGGAAGAACATGTCGAACTAGATTTGGACACAACCCCCGCCGACGCAAATTCTGTTCCCACATCGCCTGATGGATCGCCACCGCTTTCTCCCAGCATCGGTACGTCGACCACCAGAGCAGAGGAGAACTTACCGCCCCTGGATGAACTCAGAATGACACTTCCACCGGCACCCGTACAACACACACGGCCCGCATCCTCGTCGAAGTCGTTCAGCAGACCGATTCCACCGCAGCGACCACCGCCCGCAACGCGGCAGACGAGTAAAGGTGGTGGAATACAGATGGTGCTGGATGAATCAGGGAGCTGGACCAATCTGGCGGATCAGACTGCACCGACTCCGCAAGATAGCTCAGCAGACGGAGGCAAGCATGAAAAGTCAGGAGGCAGCATGTTAGGATTCCTGAGCAGGAAGAAAGGTCGGGATCGAAGCCCCAAACCGAAAGAGGCGGGAGTGCTGGGCAAGATTGGGGCGAGACACATTATTAATTGAACAAAGCAGTGCGGGACGACGTACCAGACCTTAGCAGGTGGCACGAGCCTGACCGGTTCTGCCGAAGCGCGTGGACGCGTTGGGTACAGCAATTGACCGTGAACAAAGGAGGACGATTTAGCAAACGCAACAGCCAAGGTCAGGTTCTAGAGAGAGCAAGAGAAGAGACCAGACGAGGTTGATACGGTCCGGCATGAGTCAGGCGTACAGGATGGAAGGACAGGGCATAATCAAGACACGACTGACTGCATGAAGGGTACTAGCATGGATCACGGCGGAGTTGTACCATTAGTGTAGACAGTTGTAATACCACGACAATGGCATGGCAGATAAAGTACGGAGAACTGAGCGCCGTCATGAGAGTCGTGGACAGTCTACAGAGTTAAGGGTACAGAGGATTATTTCTACGGTGGGGGGAAGCCGCTGAATGTGGGGTGGATGCTGACGCCTCCAAGTCGGGCAGTTTAGGCGACTGGCTCACTGGTTGTTTGGCGGTTGCCCGGCATGGGACGAGCTTGTGCTGGGGGGATCCACCATGCAACAAGCTCCAACCCAGCAGTGCAACAAACCAAACATCAACATCTCTGACCAGCTCTCGTTTCTCGTGTTCATTCCCATTGTAGCACCTCTGCAGCGTTCCGGTCTCTTTGCTGGACTGCTCTCTCCTCGATTGGGCCTCAATCACTGTGCTGCATTCAACTATTATGTGCACCTCTTAATCCCCCCGTCGAAGGAGAGAACTCGGCGACCATCACATCAGGCGCGTCGCGTGCAATATCCATACCCCTCCGCCCTGCCATCCTTGCTCAACTCCAACCTCCACCCAGCTACCAGCATCCAGCAACCCGCGACCAGCAATATCCTTATGAATGGCCGCTGCTGTATTCATTCCGCCTTCGCCGCATGACCCGTTTGCGAAAATGGCTACTTCCTCACGTCGACTGCCGCTCGCTAGCATTTCCAATACCACCAATTCTCCTCACCGTCCACTCCCCAACAGTGGCACGAAACGTCCCCGGGCCCTAGCAAACCTCCCGCAGCAGGAAAATGAGCCGCCTCAAAAGCGGTTGGCAAGCGAGAAGGGCCCGCGTGTGGTCCTCCACCCCATCACGCCGCAGAAGCAGCCGCCACCATCCATGCCAGAGGGCCGTGTCTTTGAACGGGGTCAAGGAGAGGACCGGTCCACGGCGTTCCAGCGGAAGCTGGTGGCTGCCCGAGACAAGGACAGGACTGGCGGCCTGCGCGCGACAAAGAACGTCGACGCTCCGTCAAAAGAAGATTCCATGAAGCTATGGCAGAGACAATATAGGAAACTGTTCCTAACATTCCGCTTCTATTTCGACGGCTTTTCAGACGAGGCCAAATCTCGGTGTCTGCGGCAGATCACCGCTCTTGGAGGGGTACGTTTACAGTCATGATCTAGGAAGGCGTCACTAACATTGCTCTAGCGCGAGGAGAAGTTTTTCTCAAAAGACGTCTCACACATAGTCACCACCCGCCCGATACCAGGCGAACTTGGGAAGAATGGCTCGGCAGCTGACCACTCTGGCCAACACTCCCCTACCGAGGACCAACCCCAGACGATCAATCCTTCTTTACTCGAAAAGCATCCCCGCGGACAGACGGCCGCAAGTGTCACACGCAATGGCACTAACCAGCTGGACATTCTCGTCAGAGGAAAGGAAATGGGTATCAAGATTTATTCCGTCGACAAACTGCAGAGGCTCATCAGTTCCATGCTTGCGGGTACCGATGGCCATAGCCACAACACGAAAGGCACGTCCCATACCGCGCGCCAGCAAAGAGAAGATTTGGGCGAGGTCTTGCGAAACGAGAAGCTTGGAGTGGCCTCGGAGCGAGAACTGCCATTGACCTCATTGGTGCCTTTTAAGGGACCGTTTGTCTATGTTCACGATATGGACGAGAAGTATCGCCCTACCATGGTCAGAGAGTACCCGAAGCCTGCAACAAGGGCCGAAGGCGAGTGGCCCCAGTTCCGGTCCGCCGGCATTGGAAAGTGCCCGTTTGTCGTCGATCCGAACTTCGAGCAAGACCAAAGAAGAGCTCAGAAGCGGGCTCTTCAGCAGGAGCAACAACGTCAGCTGCAGCAACGACGGGAACAGCAGATCCCGCGCACGCGGTCGAACGTTAGTGTCTCGACTACGGTCCCCCCGGCCCTCAGGCGCGTCAGTCCCAGGAAACCTTTGGCAAGTGTCCAGGCCCCTGCGAGAGCCGTTCCAGACGTTGTCAAGGACGAGAAAGAGCCGAAGAGCTATTCTTCTACCGTGGATCGTCAGCCATCCTTTCCACCGATGCCGAGGCGCGCCGAAGTTGAATTTGTGCGCCCACCCAAGCTACAACTCGGGCGAGAGCCCGCCGCGTCGGGCATCCAAAGGTCGAACCTGACCTCGGCCATCCAATCCCAGATGATTTCTTCTACCGCTGCTACCGGCGTCAAGGCGGGGACCAGCAAGGAGGTGCACCAGCAGTTGAAACGTCAAGTCCTCGAACGGACACATACCGGAAGTCTCTCTGTCGGATCTATCCCGTCTTCTCATCGCATGACTGACCTCGCCGGCGCTCTGAAGACGGCTCGAGCCCCTGCACCGCAAAGAGCAGCCAAGAGCAAGGCGCAGGAGAAGTTGGGTGGAATCCAAGAAGAGGTGGACCCGCACGAGGACGACATTGCTGCGGAGAGGGCAGCGCATGCTTCGAGAAAGAAGAAGTCGGTGAGGAAGGATCCGAAGCCCGGCTATTGCGAGAACTGTCGCGACAAATACGAAGACTTTGACGAGGTAAGGCGTGCGGCCATGACGTACAGGTTCCACCTGCTGACATGAAAGTAGCATGTTGTTTCACGCAAACACCGCAAGTTTGCCATGACTCAGTCCAACTGGACCGATCTCGATGCCCTCCTTGCCAAGTTGCAAGAGCCGTAGATCCTCCAACGCGGCACTTTGGGACGACTTGCACAGCGCGGTATTTTCGCTCACTTTGACCACGAGTATCATTACAGTGTACTTGTTTGAACTGCATTTTAGCCAGTCACGTTTTAACTTGCGCGAGGGGAGCCGAGCACCAGCCGGCTCGGGTGCGGGAGTGTAGCCATTGGGCTACACGTGTGGATTCGACTCATACATGGACCGTCAACCATTTAATTAATACAATAGCTATCTACGTGTTGCACACGAGGGGCGTAGAAGTGGTGGGCCATTGTGGCCGGAAAGGACGCGGCGGACAAAATATTGGTGTCTGATGATCTCGAGCTCATTGACTCGTGCTATTGAATGCTTCCTTTACTCGTTTCGTGCTGCCCTTATCGCCGGCGCAGATGTCAGCAGTCCCCTGTTCCCTGCTTTCCAAGATGGTCGCTGTCGTCAATTTCGGGATCTGCCCACTGGTCTCCAGTCTCCACCGACTAGCACGGGGTTGACAACAAGACTCGTTCACGACATCGCTGTCAATCCAGACTCTTCGAGACTCTTCAAAACATGCGTCCCAGAGGACGCGACGCCCGCGTACCCGTTGAACTGCTCATTCTCCGCCAACAACAGAGGCAGCTCGTCCTCCCGGAACGACGCCAGGACATTCTTCTCCCTCGGGTTCCATCCCAACTCCCTCAACCTGTCTCCCCGACTCCTCGAATTTGCGCCCACCGTCGTCGGCGAATACGGCCCAAACAGATCCGGATACAGCTCCTTTGGCACATTCCGCGGTTCAGGATCCTCGATCCGTCCGGCCTGGTACAACTGCCTGCCAATCTCCGCAGCGGCATCCCTCCATAACATCTCCTCGCCGTTTTCGCAGAAAAAGTAAGGATTCCGGAGCACCTCCTCGGCGCTGCTCCTCTCCATCCAGCGCAAGATGACCATGTACGCGCGCACCAAGTCTTGCACGTGGATGTTGCACCGCACCGACAACCCCTTGCCGATGACGGGCGCGAAGCCATGCTTCAGCGCGAACCGCGTCATGGTGGGCAATTGGATGGACAGGCGCGGGATGTGTTTGCCCACGCCGTACACCAGCGTCGGGAGGATGACGATGATCTTCGCTCTTGTGGCGAGTTGCTTGCGCGCGGCGAGGATGGCCAGGTCGATCGCCCGATGTGGTGCGTCCGGTGGTATGGCGTCGATCTCGTCGGGTCGTGAGTCCGAGTAGATCCTGTCGGAGATGTACATGCCCCGCGAATTGTCTACCAGACAAGACGTGCCGCTGGTGTGGATGTAGATCGTGGGTAGGCCCCCAGCGGCCCGCTCGCGCACGCCCGCAAGCACGGCCTCCACGGATGGTAGATGGTCGGCCGTCGCGGCGTGGATGGTGATACTGTGCGAGGCTGTGTGCTGGCGAATCAGGTCGAAGTCGTCGAGCGTGCCGATGATGATCTTTGCGGACGGGTAGTGCTGCTTGATCTGCTCGGCGTGCTCTGAGCGACGGACCAGCGTGGTGATGGTGTAGTCGTCTTGAAGGAGGAGCTCGATCAGGTCGGCTCCTATGAGGCCGGGGCCGATGAGGAAGACGTCCTTTGCTGGGGAGGACATGATCCTGCGGAGCGTGGCAGTTGTAGATTGAGTGCGAGTTATAGATTGACGGGATCAACTCGTTAATTAGTTGTGGTGTTCGAACCACCATGTAATTCCCGTAATCCTGGCAGCAATCACACCCGCTCATTCGGAATGTGTGTGTACTCGTTTTGAAACCGGACACGGGCACTCGCGATCACTACTATATCACTGCTCACTCACCTCGTCACCCCGTCCTTGGTCATCTCTCCACGGTCGTTCTCCGCAACATGCGTTGCATGCAAGCCTCCGCTCCCCGCATCTCCAAGAACGTCCATATGCAGGGGGAGCAGGTGTTTTTGCACGATTGGTCGGTGCTCAATCTCGACGGCACAGCCGTTCATCGAGCGGGAACGGTCCCAGGAAACAGCGTGCTCTCTGTGGAGGTACTGTAGCATCACTCGTACGCTGCTCGCGCGAAGCTGTCACCTCACTTCACCCTCACCTCTCTTGAGTGAAGTCTGCAGCCAAGAAAGAAGAGCTGGCGAGCACGTGGCCCGTGCGGCACTGGCTGCCAAAATCTTCAACTTCAGCCTCGAATCCGCAACTTCGTTCCCCTTCGTTCCCCTTCGTTCCCGCATAATGGGCAGTTCTTCCACATTGTGGCAGACCCTGCCATCATCGGAAATGTTCAAGTCATGCCGTGATCTCTGATTACATGCTATCAACACACAGATTGATACGAGGTACCAGTACGGCGTGGCTCTTTTCTGGCAACAATGAAAGTCCCGTCTTTGTCCAACTTGATTGGTTTGTCCACGCAACGACCGTGAGCTCGAAAACCAACCATTGAGCCTCCCTCAAGATCATGCCAAATCCGGACGGCTTCGTCTGGGTCAGACGCTCCACTGGCCCTTTGCTGGAGGTATTCGAACAATGAAGCTCCCAGCATCGCGAATGGTCTGTATGGTTGCTCTTCTGCGAGCGAGCGAGTCTCCACCGGCCCTTTCTCGAGGTTCGAACAATGAAGCTTCAGCAACTCGAATGTCTGCCTTGGGCTCCCTTGTGCTTCTCGGTCTGTGCGAGGAGGCCTCCTTGGATTTTGTCTCCCATTCGTTTCATTGCCTTTCCGTGCTATATTGTGAGAATCAAGACATACACTGACATCAGAAACACGTTATACCCTGCTATATGGCGACAATCGAGACACTAACATCCAAACACGTTATATCCGGTGAATCGGTAAGTGGGACATTTCGCAGCCATGAAGGAACGAATCATGAGATTCCGAGATTTCGACACGGAGTGGACAGTCTTGACTGCCACGTCGGAGGACCCTTACAAGCGGGCCCGGTGGACGAGGGACGAGGACCTAGTGTTGAAACGGGTACGGAAGTGGAGGGCCAGACATTCATGGTACGACGGTCGGGCAGAGATGTTTGCCTTGTCGAGAGCGTATATGGAGCATGACCCCGACAAGGACAGTGCGTGGGAGGTACGTTGAGTTCACCCTGACTTTCGTGGATACTGCTGCTTTTTGTAGGAGTGGCTGTTCTTCCCTTGCATGTTGCTCTTCAGAATTCATGTGGCTGACATCTGTTTCCAATCACTAGTGCGTCGATCTTCTAGGCGCCGGGGCTTTTGGCATGGTAGGTAAATGGTGCAAGTTCGATACGAAACGCAGGATCACCGATGTGAGTAGCTTTACCCATGGTGTTGTACCCAATGTCATACAACGTGGCTGACTAGGTATCGACATACTTCAGACCGTGGCGATCAAGCAATTCAACTACGAAGGCTGGGAGTGCGACTCGGATGGCAGACCTGGGGTCCCCGCCGAAGTAGCGCTGCCGGAAGCTCTCGATCGTCAAGGGTGCAATAGCATCGCCGAGATTCGGACGGCCAGATTCTTCGACGTCAAGCGCCCGAAGTGGAGAATTTACCTCCAGTACTATGGACATGGCACGCTGGGGGACTTGGTGCAGAGGTACCGGGAGAAGAGCGCCGAAGAGGGACGGAGGTGAGCCGCTGTCCGGGACCAACAGATCATCTCGTTGCTAACGTGTCGCATCCCCAGTGTACACATTCCAGAAGACTTCATATGGCAAGCATTCAACGACTTTGCCACGGCCTACCACCACATGCACTTCTTCCGCCTCAAGTCGCTCGGAGCCAAGGGGCGTGGTGCAGATGTAGCCAACGGGCATTTTGTCCTGCATCTGGATCTGAAGGATACGAATGGGAAGCCGCAAACAATGTGGTGTAATTGTGCGATATGACTGACTTGCTTTCTAGTCCTTCTCGGAGACGCACCCAGCGATGAGAAGTTCATGCCCTATCCCAGGCTGAAGATCGCCGACTGGGCGCTGGGGGAGTGCACGAGTCGTTACGATCCCAAGAATAGCCGGAAATTCAGGAACAATGGGACCATCTGTTGGATGCCACCGGTGAGTAAGGAGTACTCTGGCGATCGGGCCGGAGTGGTGCCACAGGCTAACCAGCCCCCTCACCACAGGAACAATACGATTGCAACCGCTTCGGGCAGAACTGGGAGCGCAATGTCATGGGCGGGACAAACCGTGCGTACAGCGCCAAGCACGCCCTCTGGCAGGTAAGTAGATTTCGACGTGTGCATGTACTGCTTAGGCAGATGCTGACGACAACTTACTAGATGGCCGCCAACATTTACGGCATGATGGAGCTCGATTTGGACAATAAGAAGCTCGAGGAAAAGCTCAGGGAAGCCGAACGTGATGAGTATCATACTCGCAAGAATGGGTATTCTCTGGTGCCTGGGTATCGGCATCGACGCTACTCGTCCGAGCTGTGCCAACTGGTGGAAGATTGTCTCAGCATTAGACCTGAAGATAGGCCCGAGCCGGAGTGTCTAAAAAGCAGGGTCAGGAAGGGTTTGGAGCCGTGTCTTAAGAGGTACGCGAGGACTGGGACGTATCAAAAGCTGGAAGCTACAAAGGCCGAGTGGGGGACAGTCAAGCTGAGCGAGTGACTGTCCGTGTAGGACGATGTGGATCAGATAATCTGGACGCGATTTCTTGCGAATGTTGTCTTTTACAGTCGAGAGACCGCAGAAGCATGCTTTAGGTAGACGGATAGTATATCAAGCGGTTTGGAGAAGTGTAGGGAGCAGTGGTCCGTGTTTTATCCAAGTACCCTGTATTCGTAGGCAAGGCTGCCACAGAGCCTCGCACAGGTTGATTGGCCAGTGGCTCACCCAATCGAACACCTCATTCTGCGGAGCTTCGAAGAATAATCCCCTTCATATATTGCTACCTGCTACTTTGTACAGTGCCTTCGGTTGCTCAGCTACGGCGTCACAATACCCTGTCAGTGTGAACGAGGACGTCGAACACCAGCGCGGCGACTGCTAGGTTCCGACGACAAAGGATGAGCTGACGACTCCTACGGCGCTCTACACCACCACCACCACCACCACTCCTACTCCCACGAACAACCATGTCGTGCCTCAACCACCTCCACTCCCCCCTCCGCCGCCTCCTACGCGAAGCCACCCGCTCACCTAGTCGAGATCTTCCCGCCTTCCTCGTCCCAGCAATCACAATCGCAGTGGCCGCCAGACCCCGGAGCACCAGGCCCGCGTCAACGCTCTCGAGCGCTCACACTCCTGCTCCTGGTCCCTCGCACCAGTCCCGGATCGGCCGCACACCTATCAATGTCCCGCCTGAAGTGCAGCTCCGGTTCTATGAGCTCCCCAAGGGGAACACGCGCAGCCGACATCCCGACACGCCGAACATGGCCGTGGAAGTTACGGGGCCGTTGGGTACGTACCTACGTGCGCGGGATCCCCTCAGGAAGAGATGGGAAGGGGTTCATTGTATCGATGCAAACGCAGACACTGAGATGCTGAGATCGATTGATACTGATACGCTCTTTCCCCATCTAGGCCAATTGACCGTCCCCCTCCCTCCATACCTGCACGCGCAGCACGACGAGGCCGCCAGAAAAATCTCCGTCCGAGTCGACGACGTGGCAGAGAAACACCAGCGCGCCATGTGGGGTAAGCAGATACCCTACTCCATACCTATTGTATTCCTGAAGAAACACGGCGAGCGTCCGTTGACTGACACACCCACGCTTCCCGCACACAGGAACAATGCGCGCCCTCCTCCAGAACTCCATCTCCGGCGTCAGCGAAGGCCACCTCTCCATCCTGAGGCTCGTCGGCGTAGGCTACCGCGCGACCATCGAACCCACGGCCACCACCGTCGCCGCGACGTACCCGGGCCAACAGTTCGTCAACCTCAAGCTCGGGTATGCGCACCCCGTGGAACTGGGTGTGCCGAGGGGCGTTACGGCGTCGACGCCCCAACCGACGCGGATCCTGCTGCAGGGCGTGGATAGGCAGGTCGTCAAGCAGTTCGCGGCGCAGATCCGGATGTGGAGGAAGCCCGAGCCGTACAAGGGGAAGGGCATCTTTGTGGATGGCGAGACGATCCGGTTGAAGGCCAAGAAGATCAAGTGAGCGAGATACGGTAGTACTGTACGCTGTGAGTAAGTGGGTGGATGTGTGGTTGAATGGCGAGGGGGGAGAGGAGGCGAGCGAGGGAGTGACTAAGTGATTCACCGGCTTGTATCGGTGCTGGTGCTGTGCTGGTGCCCTGTTGGAGCTGGAACTAGAACTGGAGCCATGCCTGGCCGGCTGACTGGCAAGCTAGCCTGACGGAAATCCAGCCGTTATTGTTCATTCCGTCTTGCGGTCATGGAACGCTTGCCTGTGTGTGTGCGCGTGTGCGTGCGTGTCTGCCTGCGTGCAGATGTCTACGCAAGTACCGTAGGACCAGTGGGTGGTCGGAGAACAAAGGGGTAGCCTACAGTGCTTCGAATCGATCTAGTTCGACTCAGTTCGATATCCCGGACTTGTCTCTGAGCGAACAGGGAGGGTCCCTATACATCTATACATATATTGCATACATGTTTACTCTTCGGCGCTGGATGCGCTCGTGTGCGATCTTCTGTACGCGGTGGACCTAGCACGCAGTATCGTGCTCAGAGGGAAGCGTAGATGTAGGTATACAGCGCACGGGATTCGAGATCGCGGAATTGGACCTATTGAGACTACAAGTACAAGTACAAGTACAATGACCAGCACTGTTACAATGGGTGGGTGGTTGAGTGACCTCCTGAATGTAGGGGGTATTCAAATTGCCATCAACCTCGCGCTGTTGGGCTCTACACAGGACATGCTTTTGAGACCATGCATCGTTCACTGCCTTGGCCACTATGGCTCTTTTCTTATCTATCCTTTCCTATCCTACCCTACTCTACCCTAAGGGTATATCATGGCGGGCGTGAGGTATGCCATGTCCGTAGCGGACATAACAACCTATGATTTCGCTGCATTCACAGAGGCATCGTTCTGTTTGCTCCATTCCAGTCCATTGTCGCCTGCATATCATATCGTAGCACGGCCCAAGACACCATGGTTTCTACTTCTACCTCTGCTTCTTCTCCTACTTCGCACCCAGAACCTCCTGCACGGCCTTCAACACCTCGGCATGGACATTCGCCGGCGTGGCCACCACGCCCTTATTCTCTGTCAGGGTACGACCACGGCTGAAATCCAACCGCTTGCCGGTCACGTCGGTGACCTGGCCGCCTGCTTCGCGCACAATCAGATCCCCCGCGGCGTGATCCCAGATCTTTTCCACGTAGTCCTTGCGCACGGGCAGGCGGAGATACAGATCGCCGGCGCCGCGTGCTACGCTGCCGTACTTTGCCTGGCTATCCATCTGGACAGGTTTGCCCGTGATACCGAGCTTTTCGGCAATAAGCGCATTGTCGCCCTTGGACGAGTGGCCTGGCTCGACAGACTCGCACATGACCGCCTCGCTGACTTTACTGATCTTGCTGACGTGGATGGGTTGGCCGGCGCTCACGGCCCCGCGGGTAAGAGGCTGCGACGTCGCCCCTTGGCCCTGGACGGCAGAAAAGAGCACACCTTTGCCCTCCGCATCGGTGGCGGCCGAACCCATGTCCTCGGTCAGCGGAGCCGAGTCGTCGACGGGAAGGTTGGGGCATCCCAGGACGCCGACCTTGACGTCCCCATCGACCATAAGAGCGAGGCACACCGCGTACTGTCCGCCACGGAGGAAGCCCTTGGTGCCGTCGATCGGGTCGAGCGCCCAGATGCGGCCTTTGGCCCCACCGGCGGAGTTACCCTGGTCAATGGCCGTGAGCATGGCATCTTCGGACGTCAATGGGCCGCCAAGAAGGGCATCGCTGTCGGGATCGCTTAGCTTGGCTTCCTTGACAAGATTCCAGATCTTGGCGGAGAGGTCTTTTTGTTCTCGCAGGGAGGAGGCTTCCTCCTCACCAACAACTTCGTCATCGGGGAAGTTATGCTTGATGGCCGCGATGATGAGGGCTTGAGCGCCGAAGTCACCAATCGTGACTGGAGATTTGTCGTCTTTGGAGACCGTGCCTTTGGCTTTTTCGTGGAAGACGGACTTGGTAAGAATGGCGGCGCGCGACACGGCCAGTTGGGCCACGCGGAGCTCTTTTTCGTACGCCATGGTGGTCACCTTTGTGGAGAGGGATTTGCTGCCCAGGCCCGACGTGAGGCTTGATGGGTTCAGGTAGTTGAGTTGAGACACCAGTGAACTGAGCCTGAGTCGGAAGAGCGATGATGGTGATGGAGCCAGTGCGAAAGCGACGATCAAGAAGGAAATTGCGCAGACGACCAGAAGCGGGCGAAAGTACAAGATGTGGGCTGGTTTAGAGAAGTTCATGCAGTGGAAAGAGTTCAATATTGTTCGTCGCTACTCACCGCAATGTTGAAATCTTCAATCTGACTGGCAGGAGCAGGTCAAACTTCGGTTTGCTGCAACCGGCATTCGGCAGTCGGGGAGCCTGCAGAGTGTAGTATGCAGGCTGAGCTTGGCAGCTCAGGTCTCGCCGACCGATGAACATCACTTGAAGAATGGCTGTAGGGAGACGAGACATGGCGCTTCTCGACAGGGCAAGATCCGTGGCAGGCGGCGACGACGATCGACGACAAGGAAATAACGTGTTATCTCGCCGTGGAAACAGGCATACGTAGTTGTCACCAATCACGCAATTCAAGCATGACTTGACACATGGGCGGCTGTGGCTTGGTGGCTTCCGGATGAAGCCTTTCTGGTAAAGATCGGGCTTTGTTGATCCCAAGATAGTGTATCGATAGCGCCGTGCTTGTTCTCAACTAAGTATGACCGAGTACAATGTGCTTTGTGCGTGGGGGCTGTAACAACACAACAGACAACAGGGAAATTATCACTCTCGACTGGGATAGAGATACACAATTGGCGGATAGGATGTTGTCGGATGCTTACCCAGGAGCGATGTTAGCAGCTGCTGATGTGCCTGGCGCAGTTGTGCCTCCCATTCCAATCGTACTGTGTAGACGCGTTGTTCTGACCACCATTTGGCTGCAGGCTTATGACAACAGAAGGCCACTTCACGAAGGATTCACGAAAACCATACACCGCCCCTACAATACCAAGTCACTATTGACGTGTCATCGTGAGACTGTGCACTAGGTACTGTGAGTCGAGTACAGGGCGAAGGAAGCAGCAAAAGGTTGCGCATCTCGCATCCGGGGAAGGCAGCATCTACATAGCTGGTACTGTGCAAATGTTGGAGTCGGCTCAACAACATTCAGCCTCGTACTGCGTTCTTGGGGTTATTCGCCGTTTCAGCCTGTCGGGTCAACAGAAACATGTCCAGATCATGTTCTGTTCTCCTGCAGAAATCCATGATGCTTGGCTGAGCAGGCGGTGTGATTTCGCTAATGGACCAACCAGATGCACCTGGCGATGCGTGTGCCGGAACAGAGTCAGCAAGCCCAGCTCGAACCTTGGATGAGGTTCCCCTTTGAGGACGGCGTGGACGACGGCCCAGTAAATCCAGATCCTTCGGGCCTCCACAATTGGCCCTTAGCCTGCAGGAGGGATGCCTCGTGGCACTTGCAACCTGCGCCTTACCAGAATAGACCAGTACCACGGCTTGGATGCAAACAACCCCAGTAACAATGTATACTATACATAAAGCCGCTCGTGAATAGTGCCAGGTCGGTGAAAACCATCTTTCCCACGCCGACGTTGAAATTGAAGGAGTACATAGCTAGGGGGATCATCGAGGCGGGCAGATGTCACAGCCGTACTGGCCGCACGAAGCAATTCACAATCATGTGAGAGAATTGCAGTCACGTCTGCAGTACGCGGCTATGCAGATTGCGCCTATTTCTTCAGGCGTCTGGAATGCTGAGGCTCACGTATGATCCATACATGAATCTTCCGAAAGGAGGTTAATTTGCCTCGGAGGCGAATGACAGCAGATAGATGGCTTGACTGGGGTCTTGGTCGAGGGCGAGACCTGGCAGAATACGAAGTCTAAACTTTTGGGACACACGGCGCCGCCGGGCACAGAGGACGCATTCGCAAGTATTTCCAGTCTTGTGTAGAAGGATTACATCCCATCAGTACCTAGGCAAACCAGGCAGAAGACGAGGCGCCGAAGGAGCTGGTGACACGGAGGTGAGAAGGTGGTGAAGGATGGTCGGACTGTGATGTTGTGGCTCTGATGGGCTGTTTGGGTGGCACCCGCTAGACCCGCCAAACCTGAACGGGGACCCAGGCTTGTTTCCGCAGGTGACTTCGCTGGCTTCGGCGCCTTTCCTTTTTGGTTCGTGCCTTGGTCTGCTTTGAACCGCAACCCGTTCACACCTCATGCGCGACTCCCCCAATTTCACGAATCTCATTCCGTACGCCTCTGACATAGATGGGCCCTCTATAACCATGTTCTCCGCCTCGGTGAGTCCTCCCTTCCCTATATACTCCCTATCACCCCCCTGGTCTTGAGTTCGTCGCGTCTGTCTGTACCGGCATCACCCACCCCGCCAAATACCTCCTCCATGAAGCTCCCTCCGATGTCCATACTGCTGCTGCACACACCAGCCTGTGCGCCTGATGCAGGGTTCACCGACCTCCCAAGGCCTAAGAGCCCTCAGCACCCCGGTGTTGATCAGCTGGACGGTCTGATACACTGTCAGGAAGCCGGGACGTGTGAACACTGCTGTCGCAAGAAACGACGGACGTCGTTCGATGCCTATCCCATCCAGCCATATCCTCAAATTGTTACTCGCCGCTTTCCAGACAAAACAGGCTACGCGCGCTTTGTCGCACTCGTTTTACATTTCTCATGTTGCGCCCGGCAACGGAGGAGATATCAACTAACAACTCGATACCGCTATCACAAACAGAAGAAACCCTTCTCTGCTATCTCGGTCCATGTCGAGCAATTGACCTCTGAGGTCTACGACGAAGATGACCTCGCCGGCGTCCCCGACCTCCTCGAAGTAGTCAAGCTCCAAGGCACTGGCCCCCAGGAAGTGGCTCGAGCCTTGAGGAAGAAACTGAAATACGGCAATGTCCACCGGCAGCTGCGCGCTCTCACAATCCTTGACGGTATCCTGCAGAATGGTGGAACTAGAGTACAACGCGCACTGCTGTCCGACGGGCCTCTCCTGGAGCGTCTGCGGATAGCGGCTGCCGACCCAACTTCGGATCAAGAGGTCCGGAAGAAGTGCAAAGACCTTTTTGGCCAATGGGTTGCCAGCGCCAAATTCAATCCTGGCTTGGAAGGCGCCAAGTCTCTCTACAATCAACTCCCCAAGACGCACAAACCGGTACAGCAACGGCGCGAGCAGAGCCGTGTCCTCCGAGAAACGGAAGAGGAGGTTGCCAGAGAACAGGAGTTGATGATAGCCAGGGCTCGGTCTGATAGCAATGAGAGACCCGGTCTGTCGCCCAGTCCCACGACGCTACGCAAGCAACCGTCTCCAGTGGCCCTTGGCGAGTCCTCGACGTTTTCGCCCAAAAAGGTGAAAAAAGACAAAAAGGCCAAGAACAAGGGAGTTATAGCCTTCAACTTGGAGAGGGAGAAGCCCAATATTCTACAGTCTATTGCAGCGTCCTCGGTAGCCTCCACCAACCTCAATAATGCCCTAAGGTTAGTCAACCGAGAGTCTGAGCGAGTGTCGAACAATCCCGAGGTGATGAAACGTTTTGAAACATGCAAACAGCTTCGACGGCAAATTCTGCGATATATCCAGTTCGTGGAAACCGAGGAGTTCTTAGGCGGGTTGATCCACGCCAATGAAGAGCTAGTCAATGCTCTTATGGCCTTTGAAGTGCTGGACAAATCGGTGGACGACGATTCGGACAGCGAGCTTGAAGAGGCACAACATCTCAGTCGAATCGCAGCGAAGAGTGAAGCGTCTGCCACCAAAGACGCGGAGAAATTAGTCGCCGGACTGAGCATCTCTGGCCCACCAAAACCTCCTCGACCAGCGCCGCAGAGCATAGCGATGCCGCCGCCACGACCAGCACCAAATTCAAAGAACTGGCGGGCAAAGCAGATTGAAAGCGACGTTGAGAGCGATACGGACATCGACGAAGACTCCGACGACCCTTTTGCGGATAAAAACGCCATGAAGACGCCTGATCCCGAAGCGTTGGGCAGGAAAGGGTATTCTTGGAAGGAAGTATAGACTATGGTTGAATCACCCAGCGCGAAATTTGGGGACGCATTCGAGCACACGTCGTTTGATCGCACATTATGGATAGAGCGCTGCATGGTCTGCTCTCCGAGTTGATGAATCTGATGAATACAAATGAATGTTTGAAACGGGCAATTCTTGACCTCTCTACCCTACCTCGATCTAACGTAATGACCCGGCAATCGATTATACGAACCTCGTATCCTACCCCACATTTTGAGGGGACCATCTCCTTGGCCGTTCTTTATACATAGCCATCGAGGCCTGGACCTGAAAGCCTCTTCTCAACATCTTCTGTACGTAGATGATCAGTACAACTTGGTTGAGTCGACAAGCAGTATAACCAGAATGGGCTCCCACGACAACTACACCTTTGCCAATCAATCCGCCATTCCCTCTCCGCTGGACAAACAACTTCCGGCGTTTTTCAAGTCATGGGACGACCCACACTCGAAGAATGAGTGCCTCAACCTCTTCCACCCCACCGAAGGTCAACTAGTCTTCGGCAGCACCACGACGGGTCGTGAAGCCATCCGTGCCTTTCGTGACGCCATGATCCATCCCGAGAACGGCCCCGTCGTGGATCTCGAGCATACTCTCGGCAAATGCTTCGTGCTGGCCGGCGGCGCCGGAGAGGGCAAGCAGGAAGTCATTGTGAATGGCAGCTTGTGGTATAAGTTGAAGAATGGACGCAAGATCGACGTCGACTTTGCCAGTAACATCCGGTTCGTAAGCCCAGGAGAAGGGGAGGATCTCCTAGCCGAGTTTTATGAAGTTTACCTCGATGCGACTGAGTTGATGGGTGCGATCAAGGAGATGAATGAAGCGGACGAGCACTAGGCACAGTTAAAGATCGAGGCATTGGAACGGCAGCCAAGTCGTGGTTGGCCTCAATTGTTCTTTGAACTTGACGGGGCGACGCGAAGATGCCATGATTAGGATCTAGTATTCTCGCTAAGCTGCGTCAAAAGCACTGTGAACTCATCACTGTCTTCACACTGCTCGCGATCTACAGGCGGCAGGTGGCACTAGCGGGGCAGCAAGGTTATGTAAGCGAGCCCACGATCTTGGTGATCTTCACGATCCCGGTTCCTGCGATGTTGACGTGCATCATCTTAATTAAGTTACATGTCACTTCCTAATGATCTTTACATTTGCTCAACTGCCTCAGACGCTCTCGCCATGTTCCTGCCGCCATCTATTATTTCCACAAATATCTCACCATCCTATGAAACATCACCAGTCGCAGGATCGCCTTCTCGCTGATCAAACATGATAGGCGGGCAGTTGCCAGCATGGGCGAAATGGAATCTCATGTCATGGAGCTGGAGGTAGGTAAGACGCACCGGAGATCGAGGTGCTCCCAGTCGCTAACGAACGGCCAAGGCTCTGCGGGCAATGTACTGCCCACCACTTGACGAGGCTCTCTTTCATGCGATAGCATCGGATTATACGCTCCCTGAGCACAAAGCAGCGTTGATAACAGTTCTCGATGACTTGGCAGTCGGCGCGTTGGAGCAAGAAGACACAGGATTCGATCCCTCGGGTACTGGCGCCACCACGCAAGTCAGAGATACGATCAACACGTCTAGGTCGAGCCCGGAACAATCCTTCTCAAACGGTGTCACGAGCGTAACGACCAGTCTTTCCGAGCCGAGAACGAGCGACGCAGGCAGCCTAGGACAAGGTCTGCACGACTCTTCGGAGGGGCAGAAGACGACATGGCTGGAGAACATGTTCCCAGGCATACCCAGGCGCGAATTGACCAGTATCCTCGCTAGTCACGACGGCTCACTGGACAAGGCCACCGACGAGTTACTCAACCTTTCATTTCTTAAGCAGGGATATGAAGAAGAGCCCGAAGAATTGTCTGGCCCTAAGGGTGTCGATGGCTTCGCCGAAGAAATGCAGTCGTCCCGTAAAGGCAGGAAGAAACGGAAACCTCGGACGAACGACTCGTCACGCGCAAGCTCGGCTTCCTCCTCACTGTACAACTCGGAACGGACTCCAGTCAATGTCTGGTCTACGATGTCCGAAGATGTGGAATTTATCTGCTCGAGGACGAAACTCCATCCGCAGACAGTACGATCGGAATACCATTTGAATGGGGCCCGATTGTCAAGTACGATTCGTGCGTTAGCTACTAAGGAAGCTGCCGAATCCAATAAAACTTCGGACAGCAATGACATAATCGACCTTCAAATCGCTGAATTTCGGCATCGGTACGAGCACGTCCCAATACCGCAACTGTGCGGGTTGCTCTCGTTGGCACGGAACATTCCTTCGGCAGCCCAGGAACTGCTGGAAGCCATGACCGCCGTCGACGACACAACGAAGCCTGGCAAGCTGTACGACGTCGCCCAGTACATCCCCATTGACCTCAAAGAGAACGAGCCATTCCAAACGCCATCAGGCTCGAAGTGGACTTCTGTCAGCGCACAGCCCCGTGCGTCTGCATCGGCTCAAAGAATAGCCGCCGGTCAGACGTTCGGCCAAGCATCTGCTGCATACAAGAAAAGCAAGTCTAATCCGCTCTTTGGAGGAGCGGCAGCATACTACTCCGGAGTGGCGCACGAACAACTGAAAGCGGCCAAGTTAGCACATGCTGCAGAAGCAGATGCCCTTGTATCAAATCAGTCTTCGGCAACGGTGCTGGACCTTCACGGCGTGAGCGTGCAAGATGCAGTCCGCATTGCGAGCGCCAAAACCCAAAGCTGGTGGGATGGCCTAGGCGATGCAAAATATGCCACTGGAGGCGGTGGTCCTGCTAGAGCCGGCTACAGAATAGTGACTGGACTCGGTACCCATAGCAAGAACCAAGCGCCTCGGATTGGGCCAGCTGTGAGCAAGATGCTCATCCGGGAAGGCTGGAAAGTCGAAATCGGCCACGGAGAGTTGATTGTCACAGGCAAGGCCAGTCGCTGAATAGAAGTGTTCATTTACCCACCGACGTAATGGGGAGTGCGCGCCTCTGCGGTATACGCTGAGGTGTCTCCTTGCTGCTCCTCTGCGGCCTATTCCAAATACTGTGGTAGTTCGCAGGGCTATGCGTGCGGGCTGCATGAGAATCTTCAGCCTCGTCTCGCTAACGCATGATTCCAGAATCATGTGCCCCGCGCACCAATCATATGAGCCACGGGCTTTCGATTGCATCACCGTTGTCCGCGCGGATACGCCGCAGTGGCCGCCCAGCTCAAATACGCTCACTCACTTTCTTCGAGTTGATTCTTTTCTTACTATTCTGCTACTTCGTATATATCCTCTCCTCTCCATGCGCGTCCCATCATTCCCCAACATCGTGCGCACGCTCTACACGCTCAGCAACGCCACAGCCCACCGCCTGTTCCTCCAGCACCCTCTGCGGGGTTCGACGCACACCATCTCGCAAGCCCAAGCCCACCGCGCAACAGTCCTGCGCTCTATGCCCTCGATCCCATTCCTGGGCGCATTATTCGGGACCACTACGAGTAGCTCATCCTCCAAGATGTCGTACCCAGACACACGCTCCGACGACGAGTGGCGCGCCGTGTTGAATAAAGGTGGGTGATCCTGCGGAGCGGAGCGGAGCGTAGCAGTCAAATGATTTATCTCACTGGTGTTCTATGCTAACGTGGGTTGGCACGTCTGTGCAGAACAATTCCGCATCCTTCGCGAAAAGGGCACAGAGGCCCCCTTCACGGGCGAATACGACAAACACATGCCCTCGCAGGGCGTGTACGCCTGCGCGGCGTGCAGCGCGCCGCTGTACAAGGCCGACCACAAATTCAAGTCCGGCTGCGGGTGGCCCGCGTACTTTGATTCCCTGCCCGGCGCGGTCACGCGGCATACGGACCGCACGTTCGGCATGGAGAGGACGGAGATTGTGTGTTCAAACTGCGGGGGCCACCTCGGGCATGTGTTCAAGGGCGAGGGGTATCCGACGCCGACAGACGAGAGGCATTGCGTCAATAGTGTTAGTTTGAGGTTTCATGAAAACGAGAAGGAGGGCGAGGCCAATGGGAATGGCGGGGCGAAATGATACCTTGAAAAGAAGATGGGGCTGACGATGCGAGTCTATGAGGCTATAGATGTGTGGCGCGGAGCCGTGGACATCTTGACATGCCTCGTTGTGGTGAATGTGCACTGCAAAGCATGACTATCAATCGAGTACACGAGGTAAAACTTGAGTGGATGGAACCAATTGTAGAGTGTATGGAAGTGGTGTTCGTGTCCGTGCTGCGGTGTGCTGTCGTCTGCGATCGTCGCGAGTGCTTTGAGCATGGGACACGAGGCCGTGCGGCCGCTATGAGGTGCAACACCGTACATTTCTATCTTGAAAGTCTCGTGGCGATAGGAACCGATGCAATGCCTTGCCCGGGGAACACTGAAGTACCGCATGTTGTAGCCCAGGACCGCTATTTATCGTTGCTAAGTACTATAGATTTGTGCGTAGTAAAAAGGAGATGTTTCGACGTGCTTTAATGTGGGAGCCCCTTACTCAGAAACCGTGAACTCGCTTTGACTGGTCCGTTCCACCTGGTAACCCGTTTTCTCACCAACGTACCTACCTGTTTACCTGCCCATCGGATTGGACAGTATCGTACCTGTTTGGAGCGAGTCAGCAGAGCCTCCGCCTCCTGCTTACAGTCGTGGCCCCACATCCAGCGCGACAGCTGGATGTAATCATCTGCACTCTGCTTTAGCATCCAAACTTTCATTGCGTGGCCACTGCTCGGTGACTATGGGACATACCTGGAGGACTTGTGCCCGGTAAGAACTTTCGAAACACAGCCAAGAACTCCTCCGACAGAGGCAGCTCGTCCGCGTCTCCGGGGCTTTGGGCCTGACGGGCCTGCTCGCGTGAGTGGGACAATTGCTGGACGATCGACGACCTCGGCACGCGCAGCTCGTTATATAGCGCCAGGCGTTCCGGGATGTCGGCCTTGTCTTCCAGCTGGCTCATCAGCATGCCTAGCGTGGCTGCGTCTTCGATCGACTGGGCCGCCCCCTGGCCTTGGCGAGGCCACATGGGATGGGCGGCGTCTCCAACCAGCACCAGCCGACCTTTCTGGTATGATGGTAGAGGTTCGCGGTCGGCGATCTTCCAGTCATAGACGAATTCGTCGGCTTTGTGGCCAAGGGCTTGGATGGCGGGCGGAAAAGTGCTGAGTCTTTCGGTTAGATGGGCGCGGCTGACCTTTCCGCCCACCACGGACTGGTTGGCTTATGGGACGGTATTATACGCGCCAAAGTTCTGCATCTCGTCGCTATGACACTGTTAGCTTTTTGTATACAGAGAGGCTCGGGCTGGGAAGGGCCTGCGCACTTGTGACACGGGTAACGGAGCAGATAGGTCGAGCGATCCGCGTTGACGTAGAATGTGAAGCAGCCGGGCCCATCGTCCATGATAGGGGCTGTCGCGGGATCGTTCAAGATGTCTTCCGTCTTGAGCAGGAATCGGATAGTGGACACACCGCTGCGGATGGCAGGGACTCGGTGGCCTAGGACCGCTTCGTGGGCAACTGAGTGTATGCCATCGGCTGCAATGATGAGGTCGGCGTGCATGTCGCTCCCATCTTGTAGCTTGATGCTGCCTGCAGTATCCCAGCCGACAACTCGTGATGACAGGAGGACGTCAACCGGTTTGTCAGGGCCTGCGGGATGGAGACATTTGTCCTTGAGAGCAGCATGCAGGTCAATGCGATGGGCCAGGAAGAACAAGTCCTGGAGATGTAAAGCAGCGGCTCTGATGGCCCATGTAAGCGGACAGCTGTCTCCATTTTCGCCGAATCTCGGGGAGGCGTCCTTGCTGAGGAAGTGGTATTCTAGGGAGGTTCGGAGCGCCGCGGCTTTGGCGTCTTGCTTGGGGTCGATACCCAGTCCGATAAGTGTGCGAGTCGCGTTGGGAGGAACCGCCACCGCCAGACCGGCCTCTCGCAGCCACGCCGAGGATTCCACAACGGTGACGGCGTGGCCTTGCCTTCGCAGGGCCAATGCGGCCGTCAACCCGGCAATTCCTCCTCCAGCGACAATGACGTTGAGCTGTATATGAGGCATCATCCGGAGAGTACGAAGGGCCTGGGAAGAGGTTGCTGCGCTCCTGTTGCACGAGTGCTGGAGGTTTGGGTTGATGGGTGAAATGAAAGAAACGGTGTGCCACATGAAATTCAATCTCGTCTAGAGTGAGTTTATAAGGTGTGCTTGCATGACTGGTTCTTGATATCCGTACACAGTACCGAATGTAAGCGTCAACTCGATCGTTGCGGTACGAAGGCTGATCTGGTCAATGCGAGGATGGTTTCCACTGGTGGAGGAGCATTCGCGCACCCTGCACGCACACGCTCACACGGCGGTAGTCCACGGCATGCGTAATGCCTCCGCCCGATTAAACAGAAGGCAGGATCTCATCGGGACCATGCTGACCTTGGCCGCCTTTCTTTTACGTTCCGAGTGCTGTGGTAAGTAGATCTTCGGCGGTTATCTCATTTCGACTGTATCCGGAAATGGACAGTCTGGGAGCGCGGTGCTGATGTCTTGATGTGGCCGAAACCTGATGGTAATCTGATGACTGCATTAGGTAAGGCTAGCAACACACTGGACTGGGTCAAGTCGTATCAGCATGTGTATCAGCATGTGGACTAGGAGGGTTTGTTTGGACACCGATGCGGATAGTGATCTCGACGGAGGCGGTGGACACGAGATCTTTCCCTGAGTGTCACGAGTGTCACGAGTGTCACCGATTGTGTAGGAGAACATGGTCCTTTTGCGCCGGTTTCCCGCGCAAAGCCACGAGAGCTTGCTACCTACCACTGATGCATTTGATTCTACGACGAATCTGGTGTATCTGCTAGAGCTGCCGTGGCAGCGAAAGAGGCACGCAAAGGCTCGTGGATCTGGTCTCCCGTCAGATCTCATTACCGGGAAATGTCTCCTTCATATCTTGATCGTCTCGTGAACAACGATTCGGTTAGATCATGGATAGCGATAACTTTGAAGATCTGCCACTGCGGGGAGGCGGAAGATGCCGTACGGAGTCTCCGAAGAGCAGCAAGAGGCAGACAAAGGGGTCGAGGTGGTAACGCCAAAGGCAACAAGTCAGATACCTGTATTAGGACAGAATTGGTAACAGACAGAATGTCCAAATAGCCCCAGGTTGCAAGTGCACGTGACTAGAAACCTGCTGACTAAGGGCGTGTCTTTTCAACTCGACCTGAAGGAGCCACTTGGAACTTGGCCGTCATCGCAGATGCGGTTCAACACCACACCCTCTCACAGCACTTGAAGTGGACTTTTGGCCTCGGATTCGCGTCTCGGAACCAGTCCTTCCACTCGGCCGTCCAATGTGACGGAGCTCACCTTCCTCCCGCAAGTCCTGCCGCTTCCCATTGATATTTCTACAAAGTTCCAATGTCTCGCCGACCGGGCAATGACAGGGCGGCTCAAAATGCCCAGACCCTCAAAGCCCTGGTCAAACTTGAAGGAAACAAAATGTGCGCAGACTGCAAAAGGAACAAACACCCACGATGGGCCAGTTGGAATTTGGGAGTCTTTGTCTGCATTCGCTGCTCAGGAATACACCGAGGCATGGGCACTCATATCAGCCGGGTCAAATCGGTGGATCTAGATGCGTGGACAGACGAGCAACTCCAGAGTGTGCTCAAATGGGGTAACGCAAGAGCGAACAAGTATTGGGAGGCAAAGCTGGCTCCAGGGCACGTGCCGTCCGAGGCCAAGATCGAGAACTTCATCCGCACCAAGTACGAGTCCAAGAGATGGGTGATGGATGGTCCCATGCCCGATCCCTCGACCTTAGATGCTGAGGGAGATGATAATGTGCCGCTCAGCATTGTTCAGGAGAAGGCCAAGATTGAAAGATCGGCTTCTCAGCGACAGGCCCCAAGCCAGCCACCACCGCAGCCTGCTCCTGCGGCCAATGTGAATCTCTTTGACGACTTCACACCACCACCGGCCAGACCAAGCACGGCAGATATTCCAGCCTCCAGGCCAACACGAACTGGTCCACCACCTCCGGCTCCAGCTGCCAGACCTGCAGCCAAACCACAAGACTCTCTTCTTGGGTTGGACTTCTTCGGTGGCTCATCCACCGCTGGCATCGGGCGCCCTTCGAGCGCGGCTTCTAATCCCACAACCGGTACAAACAGCCGAGGAGACCTGAAGAATTCTATTCTGTCGTTATACTCGAGTGCACCTAAGCCTCAACCAGCACCGCAGGCCCAGCACGATCGGCAGCCCTCCTTTGGTGGAATGCCATCCATGCCAGCTGCAAAGCAAGATGCGTTTGGTGGACTCGCCGATGCGTTCAGTGGATTGAGCTTTCCCGGCACGAATGCTACCACCGCAAAACCTCCTGCTCCACAGCCATCATCTGCATTTTCCGGATTTGGGAGCATGACCAGCCCTGTCGTGGGATCCACAGCAACTCCTTCTGCGCCTCAAGTTACGTCTCCACCTCCTCTGAGTGGAGGCAGCTTTTTCGACAGCATACCATACAAGGCGCCTGCCGTCAAGCCAACAGTCACATCACCGTCAGCTCTGAACGGATTGGATTTCTCTTTTACTCAACGAGCACCGCCCCCAAAAACAGCGGCAGCCCCTGCACCAAAGCCCGCTGCTCCGTCAATCCCTGCTGATCTGTTCGCTGCAGACGACTTCGGGGGGTTTACCAGTTCTACGCCTGCCTCCCCTCCCAAGGCCGCTCCGGCTCCCGCTCAAGTGCCAGCTCCCCAAGTTACATCACCCGCAACCAGCAAGTCGGCATTCGATTCACCTTTCAATCTATCTGCCCAGCCAGCACCAGTGGCGGCCCCCAATCCTGCGTCACAACCATTCAAAGCACCGGTTGTCCCGCCAAGCAGTTCATCTATGTTTGACCCTTGGTCTTCAGGCGCTGATAGCAGTCCGTGGGGAGCACCGGAGCCGGCGCCCTCGAAGCCAGCGCAGCCGAAGGTGGAGCTAGGAAAAGTACCATCACGTATTACGCCTAATGATATTGCTGGAGGATGGGGTGAGCCGATCCCGTCAAACAATAAACCAGCGCGGCAAGCGTCTGTCACGGCGGATGAAGATTTTGGAGGATGGGCATCAGCATCCACGACACAAACACCGGTTGCTCCCCCATCAAAGCCCAGTGGTGGCTTTGGCGGCGGCTCTGATCCATTTGATAACCCATGGGGTTAGATCTCACTGTTAGGTCCCGGTGACGATGTGCGCCAGGCGAGATTTTGACGAGGGGAAGTGGCGATGAAGAATGAACACATGTCGTTGGTGTTTGCACACGATAGCATCTAGATAGCAAAACACAGCACGCAGTCACGCACGACGATACGAGTAGTCAATATATAATTGGCCCTTTACTGCCCTCAGGAGCCCTTGATAGCACGACGAGTGGAGGTTTGGCGGATAAGGAGAATTGCAATGGGCGAATGACGGCAAGGCAATCAGCGCCACTGATCAAGGCACAGCCGTCAATCCAACAGGGATACGGGCTTGCAATTCCACCAATCCACCATTGGGTGACAGGAGCGCGGCTGCTTGCGTTGTTCCCTGGACTATGATCCCATCTGCACCATCCTCCTGGCTCGACCACGACGTCTGCATCTGCATCTGCATTTAGAAGACTGACACCTGCTCCGAGTAACCACAGGCGTGTCTAACCTGTCAACGGCGGTTGTTTATCCGTGTCTTCAGCTGTTCCCGTGCCCGGTTCGAGCACAGCACCACATGGCACAGTCGCCGTCTTCGCGTTTGCCTCGATGATCTCAGTTGCTGTACCTTCGCACACAGTACACCAGAATCGCTCTCCCGCCGCTACAAAACCCTATCGACAGTCGCCCGACCTTGATCAGTACTTCTCGATTCCCCTGACTACCCATCTCCACAAGACCGCAGCCCGATGATCGTAGGGGCCCTTCCGGGAGCACGAACCTGCCTGCGATTGTGCGCAGGAGGTGGGAGAGGAGGAAAGGCTACCGCCTGCTAATCGAAGCGCATACAATTAAAAAGGACCATTAGGCTCGGGAGACCTAGCGGCTTCCGGTCCGCTCGATGCAGGTTCGTCCCCGACTCAGATATGGCAGCAGGAGTATCAGAGGGAGAAGTGACTGACACAGTGACTCTTGCCAGACTTCAATCCGGAGCCGAGACACAGGTGCGAGCTTCGCTGCTCGCCAAAGGGGGCACCTGCCCCAGTTGTCGATAAGTGATGAAAATCACCATGTCACCGAGACAATCGGCTACCTCTACGACGATGATTCTGACCACGACTCTCGCCCCTCCGGTCACTACTCCAGTTCACATCACCATGCGAGTGCTCAGTCACCGAGTAAAATCAATGGCAATCATACGCAACACGATTTAGCTCACAGAAGGACGCCGTCCATGCCGAGAAAGCAGCTGCCCTTTCGAGATATGTCAAGCGACAATGCTGTCCAACAAACAAACGGTGTCTCCCGGGCGTCTCCTAGCCAGGGCCATCATTGGGACCACCAGAACCATAATCACACGCCTCCTTCACCGACCGCCGGCTCGAGAGAGCGGTCGCCCTCCGACACCGCTACCTCTTCCTTTCCTTTGAACGATATAGACTACGAGTCCAGTGCAGCTGGGCTGGCGCAAGAGCTGAGCAATCTACAAGCATTGAGGCGCATGTCGATGCATGTGGGCGCCACAGATGATCCGGACCTGCCTCAGATTAACGCAGCAGGCATGCCGAGTGCGCCTAGCCCTGCGTCCAGCGAAGATGACTCGTCCAGGTTATTCTGGGTTCCGGCTCGACTACACCCAGAACTCGCGCCAAAGGAATTTAAGACGTTTCTGGAGAGCAAGGCGGAGCAAATCCGAAGACGGTCCGGTGAACTATCTGCATTCACAAGTCCGACATCTTCGAGGTCGAGTTCACTCAGTACTGATGGAGGGAGCAGTGGTCTGCGCAGGAAGAAGTCGATGCTCTCTCGTCAAATCGACAGTTCTGTGGGTTATCAAGATGGAGCGGACCGTTTGGAGCGCAAGAGATCACTTTCGCGAAGAACGAACCCACAGGACCCAAACCTGCAAGAGCTGGAAAACCTGGTTTCAAATACTGCGGCTTTGTCAAGGACAAGCTTGGATCCTTCATCCGAAGATGATACTGGGGATATCATTCTGCCTTCAGTGCCTGGAAACAGCCTGAAAAGGTCGACACGGACCACTTACCGACGAGGCGGGAGTGTCAAGGTCAGAGGAGATCGTGGGACTTATGCTCAACGCGCGGCAAGACGAGCCGCAGCTGGGAGTCCTTCGGAGAGCAGGCCCGAATCACCCGAAGCCCATGTTCCAGCCATCCCTCCGCTGCCAAACCTTTCCATGGATGTGCCGAACCTGGCGCAAACACTGAAAGACCCCTCGTATACACCCAGCGTAGCCAAGGCTCTACCCACGAATTTCTCGAGACCGGCTGCTTCATCTTCAGCAAGTCCAAGCTCCTCTGTACCGACTACTCTGGACTCTGTATTCGGGCCTGATGATTCAAGACGGACAAGCACAGCGAGCATGCCAGACATGCGAAAGTCCCCACCTCCACCAAAGTCGCCGCCCTCGACAATCACATCCTTCGAGCGCAAGCCTGCACCTGTACCACAGATAGTGGAAACTCCACCACCACCGGAAAGCCCCCAGATAGCTGTTCAGCCGCCGCGCTCCTCATCGATGGCCTCTCCTACCGTGCAGCAACCAATGCGCCATCCGGAACGAGTATCCTCGCGCGAAGATACCAGGAGCAGGGCTCAATCACCGCAAAGGCCGCCCCTGCCTTCCAAGGGCTCCTTGCCCTCAATCGCTCCACGATCGCCATCACCAAACACGATGCCTCCTCCGAACAGACCGTCACTCAGCCTTGAACAACCATCACCTCTGCCTGGCAACGACACAAATACAAGTAATCTGTCCTTTATTCCAACTTTGACCGTTGACAAGCGAGCCGATCACAAAAAGAAGGAAGAGACTAAGAAGTCTGGCTGGAGTTGGCTTCTGGGCAAAGAAGACAGCGACAAGGAGAAGCCGGAGAAGCCTAAGGCTAAAATCTTGAAACCGCCTCAAACGCACGACAATACCCGCCTTGACGTGCTCCAGACATCCATCGACGGCGGTGGCAAGGGGCGAGAAAGTCTGGTCCTGGATCGCGAGCACCTGAAGTTCGACGAGGAGCGCAAGAAGGAAAGCCAACGTAAAGCATCAGGCAGCGACAAAAAGGAGAAAGAGGGTCTATTTTCCTCCATCTTTGGAGGCAAGAAGGCCAAGGGGGACAAAGACAGCTCGAAAAAGCATCGCGACCGAGGGCTTTCACCCGAGCCGCCATATCGAGAACTGAAACCCGACATTGATTATAACTGGACGCGATTTTCAATCCTTGAAGAACGAGCCATTTACCGCATGGCGCACATCAAGCTCGCCAACCCTCGCCGAGCACTATATTCGCAGGTGCTGCTCAGTAATTTCATGTACAGTTATTTGGCGAAAGTCCAGCAGATGCACCCACAGATGAATCTACCCACGAGTGCGAAGCAACAACGAAAGCAGCAGCAGAAGGACCAGCCTCATCAGCCGGATGAGTATGTCCAGTACCAGCGGTATCAACAGGTGAGTTTCTCGATCGACACCGATGAACGGGCACTAATACTTTTACAGCAACAGGCCCAGCAACAACAGCAGCCACCGGTCGAGCAACAATATGCCGCTCAACAGGACATGGGCAATGATACGTCTGGGTACGAGTTCGATGCTGGAGTTTCGCGGCCTAGCTCTCGAGGAAGCAAGCAATCGGTGGAAAGCAGTGGATCACATGGGGGCAGTGCGGCTGGGTACAACCAACAACACTATCAGGCGAATCCACAAGCACAGCAGCACGAAGATGATGATGACATGTGGTGATAACTTGGCGAGCTTTGAAAGAGTAGGGGTTATTTATCTGGGTATATCCAGCGCAAAGGTAGCTGGTTGTTCCGAGGAACGATATGGCCTCAGAGCCTTCGAGCTTTGAAAATGACGGCTTGAAGCGCTTTCTTTTGTTGACCTCTAGCATAGCGAGCAGATTGGGGAATATATATGGGTATGACGGATAACTTCGAAGCAAGCAATGACACGATCACCTATTTTGCAGGCCATTACGATGTGAGATGTTGAAACATGCTGCTTAGTATGTGACAGCCAACGTGATAACTGTATTCGTCCACATTGAGATGAATTGGTCGGTTTGAGGTGCTGCTCGCTTCAGCAGCGGCTAATTAGGCATTATGACATCTTCCTGCCGTCCCGTGTACTGCCATCCAACTGTGTCCCCGTGAGACTGAGACTGACCACCGATTCACGCCTGATTCTCCTCCCGCAGTCACCACATGAGTAACCGAGTCCACCTTCACAATCGGACAGAACTTCTAAACATCACTGACCGTGAACCGTTCTCGAAACTCTAAAGTCTTGAAGGCACTGAATGAAGCAAGCTTGATCTCCCAGCCCGCAGCCTCATATTCTCGAGGGCTCACTCATCGCGGACATCTCGAGTACACGATACTCCGTATTGCTCTGCTATCTACAAAAGCAAGGCAGGCTCAGGCAACTGTTTCCACCGCTCTGCACGAGATCGCTACGACCGCGTACACAATCAGAATCACACTCATACCCGCATTCACTCCGACAGTCGAGAGCATCGGCGCAAGGACCGGATACCCTCAACCGCGACAAAGAGTATCAGCGTAAGAGCAGGATACCTCAAGGGAGAGTATCAGCGCGAGAGCAGACGAGCAAAACACCCCCAACCGAGAGCGCCAGCGCAAGAGCAAGACATCCTCAATCGAGAGCATCGGCGCGAGAGCAAAACACCCCCAACCAAGAGCAGCGCAAGAGCAGGAATTTGGTAGTCACAATCACAACCGCAACCGCAGGTACAAGCAAGAAAGACTACAGACTACACATCACACCAGCCTACATATCGCACACCCAGCATGGCCGACTACGCGCGCGAAGAGTAAGTCCCTCCTCGACCGCCTCACGTCCCTCTCCCAATCATGATACATACGGAGTACACCTGCGCGCGCACGTGTGTGCCTCATCCTCCGCTTTTGTACACGTTGCGGCGCCTTCCCTTCCTCTCCTCCCAGCTAACATTACCGCCCCCCACAGACAGAACAACGCCCTCCTCAGCTCGCTCAGCCAAAAGACCTCTGCCCTCAAACACATCACGCTGGACATCTACGACAACGCGCGCAACCAGGAGACGCTGGACTCGACGAACGAGGTGTTTAGCAGCATGAGTACGAATATCCGGGGGAGTGCGGGCCGGCTCACGCGCATGGCGAGGCAAGGGGATCGGGTTGCCGTGCTCAAAGTCGCGGGCGTGGTTGTCGCGGGGGGGTTGCTTGTTTGGTGGGTTGGTGGGTGGATTTTGGGGCTGTTGTTGGGGCGGTGACGGGAAGTGTTTGACTTGGGGCGGTAGAAGTGGTCTGAGAGGTGCTTGTCCACGAGTTGATTTTCCACGAGTTGAGTGGAAGAAGGAAGATCGGAATGCAGAGGCAGAATGGGAAAACAGAACGGGAAGAATCCTGTGTGCGTTTGAACGGGGACGAAAGACCTCAGCAGGAGACAGCGGCTCAGACGGAGAAGGCGAGTGAGCACTGCTTGCCTGTTGCTCATGCGCAGGTGGCAGGGAGTACGCTCCAGTAGATTGCGGTACTGTACTACAATGCGGGGGTCGAGAACCGGAGGGGAGGGAGGGAGGGAACAAGGGAAGGGATCTTCCTCTGCATCAGCATAGCGTATGGAGTATACTATACTATTCAACACATCCGTGAGCGATTCTAATATTTATATGTGTCATGTTATGAATGATGCGAATTGTGTCATATGTGGTAGGTCACCGTGGTGCAGGTCAATGGCAGTGCTTATGGGATTCGTGCCGTCATGGCAGTGAGGCGCGGTCGACGATGCGAGGGTAAACCGTATATTATGCGTCGTTTCCTTCGGCGTGATGGTGGTATGTGCTACTCAGGGAGGCACAGTAGCGGATCGTGTACTCTCTATCAATTCATGATGACGAAGAGGAGGTAGCTGGCGAGGAAGTGGATGGCGAGGAAGTGGATGGCGAGGAAGTGGATGGCGAGGAAGTGGATGGCGAGGA